GTTAATCGAACCGACGTTCCTACGGAAGTCGATTCTAGGGGGAAGCTAATGTAACAGCTTAGGTTGGTTGGTTAAGAGTTGACCCCAAACAACCAAGCTTATGCCAAAACAGTATTGTTCAAGTATTCATTCACTTCCTTATTTTTCATAAGCGTTATATTCCCTATTATCTTATATTGAATGTTGAGAGCCTTTGTTTGTCTGAACAGATAATCCCACGCTCCACTGTGACTGCGCGAAGATCGAAATAAAGACCTATTCACTACTTGTCTGGTTTCTTCTGTCAATAGCACGAGGGTTACTTTGAGGCACGAAATAATCACCAGGCACTACATTTTAAACTACCGCCGTCCAATCTCCATTTCCTGAGTTCACCTAAGTCTTAGGCTGTTACTGATAATTGTCTACTGCTTTCCTTAGTTTTTGTTGGTCAATTTTGCTTGCTTAAAGGGTCAACGTTATTGTTAATCTTTTGCTCTTCCATTACTGAAGCATGGCACATCGATTAATTTGTAACTTGCTTTCCCAAATAACAATAAAATCAAATTCTAATTTAGGCAATAAAGTTTATTCGCAAATTGCAGCTAGTCGACTCAGACCTCTTTTTAATAATAATTTTAACAATCACAAAACAAACCATCAATTTTCTAGGTTCCCTGAGCAAAAACTCCCAAATACCAAACCAAAGGCTAAGTGAAACCAAAATATCTGAGGTCAGAGATAAGAGCAAGCATGTTCAAAAGTTGAGTGAAACAAATATACTCGAAATTACAGTGACATTACTAATATTCAATATAACAGTTTCCAATCAGTCAAATGTTTTCACTTCTGTAACAGACATCGGTTCACTTTTCCTCATGTTTTGTTTTCCAACTCTTTCTATTCACGTTACTCTGCATAGTATCCTAGTGCACAACGTCTGATAGACAGCTTATATGTTACTGTTAATTGAGGGAATAACTGATTTTGAAATGTTTTAAAAAGATAAAAATATTTATTGTACGACCAAAAAGTTAATTTAAAATGCTGCTCTAGCTATGTTGCAAAACGTACCGATTGCGCGATAGAGTAATCCGTATTATTCAATGCGCAGCCATGAGTGAAGTCAGGTAAATTTCACAATATCTTACCCTCACAGTAAAATTCAACACTAATTTTCTCAAGCTTGAAAGCCAAAGTTAGCACAGAACTGGCTTATAGCTGATGCCATCTCGTGATGAAAATCGTAACCCCGATTCACAAACCTGAATGAAAACTGCAGCTGAACGCTTAATGACTAGCCATGATCTTTTCTCATTATAAATGGTGTCAACTGGTGACAAAAGCTCAATAGATCTGGCAAACATGCTCACCCATCACCCTCTCGAACCAGCCGCCTATGATGCATTTCACATTAATTACCGTGGTTATCATTACGGCATAACCAGTAACTGCTTCTCATCTCCCTTATTATCATCTCCATTTCCCCTTACTATTTCGATTCCGTCTTCTTACACACTATAATCCAAGTAATTAATTGATTTATTCTTAAATCAATCATCCTCCCGTAGCACATGAATTATCGCTTTATTAATTTCAAACTGCAACCAAACAACCTCCTGATTTACAATGCGATGGCCGATGGGATCCAGAAGACCTAATTACTTGAGAAAAACGTAATAACTTAAACTATGATCCACGAATAACTACCGGACTGACAACTAATTTAGTCTACTTGCCGGACTACCACCGATTGAATATAACCAAATGCATGGAGTCGTGCCGAAAAAACAAATAGCGGGGGCGTATAATTAAATAATTTATACAAGCTTTTGAAAAAACGTTTAATTGTATTAGATGAGAAGGTAGTCAGTTTAGTATACTGGCTTGTCAGCGGTATGTTTAACTTTATCATTGGAGGTCGTTAGTCTGTGAGTCTAACCAATTTGAATTGCCGCGCTGGCACTTCTAACAGTTACTGTCGTTTTAGCGCCGTGGTGAGTTTCATAGATTATTTTTAACATACTTCGAGGTGGCCTTGAAAAGCTTCAGCCACTAAATGTAGAAGTTGCTATCACCTAAGTGTCTCTATAAGGTCGTAATAGGGATGCAAATTGATGTGAGCAATTTGGAGTTATAGTTAAAACTCAGGGTTACGAACCGGAATTGAGGTTTACATCTTGTACCTACATTAGCAACAGTGCCAAAACGGACATTCTATAGCTATACGGTTAAATGATCATTCAACCAAGGAATTCGGATTATTTGCTAAAATCCAAGACTTGCTATCATAGTAGTGACTGGTTCGTATCTAAATTGTGATCTTGCCGCTTGATACTGTCGCTTTGTTGTCTCTATCTTCATGATACGACTTATATTTTGTGGGGGTTGGCAATGTTTGTCTTGCACGGCCTCAGTATCTTAATTGGCCTAGTCATCCAATCTTTACTCCTGCTTAGATGACTAAGATATATATATATATATATATATATATATATATATATATATATATATATATATTACGACTTTCTATCATAACTTTTCGGCAATACATTAACAATTGCATTGGTAGGCTATTAAGAATTTATCAGAAACCGGATTTGAGTTCGGTATGTACCAATTACGTAGTCATTTTGTATAAAAAGGACAGCGTGTACTATGCAAAACACTATTCTATGTAACATTCCTGGAAAATGTGGATAACGTGAGACTATGATTTATGAACAACCTTTGATCGAATTTTGAGTAGCCTTAATAATGCTTACTTCCAAAATTAAATGAGGGTTATAAATTAGTCTGAAGAATTACAATTACGACTTAGAGTTGAACATTAGGGTTAGGAATTTGAGTTGAGGTTTTCACCACAAGCCGATATCAAATATAATTCCAAGATGCTATTTAGCTATATGGATGAATTTTATTCGAGACGCCAGACCTATTTTAAATTTGGTTGTAAATAAATAATAATATTTGTAATATTTATGTGATATTTGTAATTATTAAATTTGGTTGGTTTGTCCATAAACTATAGTCTCACCTCTTTATATGATATCACACCACTGGACCCATATAATAACCACATGAGTCTATGGGACAAAATGAAACCAACCTATCGACTCGGCCTGTAAAGTAAAATTATCCTCATTCAAAATCATTGTTAGTGTAACGGTTATTGAAAATATGTGTCAACTGTTAAGCTATCATCTTCTTTGAGTTAGACCTGTGAAGCTTGAATTTGTCGGGATTAATGAACTCACCAGTGCTTATGGGGATAAAAGTAAGTCCAGTATGTTAGTCATCCCGCTAGTCAGTCAGTCAGTCAGCTACAACGTAGGACCAGGCACATATGTGCATCGGTCCAGGTTGCCATACCTCATTAGCACAGCAAGATGAACAGCGGATTCATAGGAGTGGTTAGGTCAAAGGTTGCAATAAGGATATAGTATAGGAAGAAAGAATTAGTTCGTAGACAGAAAGAATGAAGTGATTTTAGTCTCTTAGTTTAAAAGAAGACCGACCGTTGTTGCTACCTTGACGTGGTGGTCGGGCTTGCCTATCGTGATGAAGCAACCGAGCTATACTGGCTGGAACAACCGTTCCTCAAGGTCCTACCATGTCAGACAGGTTGGTTGAAGAGCGGTAAGACTAAAAGCAACAAACCCAAGGTCCGAAGGCGAAGTCGTACTGCTGACTGTACAGAGGTGTGACAGCAGTAAGGTGTTTCCTTCAGACAACCAGCATGACAGCGATGCTGCCTTCCCACAAGGAGGGGTGGGGTTAGAAAAGGTCGACCCTAAAAATGCACACCTCGCCTTATCCCACAGATATCCGTCTCCGGCGGTAAGGTCTCAATAAGTACGGAGCTAACACAAAAATTACCCATAACAAGGTCGTGTGTGACCGACCTCAAGCAGTTGTCCCTTGGGCACTGCGGTCACGCTCTCAGGTCACTAAGACCACCTCTAATCCAATTTCCTTTTCAGGTACCTCCAGAACAACCCTTCCACGGTGTGGGCAACCGGGAAGTGAAAACCGCCCTCATACCTCTAACAGCACTCAAGACCACTGTATTCATCCCGCTAGTACTATGGTGAAATTTGTTCTGGGTAGTTTTCCCTTATTTTTGCCAACGGTATGCGAACAATTAATTCTAGTCATCATGGAATATGTAACTACAATGAATCCAGTTTTATAAAATTTTACCGTGGTATTAAAGGGCTGTGTAGGGGTGGCTTTGTCGTTTCATCACTTTTTGGTTGGGGTCTTCAAAGTGGCGTAGCTCAGTGGCTTGAGACGTTATCAAGTGTGGCTCAGAGTTGAAATCAGTGGTGGTCCTGCTGTGGTTTTTTCTACATCTTTCGTGAAAATGAAAAGATATCCTTTAACTGAAAGCATTCTACTTAGTTGTATTTTTGTCATAACTATCTTCTATTATAATCCATTCTCGTTTACTTTTCTGATCATTTGTTTACCATCCGTTGTCTCATCTGTCTTAGTGACTAATCTTTTTAAACGCTTCACTACACTCGACTAGTTCCCAGACCAAAAATGAAAAGAAACGTAAATATATTCCACAGTAAACAGTAAGTGGTCAATATAATTAGAAAATATATTCATATATATGGGTATAGCAACTTAAACCTGTGTACATACGTACCAGGTTCGACTTTGTGGCTGACTAAATTATATATCTAAGTTTTATATTGAAAAGTTCTGCGGTTTTTTGCAGCTTGTCCGCTAGTAGTGACTGAAAATGGATCAAATGATGCACTGAAATGTGATCCTATTTGAAACATAATTTGGTGAATTCTCAGTCATGCTAAAACCATCTGTTCACAATTTCATTGTATTACTTGTGCGGCATATATTTATTTTGGTTCTTATTTGTATTGATGTATTCTAAAATATAGGTGTTTTATTAAGAATTTGATTTACTTTCTGCTACTTGGATATTTTTGAAAGATTTCTTGTCACTTGTTTCAGTTGCTATAAACTTTCCAATGTCTGAGCATTAAAGTAAAATGGAAATACCTGTATCTGACTTCTGTTTTGGAATTACTTGTAAGGTTGAACAACCAATGGGGTTGGATGGTGTGATCTGCAAATCATCAAATGGATTCATATCAAATGATTTAAACATTGGGCTTGGAAACTACATAAAAGGTGGGTGATTACCTTTATACTAGTGCAACGGATTTACCCATCAACACGTTATAAGAAACTTATACGTATACATAGAAAATGTTTGAGAGAAATATACTGATGCTTGTTATGTAATCAGACGTAATTTGTGTTACATGATCCGTCATCTGTAGGCTTTCTCAAAAGTCATGAGGCACTTTTATGTCAGTCTGTTCATATCCGAAAGTCCATTAACTTATAACTACTAACATCACCGGTCACTGTTCAACCTCATTGTGCCAAATGAATGAGTCAAGGTCAGTAACAATAATTTACTTTTAACGTCAACAGCTTTACACAAGTTTGTTGAATTAGAAAAAAGCTATCAAAGTATATGGCGACTCGTTGATAAGTACTTACGTCAGTAAATTTAAAGGAGGCCTTATAATCCATACACAGCTCGTCCTGCCCCCAAATGCCCTGGTACGACCGATAGTGGGGAGAGTCCACTCTTCCTCTCGAAATTCTCATATGGCCACGTGTATACAGCCACTACCACGGAAGTCCTACTCACTGCCTTCTCGTAGCATTACTGTTGTTTACGAAAAGCGAATGTCCGGCACTTTAACCGGGTTAGCGGACATGAAGAGTCCATCTAGGGGAGTTGAAAAACCGTGATTCCAAACGAATGGTGCACATGGGCTCCAGTATCATGAAGGAACAAACGGCGTATGAACCAATCGTTGGTCACCGGCTACCATCGGACTGCATCTCCTTACGTTGCTCCACTGCCTTGTGAGTCAGACCTTCAGGTCGAAGGCTCCGGGTGTGGTCCCCTAAGAAAACCACTTGCTTCGGTTTGGGCACCCGGGCTGTATAATAGCCCAGACACAAATCAAGTGACTTGTATAGCGCATATGTATTCGGTGCCTCCTTGTACCAATATATCTGTGTTAAAATAAATAAATAAATAAAATAGGTCGTCCTATTTACAACTAACTTGAACTAGGCCCAGTCACTGATTTGAAAAGTAATTTTAAATGCTCTGTATTCGGTCCATTATTCTACTTCTACCTTCTCTCTCTTAATTTTGCATTTTTTGTTAAGTTTGTTTCTTAAGGTATCTTAAGTTTTTTCATTAGTCATGTGAACAATTGATGACATCGAACAGCAAATATCTTTCAGATGCCTTCATATGGATTCAATATCACAGTTGGTTTGGAATATTTTTGTCAAGTATGCTACGATAATACCTTACTACGACAATAAAACTAGTCACGTTATATTAGATCCAGTATTCGCGACCTAGAATAGTGTCAGATTAGCACTAGATAATACTTCATCCAAGGAGTCACTCTCTGTGAGTCCGGAGTATAATTCAGTTAGAGGAAAGAAAATCATATTGAATAGTCAGTAGGCTAAGTGCCTGTTTGTCCAGTCATATTTTACTTTCAATACCACATATCAGAATTATTATTGTTATCTTATTGTTTTGTGGGTATTTGAACCTCACCCACACATTTTTGCTTGTTATATTGTGATCAACAATACAGCCATCTCATTTACCGTTTATCTCATCAACTTTATCACAGTAAGCTAGTGTAATGCTGTGAAGTGACCTAATACATGTTCGTGCTAGGTCGACAAAATATTCTAGTATGTCTGACACTTAACGTGAACCTCAATTCGGAGATAAAAGGGTAGGAATAGTTGCATGAATATTAGTAAAATACTGAAAAAGGAGTGGGTTGAAATAAGTGAGGTAGCGAATAACACATTGTATATGGCGTAAGTGTGAATGCATAGTAAATCCTAATATTAAGTGATTAAAGGGAGTCGCCAAGGAACCCTAGGCTTGAGTCTCGTGCTATATGATGCTCCTTAGTTGCGACTAGAATGACTCAGTAGTAATGGTATCTGTCACTGTGACACTGATTGACCTGGACTGGAGTCCAACAGTAAACATCAGTCCCACCAAGAATGTGCAGGTAAATTTTACGGATGTCGAGTGGCAATTCACACAAAAGTCTGATTCATGGTTTCTTAACGATTTCGTGCAATCAACTAACATAGTGAACTTGCAAGTCGTGGTTAAAGCTAGTAGGTACATTGTAAAGATGATCATTACTAACAGACGAGAAAAACATGTTATTAGCTACGCACCGTTCAGTGACCGCTCATTATTAGTAATAAATCCATCTTCAATTATAGATAACAGTTACGTTATTGACTATATTATCTATCGTTTGACTATATATTCTGCATTCTTATAGATATATTTGTTTTTAGCGGAAGAATGTAATTATGATAACATTATGGATGACAGCCTAATAGATAATAAGTTGGGAATTTTACGAGATAATCAATTGTTGTATTTGGAGGATAGTTTTAAACGTAAGTTTTACTACAGTTTATTACTTTCAATAATTTGTTGAATTATATATAATTATATCAAGATACTTGTACATGTTTTAGGGGTTTGAATAATTTAAGATTGTACACTGCTGCTCGATTGGTTATGAGTTCTGGATAGATGAAAAATTGGTTTAGAAACAACAATATTTGCAATTCAGCACAAAATATATCAAAAATGAGCGAAATCTATCCAGCCATTCAAAGGTTAATTAAGAAATATGATCTTAAAATTCTTACAGAAATTAACTGTGACAAAATCCTACGGAAATACCCGAGACCATGAATTTCGTGAAGACACTTTTGACCATAATTTTTGGACGACCGAAACAATTTCGCTCATTTCTTCCATTCTGTTCACTTTGGGAATATGGTGTAAAGCTGCTCCGATCAATCAAATATAAATATAATACTTTACTGGTTTTTCTAATAATCCTCTGAAGAGATTTGATCTTAAAACTATTTTACTAAGGTATTTTAACTCTTTACCTGTATCATTAAATTATTATTCTAAATGTATTCAATGTTGGTCATTCAAAATCTTTGTTAAGTTATATCTAATGAAAAATGAATCTGTCAGTAGATTTATCTTGACTTTAATTTTTACAACAGTCTTAATGATCTGTATGTTGGATAAATATATTAACTGAACTGTAGTTAGAAGCTTTCTGCATCCTTTCTGTTGGTATATGTATATTAGTTTCATCACCTATGGTTTTAATGATTCACATCATGGATAGATTTATTTCTGTTTACCTTTTTTCCTCAAATGAATTTTGCAAATCTGATTATTACGTTATTAAATTCTTTAGTAACATGAATATAATATTGTATGATCCACTTTTATAGATAAATATAACTCTAATGATGGTCACATTGTTAATGCTCATAACCGTATTAATGGTGGTACAACTGTTAAGCGACATCAAATTTCATCAGTACAAGATTCTGAAAAGGGTAGGTATAATGTTGAAAGAAACACACTAACTAAATTGTAGTTTGTTCATCCTTTGAAAATATTCTTCACATTGAATTTACAGTGTTTATTACTAAATAGAACTGTTAATGTGTGAATTGTTGATTACTGAATCTGATGTAATGTAGAAAGTTTACAGAATTCATTCTAGTTGTAAACTATGACAACTGATATGCTCATTAAGATACATATTTATTTTTATGTGTATCTTATTAATCTGTAATACACGTCAAAAAGTAGTTTGGTAATTCACCTTGGTAGTAATCTTTACTGTAGGAGATTCTCTTTTTACCGTTCTTTCAAATCACCCATTGTTCTTACAGTGGATTTCCTAAATTAATTCTTAATATTTATAGGAGTGAAACTGTCGTGTGGTTTTTGCAACAAGACGTTTTCAACAATTACTGGACGGGACCGTCACATTAAAAGCATTCACAGAAGTAGATAACACATTTCTTGTTATTTGTTTGCTTTTTACACTTAATAGATTGTGATCGTTTGTTGCTTCAATGTTGCCACAGACTAAATGTTGTTGATTCATACTTCTTTCTTTAGAAGTCAGGTTTTGGGTTTTTCAAACCGAAACTTGCAATGATAGATGGTATCACACTAGATTGTATGCTTAGAATAAATTGCATTTGTTTCCACCTGTCTGTTTTCATTTTAATACCCATTTTTCCACAGTATTCATTTTGTATTATTTTCAATAAATAAATAAATTTTCCTTATAAAAAACAGTTCATCTACATCATTATACCTCACATTACATTCTTTTGAAGATTTAAACCAAATGCTTTTTTCTCTATAGTAAACAGTAAGATACAATATGTGTCTCAAAAGGACATTAAAATTTTTTAAATAAAGAGTTGGCAGTAGTGAGTATTGTATCTTGATTTCCTTCTTTTTCGGAGGGGGGTGGTGGTCGGGGTTCATGGTCATGGACACAGAAAATAATAAAAACCAAGCTATCACGATCTCAATGAAATAAATGGTCATTAGTTCACTCTATATACTACAGTTGCTATTTTGTTTTTTGCATATTGCGACTTGGGGTACTTTCTATATAAAAAGTCGAATAATTAGAAGTCTCAGGGATTTGATATTGATTGATTCTGTTTATCTGATCCAATGGTTGGGAAACGTCATCTAGCGACTGAATGAAAAACACGCACTCATTTTATCAAGTACTAATATCAGTAAATTTCGATGTAATAGATAAACGACCGACCTTTTTTTGATGTTGCACAACTTATAGATGCACATAGATTACAATAAAACAGTCCGGTTTAGAAATCAGTTAACAAATAGTGACCTCGTATCAGAAAATCAGTTTATTATGCAGTTCAATTCCTCTGTGATTGTAATTTAACCACCTAAACTTTTTCTTCAGACTAAAAGCATATGGTTTGGATGCTTTTATGAGAAAACGGAAAGCGAACGTCCAATGTTCTAACGGGGTCTGTGGATACTGAGGGTCGACGTGGAGCAGTTGAAAAACTGATTTGAAAGGAATGCTGTACTAAGAGCTCTGGTTTCCTTAATAAATGTATGGTGTACAAATCGATTCTGATCACTGGCTACCCTGGGAACTGGATGTCTTAACGTGAATTAGATCTTTAGGTCATATGTCCCGAGAGTAATCGACCTAACAAAATCACTTATTTTAGTTTTGGCGTCTAGATAGTATCCCAGTTCACACAAGTGATAACAGATCTCTAATGTTGACTCAGTCATGATTGGCTTGCGAAATTTTATAGTCTTAATTATTGTTTCTTTTCTCTTTAGGAATAAAATATTCATGTATTAAATGTGACAGAAAGTTTTCAAGTAAATTCCATTTAATTGAACACAAGAAAGTTATTCATGAAGGTGAGTTATTGTGGTAATTATCTTTTGTTTTATTTTATTTGAACACATAAATATTGGTACAAGGAGGCTCCAGATACATATGCGCCACACAAATCAAATGAGATTTGTGTGAGGGCTGTGATGCTGCCCGGTGCCCAGACCAACGCAGGTGCTTTCCTTAGGGGGCCACACCCCGACCCTTCAACATGAAGGTCTGATCCACAAGGCAGTGGAGCATCGTAAGGAGATGCAGTCCGATGGTAGCCGGTGACCAACGATTGGTTCATACGCCATTTGTTCCCTCAGGATACTGGAGCCCATTTGTACCATTCGTTTGGAATCAGGGCTTCCCAACTCCCCTAGGTACGTCCTTCATGTCCATCAACCCAGATAAAGCGCCGTAGTCTCACTTTTCGTCCTTTCAATTTCGTAAACAACACCCCTTCGCGAGAAGACAGTGAGTAGGACTTCCGTGGTAGTGGCTGTATACACGTGGCCATATGAGAATTTCGAGGGGAGAGCGAACTCTCCTCGCTGTCGGCCATACCACGGCATTTGCGGGTATTGTGGTAATTATGATGTTGTGTGCAACATACCATCTCAATAGGTCTTTACAAAATTTCTTTTCGACTATTTAGTCGCTGACGAATACCTCTTAACATCTTGATTTGTTCACATAATATGAGGTCCCGAAAACCTTTTATTTTTTACTGGTATTATTGGCTTAAATGATTAATTATATTTTGAGAAACCTTTGTGTTGTTATTCTCATAGGTATTAATCTTTCATGTGATGAATGTGACAGGAACTTCACTACGAAATCCCAACTAACTAGACACATAAAATCAATTCATCACGGTATAGTTTTTTTTACAATCACACAATTACATTTACGTGTATTTTTGTGGATTTTAATATGCCTATACACCCTGTTCACTAATCCCATTTTTATTTCACTCTGTTTTTTTATTGACGTTTTCTTACTATAAGAAAAGTACGAGTAATTAAGTTTTCGAAAGGTATGAACCACATGATTATAAGATAATGGGAAATGAGCCTGTTCAATAAGGAGAGATTCTTTTGAAATTTGTTAGAATGTATTGATAAATCAAGGTATTCATATTTTTACTAGTATATTAACATTATTGGTTTGTGGCTAGTTGTATTACTCGGTCGTATAAATTGAAGTATGTTGTTTCTTCTGTAGACAATTACAAGGTTCTCTTTACCTCACGGTATACTATCGAGTTTTTGTTTTGAAATAGCTTGAGTTGTTGTGTAATAGACTAGGCCATCTTTAAATGCTTCAGGAAGCTCTAAAGTGATTCAGTTTGTTTATCCATCATTATCATTGTCTGTGTTTGAAGGTTTATATTATAGTTTTATTTGAGAGTCCCAAAAGATTTCTTGCCAAAGTCTCCAGTCACAAAACCGGGAAATGTTATTTCCAAGTAGTGTAAGACAGAAGCTTAGAAACATCTAGGAAATGAAAAATCGTTTGTCTTGTTTTTAACTGGATATTTACGTAGGACGTTACTGTGGGAGTGTTTCGGAAATTTCTAAAGACCAAAGGTCACACATAACTCTAAGTGTCCTCAATTTTCTGTACATATTCAGTCAGTCAGTAACAACGTAGAACTTCGTACGTACGTACATCAGTTCGAGTTGCCACACCACATTAGCACAGAGATGCAGTTGTCGATTCAATCCCGTAGTGGTAGAGGTAATAAGAGTATAAGCAGTAATCGGGAAGATTAGGGTTTGGAGATGTTATTTAAAGAGTATAATACACTGAAATAAATTTGGAAGGAGGAAAAAAGGGACATGAAGAATTCAGAAGATTAGAATTTGGGAGAACACAGAGAGTGGATGCACCTGCGCCATTGCAAACGATTTTGAGCCATGTCATTCAGGGTCTCCAACCATCGGTTGCTATCATCTCGCGGTCCCCAACCAGGTAGTCTACACCTACCAACATGACTCAGTTCACTTGTCAGTGACTTCATGGATTTGTGCCATGTTTTGGTTTGGCCGCCCCTAGCTTTCTTCCAACCTACTCCTATACCACTGAACATAGCACGTCGAGGCAGTCGGTCGTTGGGCATACGTAACACGTGTCCCAGCCATCTCAACTGATGAAGTTTCACTACTTCATCAATTGATTTGCCATCCTTACCTAGTACCCGTTTCCTAACAACTGTGTTACTTACTCGATGGTCCCAGGATATACGAGCAATGTTTCGAAGACACCTATGATCAAATACTAGTAACCTACGAATATCCTCTACTCTTACCGGCCATGTTTCACTGCCATAAAGTAGGACGGAGCGAACTGCTGCGCAGTAAACACGTCCTTTGATTGATAGACGGATATCTCGCCTACGCCATAAATGACGCAAGTTGGCAAAAGCTAATCAAGCCTTCTGTATCCGTGCTGAGATTTCGTCACACAACAAACCACAAGGGCTGATGAGACTTCCAAGATAAGTGAAGCGGTCGACACACTCAACTACTTCACTCCCTATCACTAGTTCGGGTGTCGATGTAACCCAATCCTGAAGCAACATTTTGCATTTCGAGGGAGAGAATCGCATCCCGAACATGCTTGCATTGTTGCTTAGAGTGGTCAGAAGACTCTGCATTTTGTCAGCGTCTTCACCAAATAAAACTATGTCATCAGCATATTCTAAGTCAACAAGTGAACCTCCCGGTAGAAGTTCAACCCCTGGAAATTTAGATGAGGAGAGTGTTATCTCTAAAAGTACGTCGACCACAAAGTTGAACAAGAATGGGGAGAGTGGACAGCCCTGACGAACACCACTTGAGGTAATCAATTCTGATGACAGTTCGCCATAAGCTCTCACTCTACCAGTTGTGTTCGAGTAGAGAGCCTTTACAAGGTTAATGTACTTCTTTGGTACTCCTTTCAGTGACAAACACTGCCATAGAACCTCACGATCAACAGAGTCGAATGCCGCCTTAAGATCGAGAAATACTATCATTGTGGGGCGTCTGAATGTGTGTCTATGTTCTAGAACCTGACGTAGTGTGAATATCTGATCTATACAACCACGTCCAGGTCGAAAACCGGCCTGGTTTTCTCTAATCTGCTCTTCACGAGCTTTGATTAGGCGTCGAAGTATTATTGAAGCTAATATTTTAGACACTATATTAGTCAAACTGATTCCTCTGTGATTGTCACAAGAAGATTTTTGTCCTTTCTTATAGACTGGCACAATCAGTGATTGAGACCAGTCAGATGGAATTACGTCCAGTTCCCAAATTCTACCTAAGACCTCGGTTAATCTCACTGCTAATACTGGACCACCATCCTTAAAAATCTCAGGAGTAAACCTGTCAGGACCTGCTGCTCTCCCTCGTTTAAGATTTCCTATGGCTTTTTCAACTTCGTAAAGGGACGGAGGACCTACATTAACTTGCCATTCAGGTTGACTGGAGATCGTGGGAAGCCGAAGTGTGGCTGAAGGCCAGTTGAACTGATCCCTAAAGTGTTCTGCCCATCGATCCAATTGATGTATTGTAGTTTGGGGTTACAGGTATTGACTGAGAAGGCAGTAGTAAGCTCTCCTTTGTTGCACTTACCAGGTTACATTGTGGTTTATTACAGTCAAGTCCGGTTTGAGTGTGCAAAACGACAGGACTTAAGGTTGAATTTTTCATGTCATGTAACATTATGGTGTAGTAACCTGTTTCGTTGGAATATTTCACTGAAAACAGGTCTCGCAAGCTGACTGGTTTTCTTGAATTCATGTGTGTCTATGTACTTGCGTAACTTGATATTGTGATGTTGGTTTCTGGTATATAATGTGATTGAATGTGCGTAGGGTATCTGTGTATCTATCTTTATTCAGTTTTCCCAGTCTATTACTCAGTCGTGTGTTTGTGTTTATCTTTCGGCCAATGGGGAACCTAATTTCTCATATACAACAATGATCAATATTTACTCGCTCAAACCTTTTTTCTTGCAAAATGGTTATGTTTATTTAAAGTATATGTGTTCTAAACCGTTACTATACAGAAATATATAGCGAATTTGTATCGGTACATTTAATAATAATAACTATTGTCTTGCTTTTCTTTAGGAATAAAATATCCATGTAGTCAATGTAACAAAAAGCTTTCTACGAAATATGATTTATATGTACACAAAAAAGTTATTCATGAAGGTGAGTAACGTTCGTGATAATATTGTTTTACTATAAAGTTGTATTGTATATCATTCTAAATGGATTAATTTAAACAAATTCGCTGTAACTTCTTCCTATTCCAATGGTAGAGTTAGACAAGACTGATCAATCTCACCATTCCTTGTTAACTTTCCTACTGATGATGTTCTAGAAACAACTCTAATAGAATTAGTTAGTGGTGGTGTAGATCTGTTACTTAGACTTTCAGTATAAGGATGACATCGTTTTGAGATGCGATAATACACAAACTATGCAGACCTCACCCAATCAGTTAACAGTTAATGTCTACTAGTACGGCATATATCTTGGACCCTACAAATCCAAATTTCTTCTACAAGACTGACATAGACACCTATGCTTGCACTCACTATTTCCAATAACCCCTCAGAAGTAATTAAGAAGCTTGTGTAGATATGTGACTGCTAGTAATTGCGTCATAGTTGAGGCTAATCTCTTTAGTAGTACTCACTTTCACTCTTTTTTCTTAACAGCTCCACCTCTGTATTTGTAGGGCACATTCTACTTTTTGTACTCAATTGTACCAGATTTGTGTGCCTGATTAGATGAATAAAATTGAAGCAAAATGATGAGATTGAAAATGAGTACTAAGATAAGAGAACAATATCAAGAAACCATTAATTAATCAGTGTAAGTAATTGTTACTTAGGTGTAATATTTTAACTAATTATAGGGACGGATCGAAATTCCAATGGTTCTACACATGGTGCGTTCACTTTAAATTCGTGGTTTTGTGGGTGGGTGAGGGTGGCAATAGTCACCCGATCCCATAGAAATGTTTTCATATTTATTTATTTATTTGAACACATAAATATTGGTACAAGAGAGCGTCAATATATATGCGCCACACAAAACAATGAGAACGGGAAGAGAAAAAAAGGTATGGAGCGTGAAAGAAAAAAAAAGAACAATAGTGACCAGATTAGTGTAAGGTAGTGTTATAATAATAATAATAATAATAACAGGGGAAACGGAAAGGTTCAATCAGAAGAAATCCTTCAGTTAAGGAAGATACAACCACTTTTTATGAAGAAAGTAAAAGAAGGTTACAGCAGGATCGCCACTGGCTTCTATTCCGAGCCATATCTGATAACGTCTCTAGCCACTGTGTCGCACCATCTCTCGAACCCCAACCAGGGAGTCGTGAAGGACCAACACAAGCCAGCCCCTTTGCAGCTTTCTTTCATATCCCGACACCATGTCATATACTGATCACATCCTCTTTTTCCAACCAGTCCCAGAGTCGGCCAATAATTCACGACGTGGAATTCTCTGGGACGACATTCGTAGAACATGTCCAAGCCACCGAAGTCGGTGTTTCAAGATGGTGACACCAATTGGATTATCGTCTCTGCACCCGAACACATGATGCCGAACCTCTGCATTACTAACATGGTGTTGCCAGTGGATGTCAGCGATCCTTCGGATACAACGATGATCGAACACAGAGAGTTGTCTAACATCCTCGGCTCGGAGAGGCCAAGTTTCACAAGCATAGAGCAAAACTGCTCTCACCGACGCGTTGTAGATCCGACCTTCTACAGCCAGACTAACATCACGAAGGCGCCAAAGATAACCCAGATTGGCATAAGCCGCTCTGACTTTCACTATACGTGCATTGATCTCATCACTCACACCCCCACCAGCACTTATGCAGCTACCCAGATACACGAACTTCTTGACTACTTCTATCTGCTCACCATCCAGAGTGAGTACAGGATTGGAATCCTGCCAGTCTTGTAGAAGTACTTCGCACTTCGAAGGTGCAAAGCACATACCGTACCTACGGACACTGATTGCCAACTGATTAAGTGCGGATTGCATGGCTTGGGCACTATCGCTTAGTAAGACAATATCGTCCGCTTACTCAAGGTCGAGAAGTCTTTCTCCAGGCAGCATATCCACACCGCCATTACTTACATCCATCAGAGCTGTTTCCAGAATGTCATCGATGGCAAAGTTGAAGAGGAATGGTGAGATTGGGCAACCCTGCCAAACCCCACTGCTCGAATGGAACAATGGAGAGAGGTGGTTGTATGCCCTCACTCTGCTTGAGGTGTTTGTATATAGGGCTTTTAGGATGTTAATAAACTTCTCAGGCACACTCTTCTTCAATAGACAATCCCAGAGAACAGTCCTATCCAATGAGTCGAAGGCAGCCCTGATGTCAAGAAGCACTACGATTGTTGGCCTTTGAAAAGTATGGCTGTGTTCTACCATTTGGCGGAGGGTGAAGATATGATCAATACATCCTCGACCAGAACGAAACCCAGCCTGCTCCTTGCGAGTCAGTCTTTCTCAGGTTTTAAACAACCTACGAAGTATGACGGAAGCCAATAGCTTATGCCCCGATAGTTGTTACAGGAACGACGTGAACCCTTTTTAAAGATAGGGACAACTATCGAATCATTCCATGACGTTGGTATACTCTCTAGCTCCCAGACCTTTGTAAACAACGTCGTCAGTTCCTTAGTCAAAAAGTCACCACCATCTTTAAAAAGAGCCGGAGGTAAGTCATCTTGGCCAGGTGATTTGTAGCACTTCAAGAGTTAGAGTTCCTTGCGGACTTCCGCCTCATTTGGTGGATCAGTCGTCACCGGCCATGGAGGACAGGACAGTCTGACCGATGTTGCCAGAGCAGCAGGCCAGTTGAACTGCCCTTCGAAAAATTCTGCCCATCGTCCAATACGTCGATGGATGTTAGTGATTGGCGTCCCGTCATTCTCGTAGATTGTTTCGCTCACATCAGACTTCTTGCTGCCAGTGGCTCGGATGAGTTGGAAGAGCTCACGGTAATTACCAGATGCAGGTGCTGCTTCCAGCTCTTTAGCACGCTCCGACCACCAGGCTTCTCGGTCTTTACGCAAGCTTTGCTCAATTTCATCACGTAACAGTTGTTGTTTGTGGCCAGGTGGCACATCAGCGATGACTGTGCCGAAAGTTAGTGCTAGCCAGAAACAGGTTGTGGTCTGTGCACAATTGCAGTAGACGGTCACCGTTATCTGACCTGCGACCAACGAGTCCCCATCGGCCACCTAAACGATTCTCTTCTGTGCTTAGACTCCCGACCTGAGCATTCAAGTCTCCGGCTAGTACTACAATATTTGTCGAACGCATTTTCTATAGAAGAACAGATAACTGGTGGTAGAATTCATCCTTGATTGCATCCGGGCTGCAATCTGTCGGGGCATAGGCAGAGATGACGAAAAGACATCGTTTCTCACGCCGATTTCTTCTCACTTTGATGGAACTTTCTAATCTAACAGCATATAACCGACTGTTAATGGGGATCCAATCGGTTAGTGCTGCCTCAGCTCTAGCGCTTAGCGCGACACCAACGCCAGCAAGACCAGACGAAGATGCCACAGGATCCCCGGATAAGCGCACGTAAAACAAGCTTTTCGAAGCGACAGATGAAGAGCGAATATGTAGTACTTCACTAGAGTCTTAAATACGGGTCTCGAACAAACAGAAAACATCAATATTAAAACTTTGCAAAGACATGGCTAGCCCTATCTGTTGTCCGACTTGCGTAAGTGTGCGAACGTTGAAGGCAGCCAGTTTGAATGGTGCTCGTGGTTTAAGAAAAACTGCCTCAGTACTCATATTCAGTGGTAGCATACAATTTTCAACCGGACAGTGACTCGAGGACGTTTAGATAGAGTCGAATTTCCACCATAGACGACCTGCTGTATAAGTCGAAAAATAAGGATACATAAAGTGGGAATAAAACAGAGTGAGTAAATGACGTAGTAAATAATAATAATAATAATAATAATAATAATAATAATAATAATAATAATAATAATAATAATAATAATAATAATAATAATAATGTGAATCGTTTGATTGTAAATCGAAGCGAGAATAGAATTTTCATTAAATATCGTCATTTTCATTTTATTTGTGTGTGGGCTGTGATACTGCCAGGTGCCCAGACCAACGCAGGTGCTTTCCTTAGGGGGCCACACCCCGACCCTTCAACATGAAGGTCTGATCCACAAGGCAGTGGAGCATCGTAAGGAGATGCAGTCCGATGGTAGCCGGTGACCAACGATTGGTTCATACGCCATTTGTTCCCTCAGGATACTGGAGCCCATTTGTACCATTCGTTTGGAATCAGGGCTTCCCAACTCCCCTAGGTACGTCCTTCATGTCCATCAACCCAGATAAAGCGCCGTAGTCTCACTTTTCGTCCTTTCAATTTCGTAAACAACACCCCTTCGCGAGAAGACAGTGAGTAGGACTTCCGTGGTAGTGGCTGTATACACGTGGCCATATGAGAATTTCGAGGGGAGAGCGAACTCTCCTCGCTGTCGGCCATACCACGGCATTTGGGGGCAAATAATAATGGCTAGCAGTGGAATTCAGGACGCAAGTCTCGTCCTATTTTGGCCTCGTCAGCTGGATTTACATGCATCCCAGAATTAGTGTTCACTCCGGGACTCGAACCCAGTACAGTTCGCTTCAAACGCCACCGCGTTATCCACTCAGCTACTGAGTCTTAATAGGCAAATAATGCAAAGAAACGTTTTCATGCAACCATCTGTTTATATTTTCTCTCAGGCATAGACTGGTCACTGCAACCATGTGGTAGGGTATTTTTACTGAAATGAGAGATCTAAAAGCGGAGGTTCGTGGCTTTAAACATATTTGTTCATATTGTTTTGAAATCTGTGGTTGTCGGTATTCTATATGATCCCTAAACTTCTTAAACAATTCGTCCTGGTAACCGTTGCTAGATAATGTCCCCAACGGTGTATAAACTAGAAGACGAGTACTAAGTGTTGATTGCATTTTTTATTTCACGACGCGCAGGTCACTAAAATCACAGGCACACGAAACACGAATGTAAGGCTAATGCCAAAAAGCAAGCGAGTGCGCGAGTGAAAATGAATAGGATTAAAATGTACATATATATACATAGGGAAATGAGTGAATTGAATCAATTAGGCGGCTAACATTAAAACTAGCAGAATGAATATGTGCGTAAGCGGTAGGCAATGCTCAAGCATATATGTTCATGCAAGCGCAACAATAATAAAGGTACAATGATATAGATAAGTTGTTATTGTACGAATGATTGTCCATTATAAATAAGTTAACAAAAGGGCTTAATCAAATTAAATGTGAACAAACTCGATTGCACGTATGTTGCTTTAAGTCTACTACATGAACGGTTGTTCGTTCACTCATTATTTCTCTTGTATGTTTATATTATTTGTGTTGCAAATTACTGATACAAATATTTAAACATTGGTGTTAAATATGTATCGGTACATTTAGTGATATGATTAATTGTTTTTCTTTCATTAGGAATAAGACATCCTTGTAATCAGTGTGATAGAAGGTTTGGATCTAAATCCAAATTAAATGATCACATAAAAGTTGCTCATGAAGGTAAGTTAGGTTATGATGATGATGATGATGATGATGATGATGATGAGGATTGATGATAGTGACGGTCTACTTTGAAATTGTGTTATGTACCTTCTAATAACATCATTATTGAATGTGAACTTTTTATTTACATCATTTTTTTATATATCTCTTCTACTACAAATAATTAAGCAACTTTGATTGATATTATCGCACAGAAAGTTTTGCTTGAGTAGCTGTGGATGTAGGTATAACACTTACATTTCACTGATTAGTTCACACATTCAAGTTCCGTAACTCCTTAGATATAGGCACTTAATAAGGGGCTAAAATTCATTTTATGACAAAATATACATTAAATAAGCGTGTTACTGCTGTTCATCAAGGTATGATTGATTAAAATATCATTTAGTAGTTTCCCTATAATGACTTTTTAAAATAAAAATTCAAATCTGATTTACATTATTCAACTGATTCAGATACACAGCAAAACACTGAATATTAAGTAGGATTTCCGATGGTTTTGAGGTCCCAATGCTCTTTTTTTCATCGAATATGTCATATGTTTTCTTGTTTCTGAGTCAATACATATGATCGTTTCATTATCTGACTTAAAATTTGTTTTCAGTCAACTTTAGGCATATGTAGTACTCAGAATATGTGAGATGATTTGTTTTCATTTGTTCTTGTTCCTACAGGTATAACTTTTCCATGCGATGAATGTAGTAAAATATTCTCTTCGAATGGCGCTCTTTGCAGACATCTGCAATCCGTTCATCAAGGTAATGATTTCTTTGACAAAGCATTTTTATTTGTAAGATTTTTTCAGGTTTTAATGTGCTAATCTTACCCTGTTCGTTAATTCTGTTTGTATTTTACTACATTTTTTCGACACTTTTACTGTATAAACCAAGGATGTATTCAATAATACAATAAACCAACGTTATGACTTCGTTTACCATCAGTGACCAAAGTGTGTTCATGCGCCATTGATTGTTCGAAGATTCTAGTGTCGATTTGTGCCTCTGGTTCGAAATAATAGTGTCTCTGTTGCCTCACATAAACTGTTTGTGTCTATGGGCTCGGTTTCATCGTTGGACATCCAGTGTCTTCCTCGACCGCTACACTTATCTTGGAAGTCTCATCAGCCCTTGTGGTCTGGTGTGTGACGAAATCTCAGCACGGATACAGAAGGCTTGATTAGCTTTTGCCAACTTGCGTCATTTATGGCGTAGGCGAGATATCCGTCTATCAACCAAAGGACGTGTTTACTGCGCAGCAGTTCGTTCCGTCCTACTTTATGGCAGTGAAACATGGCCGGTAAGAGTAGAGGATATTCGTAGGTTACTAGTATTCGATCATAGGTGTCTTCGAAACATTGCTCGTATATCCTAGGACCATCGAGCAAGTAACACAGTTGTTAGGACACGGGTACTAGGTAAGGATGGCAAATCCATTGATGAAGTGATGAAACTTCATCAGTTGAGATGGCTGAGACACGTGTTACGTATGCCCAAACACCGACTGCCTCGACTAGCGATGTTCATTGGTATAGGAGTAGGTTGGAAGAAAGCTAGGGGCAGCCAGAACAAAACATGGCACAAATCCATGAAGTCACTGACAAGTGGACTGAGTCATGTTGGTGAGTGTAGACTACCTGGTTGGGGACCACGAGATGAAAGCAACCGATGGTTAGAGACCCTGAATGACATGGCTCAAAATCGTTTGCAATGGCGCAGGTGCATCCACTCTTTGTGTTCTCCCAAATTCTAATCTTCTGATTTCTTCATGTCCCTTTCTTTTTTCTCTTTCCAAATTTATTTCACTGGATTATACTCTTCAAATAGCATCTTCAAACCCGAATCTTCCCGATTACTGCTGATACTCTTGCTACCTCTACCACTACGGGATTTGAATCGACCACTGCATGTCTGTGCTAATGTGGTGTGGCAACTCGAACTGATGTACGTACGTACGAAGTTCTACGTTGTTACTGACTGACTGACTGAAAAGTACTACCAACGTATGAAGATCGTTTTTGCAGTTGTCGAGGTTGAGTCACTTTATTATTCAAGTTGCTTGGAGATAATAGGTGTTTAGATACCGGTTCTACTTTCACTTAAGTATCCTACCCACTGATCTAATTTAGATAGAATAAATAATTTTTCTATTTGCTTGTCGTATATTGTCTCATTCTTGTTATATACATCTTTGATTAGTGTAGCTCGAAACACGATTGGCGGGTAACTTCGGATATGTACTTCTAAAAGCAGAGCTCTGACTTGTTCGAAAATACGTTGTCTTATAAAATGTTTTGATAGTGAACATCAATGCTAGTGCTCTCTTTCCTACTTACTCATAGTTCTCGGCATTTGTGATCGAAAGATCTGTACGGATTATAGCTTCACATAATCCTCCTGCTAGGATGTACGAGAATACAGCACCCGAGCCATTGCTTAGTGCCAGTCATATCAATTATTTCTTGTTTTGTGTTACAATATGTCACTAATAATTTCTAACTGGTTATTTCCTTGAGGTTATTTTTATTATTTTACCACCAAATTAATCTTCTAGTACAGACGAATCCAGTGACAGACTTAACATATTGAAAGATTGTAGAGCTTCCTGAAGTATTTAAAGATGATGTCTGGTCTATTGCATAGCAACTGAAATGACTGTAGAATTAAAACTGGATACCATATCAATTTTTTCTCCTGAAGAAAACAGTATCTTACGTCATGCTTTAAGTAACTGATGACTAGAGAAAGACCGTGTTATGTCACATCTGTTTTATCCTCATTAATAAACACCAATTGTGGTTATCAAAAGGGAAATTGGTGGAAATCGCATACATACTGATATTTGAACTAGACTGACTGCCGCAGCCTCGATCTTCTTACTATCAACTCAAACCATATAGTATTTGCATTCAACTAATTATTAAACGGAATCCAACTTCACCAACATCTAACAAATTATGGACGCCATGATAATAATCGCGGTACATTCGGTCGTTCAGTTACAATAACACACTCTTTAAGAAAAGCATACAGTTATTATTTACTGTTATAACTTGTCATTTGAATGCTTATTGTCTTGGCTCTTTTAATGCTACTTTTTGTATCTGTTCGTCGCTGATTGTTGTGTCGGAAACGCTTATCACTTATAATCGGAATGAGGGACCTCTGCAATTCCCACGATACAAACGTAAGAACACAAAGACTGGTATAAGTGATGATTTATTAACCAAAAACACTATGACGACGACAACTCTAGTAGAAAATACACTCATTTATATATTGATTGTACACCCATTTTGATTGATAATTAGGATGAAATAACATATATGGAAAATACTTAGAGTTATAACAAATCACAGACTGAGCATAGTTCATGTCAATGGAATATTATACAGAATAAAATATCATATCAAACAAAAAAATATTTGCCGACTCTGGGACTGGTTGGAAAATGCGAAGAGGTGGTCAGTGTATGACATGGTATCGGAGTATGAAAGAAAACCTGCAAAGGGCTGTCCTGTGTTGGTCCTTCACGTCTCCCTGGTTGGGGTCTGAGGGATGTTGCGACACAGTGGCTAGAGACGTTATCAGATATGGCTCGGAATAGAAGCCAGTGGCGATCCTGCTGTAACCTTCTTTTACTTTCTTCATAAAAAGTGGTTGTATCTTCCTTAACTAAAGGATTTCTTCTGATTGTAGGTTTCTGTTTCCCTTATTATTATTATTATTATTGTTATTATTATTATTATTATTATTGTTATTATTATTATTATTATTATTATTATTATTATTATTATAAGTACTAAGCTACCTTACACTACTTTGTTCGTTATTGTTCTTGTTTTACGCTCCTTACCTTTTTTTCCCATCTTCTCTTCCCATTCTCATTGTTTTGTGTGGCGCATATATATTTGATGCCCTCTTGTACGAATATTTATGTGTTCAAATAAATAAATAAATAAACCCAACCCGTATTTGGCTTCTCATTATTGCAGTCTCACAAACGGGAATAGCTTAAGTAATATACGGAGTTAACTGGAAGATTTATGTTCAGCGCATCTTCGTACGATCGAACTGAAATCAGATACTGTGCTACAAAAGTGGTAAGCTCGACGTGATAGTAAGGCTTATTGATACAACAAAAGAATGGCTGCAGTTCGGTTTGGTTTGTCATTGAAAAGGTGAAAAACGACGATTGCTGTGTACAAATGCGACGAATGAACATTAGTCGCATAACAAGATAATAAGTCCCTACTCCCGTGGGTATGACTTCAAATTTATGTCTGATAGCGTTACCAACGTTGATGTATTTCCGACCATTCTGTTATAAAAGTGCGGGAGATTCGCTCGACTAGAATGGCGATTCATGTACATGCGCGTGTCGTTAGACCTCCAATTAGTGGGTTTCAGGTTGTTCGATGTACGGGAAGCTAGTAAATACGTCAGTTATATATGACCTGTGATAGCCATATATCCCCAATAATGAACGGTAATGAATAAGCCATTGGCTCAACCACCATCTTTTGAGAAGACAAGAGTCAGTTTGCATTTTTCACTGTCTCAGTCGATGGATGTTTTCTGAAAAATACCTAGATATTGTTACGGTGCTTTTAAAAATCCACTATTCAGTGTTCGAATAATATACCGCCGGAGTTGATGGTACACACATTTTGAAAATTCAAACTAGCATTCGTTTTAAGATTGTTTTTCTGTTAATCCAGTTCCGAATTTTGATAAATGATGCATTTCCCATCTTGCCACTCCTTTGTGGATTAGATCATCAGATCGCGGGCTTGGAGAAATATCTCTTATTAACACTACCTGATTGTGTTTAAGTATCCGGTTAGTATATCAATACCTCATAAAAATATGAAAATGAAGATAGTAAAATTATTAATTATCAACATCACCGAAATGGTTATGTTTATTTATGTGTGCTGTAAACCGCCTATTAGATTACCTTATTTACTGATTCTTTTTTATTTGTTTAAGTACATTTACGAATTTTAATAATTTTGTTTTCACTAGGAATAAAATATCCATGTAATCAGTGTGACAAATTATATACATCTAGATTTCATTTAAATGAACATTTGAGAGCTAATCATAAAGGTAAGTTATGTTAGTGTGATGTTAGTGTTCTTCATTGAAATCGTATACTACATGTATTCCTATCAAATCATCATTGAGGATACACTTTTCATCCACGTCATTATTATTTGTTTCATTAACTTTCAATAATTTAATTACTTTAACCGACCTTACTTCCTTATGAGGGGTGTCTCAACATGTTAACCATTCTGATTGTCTATCGTCTGATGTGCTATGACACATATCAAGTTACTGATGTTATAATAGGATAGAAGTTCTCTGGGTATCATAGTAATCATGGCTTTTGTCAAACACTACCCTTGATCCAGTAATTCTTATTTCTAGTCTTATTTAGTTTGAAATGTTGCTTCATAATCATCCAATTTTCTTATACCTGATGTGCTAGAAATTTGCTGGTCTTTGTGTCTCACAGGACATTCGGAAAGCCATCACATTCCGTTGTATCGTGAATTAAATGAAATAGATAATTTGTATTAGTATTGTATTCAGACTCAGTGTTCTGGAAGTGTTATTTGTCTCAAAACTTAAAGGCATTAAATTCTATTTGTTTCAGGAGTTGTAGGTGTCCAAGTGTATATATATAGGTCAATTTTCATTGTGTATGTCAAGAAATATTATTTATAAATATTTAACAGTCAGATTTAGTTGTTGTTGGTTGCTCGTATCTTCTCATCACTGTGTAGGACTGCAATTGATCAGTCTCTTGTTGGCATATGTGCATCCTGTGCAGGTTGCCTCGATATTGCCTTAAGTCACAAGCTTTATGAGCAATGATCGATGGTAGTTAGCAGGGGAATCCAGGACGCGCATTTTGTATGTCCAACCACCGACTGTCTCGACCTACGATGTTTTGTAGTGTAAGGGTAGGTTGGAATTAAGCTAGGGGCGGCCACGCGAAAAATGGCACAAATCCCTGGTTAGGATCCCCGAGACGATAGCCACCAATCGTTAGAGACCCTAAATGACATGGCTCAAAATCGTCTGCAATGGCGCAGGTGCATCCACTCTTTGTATTCTCCCAACTTCTGATTTGAATTCTTCGTGTCCCTTTTTTTCTTTTTCCAAACTTATTTCACTAGATTATACTCCTTGAATAACATCTTCAAACCCTAATCTTTCCGATTACTGCTTATACTTTTACTACCTCTACTACTACGTGATTTGAATCGACAATTGTATCTCTGTGCTAATGTGGTATGGCAACTCGAACTGATGTACGTACGTACGAAGTTCTACGTAGTCACTAACTGACTGATTTTGTCCTATTTCGGTCTCGTCAGCTGGATGTACCTGCGTCGCAGAGTCATATAGTGATAATTTATTACCATCCACTAGTATATTTACTGATTTTGTTTAAGAACTTTTTTACTTTTTTTTAATAACATAGGTTTTATTAATTCGTATGATTTTTTAATTAGGTGTAAAATTTACCTGTGATCTGTGTAACAAAGAATTTGCTTATAAAGTAGGCTTAGATGAACATAATAAGAATATTCATGAAGGTTAGTCTATTATTGTGCTTCAAATTTTTATGTATGTATTTTGCTGAACTTATAATGATGATTCACATATAACTCTTCTATAGCTTCTCCAGAATCTAACTTTTTAACATGTAGATATGAATCTTCTGGTACGGAAACTGTTTGAGTCGGTTTAGTCATCTGGATAGAATCTCAGCCTACACAGAAATACTATGATAAATACTTAAAAGATTGATAATGATTAAGAATATTCTTTTCAGGTCTTGAAGTTATAGAATTTTGAATAATATTTTGCTGTTTTATGTGAATAAACTGTTGCTGAAAGATACATTTGTTGTGACTTTATGTCCGGCTTTTTATCACGCGATTTATTCACCAATCAAAATACGACTTCTACAATCTTAGCACTGTGCCAAATCAATGACGATGGACCTGTATGAGCAGCCTAGCGTCCTTACTGGTCCTATGTCCGCCTAGCCAGTCCCCTTGAGTCCAGAATTCCAATACCAACTTCCACTATGTGAATCATACATTTCAAACATACTGTGTTTATATATCAAACAAACAGACCGCAACGGTCCATAAAATAGGAAGTAACATTTGTACATTTGTATTTTAATGAAAATGACTAGTGTTGATCGTCAGTGTTTTCTACAAGTAGAATGTGCGTTGTAGCTCTTACTATCCTGTCGGAGTACTTGAATTTCAATTGCTGTGATTGTTTTCGCTCTTCATACCATAATTATAGTTCAAGGTCTTCTATGGGAATGACTGTTCTTTTTTTCTTATCCTTTTCTCTTTTGAAATGGTTATGTATATCTAGGATGATATGTGTACTTCCAACCCTTAGTACATAACCACATTTATTCATTTTTTAATTTGTTTCATAAAAATTTATCAGTATTCATACTTGCTTTTCTTCATTAGGAATAAAGTATCCATGTGACCAATGTAGTAAAACGTTTTCGTCCAAATGTATGTTAAATAACCACGTGAAAGCTATTCATAAAGGTATGTTTCGGTTTTGAAAGAGACGTTCTACTGTGAAACTGGTACGCCTCATACATTCTCATCAGAAAAATTATTTCGTGTATGCTTTTCATTTGAATTGTTTTAACATGTTTCTTCGGTTTCTAATGTTTCAATCAGTTAGTAGTCAGTTTTAATACTCTGCTTGGAATGTATTACTTATATACATGGGTTTCCGTTGTCACGCCACATTTAGCGCTGCACGACAAGACTATCTAAACCAATTCTAATGTAGTGGTAGTAGTGAAAATGATAAATAATAGTTGAAAAGGTTTAGGTGTAGAATAAAAAAGTATTTAAAGACTTCAGGACTTTAGAATCTAAGGTTAAGAAGAAATGTAAAAGCACTTGAGCCACTATGATCGATTCTAATCCATGTCTGCGTACCCACTGGTTTCGGTAATCGTTCATACCACGAGCAAATAGTCTGCACCTACGTACATGGCTTAATCCATTTGGTAATGACCTCATGGGCTGATTCGTTTACGTTTGTCATGCCATATCTTTCAGCCTAATTTTACACCGTGCAACATCGTCCATCGAAGTAGGAGCTTTCGAGCATACATAATACATGTCTCGACCACCTGAGTTAATGTAAACTAATTACCCTGAATATTGATATCGAATTTATATAAGTATATATTTTGTTAATTATTGTTTTCTTTCTCTCATTAGGAATAAAACTTACTTGTAAGCAATGCGATAGAAAGTTTAATTGTAAATCCAATCTAAACTTACATGTAAAGTCTGCTCATGAAGGTAATTTCTATTGGTTGGTTATAATTATATTCTATCATGAAATCGTATTTTACGCGCAGTTTCATCAAATATTGATCATACACATCACATTGAAATCACTCTTCATGTTTCTTGGACTTTTAATTATTTGGCAACTCATATTGATAATATTCCACTGGAAGCTCTGTTTCACGAAAGATAAATTGGTGTTATAATAGGTTAAAAAACACGAATTTCAACTAATAAATCGTAGATCGTAATCCTCTCTCACCTTTCATTTGGTCACATATTGTGAAGCTCGAACTCTTAGGAATCACTTATTTTTTAGTTGGATTATCATTTTAAATAGTTAAACATATTTTACCAAATCTCAGCTTTCTCGGTTCTTATAGGTATATTTTTCCAATGTGATGAATGTGATAAGAAGTTCACTGCGAAATGTCCACTAAATAAACACATACAATCAATTCATCAAGGTATAGTTTTTTTTTACAATCACACAATTACATTTACGTGTATTTTTGTGGATTTTAATATGCCTATACACCCTGTTCACTAATCCCATTTTTATTTCACTCTGTTTTTTCATTGACGTTTTCTTACTATAAGAAAAGTACGAGTAATTAAATTTTCGAAAGGTATGAACTACATGATTATAAGATAATGGGAAATAAGCTTCTTCAATAAGGAGGGATTCTTTTGAAATTTGTTAGAATGTATTGATAAATCAAGGTATTCATATTTTTACTAGTATATTAACATTATTGGTTTGTGGCTAGTTGTATTACTCGATCGTATAAATTGAAGTATGTTGTTTCCTCTGTAAGGATCCTTAAAGTTTGTAATCCAAAGTGTCTAATCGATGATGGATTATAATGGCTTTATGATTCAGTTTACCATGGAAACGAGTGATTGAGTAAAGTCGTATTCCACTGATTGTTCTGTTGCTTTCTAATAATAGATTTAAGTTACTTTTTAATTACAAATGATTGAGATTCCTCTAATGCGACCGGTTTCCATCGAGCAGTTCAGTAATGCGGTAGCTGACACACAACACTTCAATAATAGTCGGTAAAATCGAAGGAACGAAAGGATAAGATTGGAGTCATGAAAGTTATATACATCAATCATGTTTCCAATTTACTTTTCAGATTAAGATTTATTTTTTATTTTGAAGTGAAAAATGATGATCCATAAATGGTGTTGTGACATGTCAGTTTGTTTGTTTATCTAACGTCTCATGGTATTGAATCTCAACTTGAATTCTGCACAATAAACCGATGGTTTGAAATATTGATTTCTAGTTGGGCCACTCCATATCATAGGCGTTGAACGAAATGTGGTTGTTGGAACGTTCTTGGATTACGTAAACATTTACTTCTTCACTGAGTTACACTATTGGTTTGTATAATATGGTTATGTCTTTGAAAATTAATAAAATATGTGTTATATTATGATAAGCTGAGCATCGTACATTTTCCATCTGAACTGATATGTGTTGGTCTGTTGACTAACCCTCTCAGGAAAATTTTGCACCATTATTTACTTTAATATGTCTATACTGCCTATAGTTTTGTTCCTTTAGATAAAAAAGCTTCCATAAGCTAATATCTGAAAGTAATTATTAGTCACCCTCTTTATGTATCTTTTCAGTTGGCTTTCTGATTGACCGAAACCAATTGATTTTAACGTATGTTTACCTCGACTCGCTCGCTTCAATAGCTGTATGCATCCTGGAATTTGTAGTCGGTTGTACACTTTACATGACAAACACACTATCTGTTCATTATCTTATCGTTTGAGCGGAGCAATACAATGTTAAATATTATGATACAGTTTATCAGTCCGACAGAGAACAATTTAAACAAGTCCAACTAGCAGGTTTATATGATAAGGTTTAATCTAATATATCTAAACACATTTGACATCCTACCAATCCCAATCCTTAGTTATTTCATCTTAGATCTATTAGTCACTGATGTTGACTATGCAGTTGGCTTTCTATTGTTTATCTCATTTTTCTTATGTAACGGATGATCTCTTTCACAGAGTCATTATGGTCTGATCTATACATGCAAGCTTATTTTACTATGATTCGTAATTGAAGTGAATTGATCTATTATCCTACCAGACTTCTTATTTATTTATTTCCTTTTAGGAGTGAGGTTTGCTTGTGGACAATGTGACAAGAAATTTACAAAACCGAGTACATTAAATGATCATGTTAAAGTTATCCATGAAGGTATGATTAAAGAAAAAATCAAATATGATTTATTATTTTGACTATTTAAAAAAATATTTTCAGCATGCAGATTTGTGGTGATTATAGTATTTTCACAGTTGAATCCACAAATCGATCTAAGCTAGACCATCATTAAAAACTTCAAAGTACTGAATGGCCGATCCGTCCTATTATGGGACTCCTCAATAGTGCACGTTCATGATGCCACACGCGTGACTCGAACTCAGAGCCTTCGGTTTAGCACTCAAACGCTTAACCTCTAGACCACTGAGAAAACGTAACCAGTGGAGACAGTTATCCACCTCAGACAATGGATGGAGGGTTGAGCAAAATTATGAATTTATTGGAGTCAGACATTAACGCCATTGGATGCTAGCTCAGGGTTCTAGAGGTTAAGCGTTTGCACTGGAGACTGAAGGTCCTGAGTGCGGGAAATTCATTTAAGATTCCACTATCTTATTACATAGAATATGTTAACTGTTTAGTCTTTCAATTTGTCTTTCAATTAATGTACATATGAATGTTTGAATGTTTCACTAAGAATTGTTTTGAGTCTACTTTTGAACGAATGAGAACTGTTTGATTTATGAGGGTAAATACTGACCACGTCTGATTCAACATCCTTTAGTTTTTCATCAGTGAATTATTCCTTTTATTTTCCAGTTCAATAGATTGTTGTAAAGATTAATTAAATATAATGAAGACAGTTTTGTTCATTATTGTTATATCCCAATAAGAATACTGAATCGTAACTTTTGGGATCCATTTATGGACCAATACTATGCGTATATTTTTATCGTATGATTGTTAAATAACTAAACCATTCATATTCATGTCCCTCTTATTATGAGATTTATTTTGACCTATGAACTACCATTATACAATTTACCATTCTTGAATTATGCCCTGTCTATTAATCACTCACTACCTCCCACATTCACAGCCACATTTGGCTAAATCTTGTACAAATGTTGTTTCCTATGTTATAGTTCGATGTTGTCTGTCTGGTTGGCATTATAAACCGAGTATGTTTGAAATAAATGATTGATATTGCAGAGGCTGAGATTGGTGTTCTGGACCTAGCTGACTGGGCTAGGCAGGAAGCAGGACCGATAAGTACTCTACACTGCTCGCACGGGTTTTAGGCGTCATTGACCCGATCGATAACTCACTGTTCTCTAATTAATGGTATTATCACGTTATACATTAAAAGGGCACATAGGCCACAAGTTATAACAATTATGAGTTGAAATCTTTTGAATAACTTTTGAAAGAAAAAATTAAGGAGACATTAGATAATGGTTTTTTTTCCAATTTGTCTGAGATTTAAATCACTGCTCTTATATTGATGTTATCTGGTCGTTATAAAATTTAGGAGATTGTTTCTTCTATTGACAATTACATATTTTATTTTATAACTGGAAAGCATAATCCATAACTCAATGTCATTATTTCATCTACGATTAAATTAAGTGTCTAAAGTCGATCTATGTATGGCGATGTTGTAGTCAGGTGTTTTTGTTTATCTTTCCATCTTATTTTATTAAATCTTAATGTTGGTTTCCTATTATATGATGAGAGGAATTCAGTAGATGCATTATTCCTATTTTTGTTATCATTATCATTACTGTTAGTATTATTATTATCATCATTACTGTTACTGCTGAAAGTATTACCTTTCTATCTGATTCGTGTTGATCTTTCAGTTTGTCGAACAATCTTCACATTCCTTATTTTAGGATTTAAATTTCGCTGTCAGTTCTGTGAGAAATCATTTTCAACAAAGAAGTATCTTAGAAAACACGTGAAAACTAATCATGAGAGTGAGCGTTATTTCCAGTTCATTTATATTTATTTAGTATTTATCAACTAAACTGAAACGCACATAGTTCTGAATTATATAGACTTTCTACTTTGATTCAATTTCCAATGCATTGTAACGAACATTTATTATCTTCACTGAGGATACGATGCTTCACTAGTCACAATTTCTTACTGGAAGTTTAGTAGAGCAATTACTCGCAAGGAATTTACAAATATGCCCCAAATCAGTGACGTATTTGATGATTGTAGGGATTTATTTAGCTTGATTTTCACAGTTTGTTTAGGAAACCGCCTTGAAATAAACTGTGAGCGATCCAGTTAAAGCTCACCTTTTAACACTATGAATGAGAAAGACGATCGCACTTCAGTACTCTTTTTCTACTTTTTTCGATTGAGGTCATGAACCGCTTGATATTAGACCACCGTTGGAAACCTGGAAGGACTGGACGGCCGTTTTGTCTTATTGTAGGACCCCTCAGCAGTACGCATCCAGGATCCCGCTCGCGGGATCTGAACCTAGGGCCTCAAGTCTCGCGCGCAAACGCTTAACCTACTGGATCACTGAGCTGGCATCCAATGGTGTTAGTGCCTAATATCAACCAATCCACGTAATTGCGCGACCATCTATTGTGCTGAGTTAGATACCTGTCTCTACCCGACACGGATTAGCTGTACCGGTCACGGCTTCTCACTAGAACTCTGAGAATTTTCTCACGAAGCTAGTCACTAGTGAGCACATGTTAATTATCAGTGGATGCGCATTTCTGAGCAGCCCTACAATAGGACGGAACGGCCGTCTAGTGTTTCCAGGTTTCCAACGGTGGTCTAACATCAATCGGTTCATGATCTCATTCAAAATGTTAATAATCTCCACAACCTTCTACTTTTTTCGTGAGATTTCCTGAAATATTTTGAATGTGTAACATTTTCCGTGATTATCATTTAATCTATCTAAATATTCATCTTTTAAGTATTCTGTTTGACTATTGTTGAATTTTTAGACACAATAGTTGTCGTAGTCAGTGTATCCATTTGTTTCGTTGTTTTAGTATTTTGATTTCTGTGGCTTCCATGAATTAATTGCTGATTAGTTTAGCACAATATGAATGAAATGTGAATACATGTAGGATACATGGTAGGAAATTATGTCGAAGCGTTGAATCACTGTGATATATATATATATATATATATATATATATATATATATATATATATATATATATATATCCGCTTTTGAATTAGTATGTCCTACTTTAGTTACATAGTGCATACTGATTATGTAGGGAAATTCTTTGTTTGGAAATGTGCACTGAAATTAATCTTATTATTGATCGAGATTTATTTAATTGTATATTTAGGTTTGTGATAATCAAGTTTTTTTTTACCATATTCCAAATGTAATGATCAAAAATTACTACTGATATATGAAGCTTTGAATTTTACCAACTTCATTACTACTATTTGAAAATGAGAATGAATGATTTGATCTAGAACAACAATGATATCTTCACAATTAGACTGTCAAGCTGAGAGGACGCAATACTATGAAAAGCATCCATTTGATGAGCTATAAATCATTTGAATCATTTTAAGTTTCTTCTTCTTATTACTATTATCATCATCATCATTTATTGTCTGTTACCTTACTACTCTGAAATCAAATGCTGTTTAATAAACGAATATACTAAACTAACTGATATATTGGAATTGATAACATGCACATAGGATTTATCCCCAAATCTCCAATCAAATAGATATTTTGTTTATTATTTATTTTTTTATTTATATATTTATCATCATTGTACGAATAAAGTCATTGTTTAAAACAATTAGATGCTTTAATAAATTTTGATTATGCGATGTGATCTGTTTGAAAAATATCTGCCGAGTCTTTATCGACGTTCAAATTTTCTGTTATACAAAACATTACCAGCCATAGATACAAGAGCTAATCTGGTGTCCGCTATCTGACTCCATGATGAATAATGTTCATTGAACGCCATAACAATCTAACGTTTCATTCCACACATTATACTAAGGTTAATCCCGTTCGGGCAATAACGTTGCTATAAAACCAAATACGAAGTTGTGTGAGTGTATTTCAGTCAGACAGCAAGACGGGAAGCGCAGCATAGAAAGGTATTGTGCCAACTTCATTTAATTTAAATGTGATGCAAATTTATGAGCATGAAAGAAACATATATGCTTACACTTAAGATTATACACACATGCTCATGGCCGCACGTATGTATGACTAAATAACAGGTTGTAATGATTTATCCGTCGAAAGAAGGGTTAATCGTGTAGGCGTATGACAACGCTAGTTATTATAGTAGCGACGTGAACGGCAGAAAACAGTCAAGGAGTTGTGTTTTTCCACAAATAGTAAGCTGTTCATCCAAAGGTGGGTAGAGAGATTGTGACATCCTCAGTTAAATGGTTAAGAACTAACGGATGACCTTGTTGTATAATTGCAATTTTATAAATAAAGTAGTTATTTAGCTCCTTATTTTGGGTATGGCGAACATGGCAACAACTATCTTATAGTCTTCTGATTAACTAAATAACTAGGGAAATATTGGTCCAATAACATCAGATTACGTTGCAGAGCTATCAGGAAAGGCTTAGATGAAATCTGAACAAGATAAACAGCATGATGATCTATAGTACTTTAGCCATCCAACACCGGAGCATCATAGTTCAGTTACTGACCTTTACCTTTGGATAAACCCTGTCGCCTCATCCTAGGTCTGCGCAATGACTAAAGATAATGGTCTTATTAATGTGATTTCCATGTATATTGACAGGGTACTTAACGAATTGTCTCACGTAGGGTTTGTGGAGAATCTTTTGATGAAGCGGAATTAAGTTTCAAAAAATGATGGCGAAATGGTTATGTAGGAAAATGATATGAGAGGTGAGATCAATAATATAAATCATAAGATGATGGGTTTGCGTGAAGTCCACGAGTGTTATATGTAAAACGATGCGTCCAGAAAATATAATGTTAAGTGAATAGTCTGAACACATGTTTAAGTTATGAATTTACAGGACAAATCTATTGTAGACTGAATAAATAGGCAGCAGCGGACGAAATTTCGCGAAGGGGTGAATAACAATGGCGTGTTTTGAGAGTGGTAATCAATGGAGTAAGTGCATCTATGCTAGGAAGTAAAGATTGTTTTGAGCAAACTGTCAGACAACCAGTTGGGAACAAGGTAAAATGTGAGTAAAGAGATGCGAAATATAAATACTATCTAAAATAAGTTGTGGGTTGTCTACGTTAACCATCTAGCAAGTGTCAATACGACACTGCGATTAAAATGATGAAAGGCAAGAACGGATGCGCGTTATTGTTCGTCGTGTAGTTAGACACTTCGATAGTTTTAACAGTCCTGAACTCAGGTTAAAATCTGATGTGAATGCCCATGGTAGCCAACTCTGGTCTATAATTGCATGTTCGTTATCGTGGGCCAGCATTGATAAGGGTCAGAAAAATGAAGTATAATACGGACGGTTCAGAAGAAATGGCGATTTGGCAGCTAAAAATGTTGTTTCCCCAGTTTCTAGGGAAGATTCACTCACTTCAATAATGTAGACCCTAACCTAAAAGATAACTGTCTTTTAGTCCATAACTATGTAGTAGTAGTCTTTAAAGAGGTCGGGTTAGAGATTAGACAGCCTCATAAATGGCTGTCAGAAATCAAGCAGACGTATTTTAACAAACTTTAAAACGAAGGTCGGAGCGCTGTATTATCTGAGTCTTGACCCTAAGATCTGACATCTGAAGCTACAGTTGGTTGAACTTAAAACAGGGGTAGATATCGTTATGTCACTATTAAGAATATTGAGATTAGCCTAAACTAAAATTACTGAATTCGGTGGGGATCCACTTGGGTTTTGAATGTTCATGGAAGGACCTAATGTAAACGTTGAGGACTGAGTTAATGATGACACTTAACTCTACATGTAATTGTTACAACATTGTGAAGTTATAGCAAAGATGATATAGAATATTGCGTCCCATTTGAGAATAAGAACGTTACACTAGGGCAATCAGTGCTTTACTCAAGTAGTTTGGTTGACTTGTTGACATTGCAGTAGCATTCCTAATGTAATTATCAAACGGTCCTTCTTTTCATCAGAGTGACGTAGCAGGTTTGCAGAAGCTCATATGGAAAAATCACCAACTATAAGTCAGCTTTGTTACAAATGAAGGGAATTCAGACTTTAAATGTTCTAAAATAAAAGTAGTGGTAATGAGACTTTCACACAGGGTATATTTCAAATGGGCAGAAGCGGTAGACGACATTCTGAAAAAAGGTTAGAGACCATATGTCGTTAATTGTTAGAGTTTGTGGAAAAGATTGCGTCACCTGCTACAAATACATATGGAGAGATCGCGCACGGAATCTACAAGGCCCAGACAATGCCACCGAATGGCCAACCAGCTTCTAGTCAACATATTTCTATTCTCTGACAGCGAATAAATACTAGATGGAAAAGCGACTAAATTACCTATGTGAAAGATTATTGAAAGGAGAACATCATCCTAAGCTGTATATTATTATATTAGTTAATCGTGAGTGTAAGGTGTATTTATCCCGATTGGTGCAAGCTGCCGAGAGAGAAAGGCATGTCGTTCCATATCATCCTGTGTTGAATCATAAAAAGCCAGGAAAAGTTCGTATAGTGTTCAGCTGTGCTGCCTAATCATGTATCTCTGAATGATTGAATACACTTAAGACCAGATTTAATAGAAGTATTCCTCAGACTCAGAAAACTTAAGATTGGGCAATCAGCAGACAGAGAGGAAATGTCCTTTCAAGAACATCTGTCTGACGAGGATGAAGAAGTTCTCGACTTTTTGTGGTTCTCAGAAATAATCTTGACTCAATTCCTGATATTGACTGTCTTGTGCCGTTTATGATTTTAGACGTATGATCATCGGTCACTATGATTTATTCGACAAGAATACGAGCTACTCTTCGACGAAAATTCCACGTGTGCTATTGTCTTGTTTCTGTAGAAATAGTGTCTGAGGTCCGCGAGCTAGCGGATAGTTTAAGTCAACTTGTAAACCTCTGGGTTTTCCGAAAATATAGGTGCGTCAGTAATGAATTCGATGCTCTAAACGATGTCACTGTGGAAGGCGAATCGGATAACTTCGTTTATATTTCAGGTTTGAAATAACGTATACATAGGACTTTAGGATCTAAATTTACAATAACTGAAAGGTAATGACGACTAAGGCTTTGGTGCTGATCAATCGGTACTTCCATCACATTTCCCATAGGTTAGCTGCCATGTGCAAGCATATTTGGAATGGCAAGGGTGAAGAAAACAGATATGAATGTGTTATCGAATGTCTTCAAACAGGTGCTGTGCACTCAGAAGTAGCATTTTTAGTGGCCCATAGATCTGACTCCAATTAGAGCGTACGAATGTTTGTTATCGCCTTTTCTCGTATATCGTCGTCGACTTAAATCGCGTTATCCAATAACGGAATTAAATAAGTCGAATAACGAGAATTGACTTGAGAATACAATTATTTCTTACATGAAGCGAATGAAGCATAGCAAAGCAAAAAATGACACGTATGGGAGATGACTGGGAAGCCAACTCCATTTTAATTAAGCGTTACTCAATATTTATAAGCCGACAAAATAAACTACAGACATGTGATGAATCATGGGACATGAAGTGTACACACATATACGCTCATATAAAAAACAGTGTAGATTGATAAGCGAATAAATAACAAGGTAATAGTATGGCTCGAGTAGAATGAATAGAATGGGATGTCCGAAAGCCAGAATAAGGTATATGGGCTTAACATAGTAACTGACACTGCACATTCAATCCGAACCGTAGTGATCTCGTGGTGGATTTAATGGGTTTAATAGGCAGAAGAAGAAATGGAAAAGCAAATCACAGTGATAGTAGGTCTAATTTCATCCGACAGAATTCTGAATTTCAAGATATACGAGTGAGTGGGACACAAACAAGTTCAATAATGTTGCTGCATCCAGAGGATTACGATAGCATTTAATCCGTCCATTGGGTAGGTATCGCGTCCTAATATGTGAGAAACTGATACTTTCAGTTGGACATATGTTGGTGGGAAATTCTATAGAGTAGGTTTCGTGTCTAAATCGATAGTTTGTTTATCTCTTGAAATTCTTCCTTGTTTCGATAACTTCTGCACCGATATTTTGATATTCGTCAATCTTGTTCAACTGAAACTTCAGTCTTTTAGTCTGAGTAGGATGTGTTTTTATGATTTCTAGATACACAGAGCATATCGTTTTGATTTACCGATGCCGTTTACTCTCCACATTTGTTTGCTAGGTATATTTTGAGTTGACACCTAAAAAAGTAGGGATAAATGGCAAGTGTTTCTCTTGGAAGCCAGTACTTGGTGGATGTTCGAGGGATTGTACTGAATCATGTAATTTTGTTTGTGTATGCAACTGAACTCTGGAATATACATGAAGAAGGACCAAGACAACTTCCATCGAACTACAGACCTGTAAGCCTCACCAGTGTTGTCGTTAAGATATTGGAAAGAATAGTCAAACGGAATATAATAGCATTTATGGAAGCCAATAACTTGCTAAATATAGAACAACATGATTTTAGGAAGGGTCAATCTTGTGCCACGAACCTCCTTATAGCAAGGGAGTTTTGGATAAAAGCGCTAGACAACGGAAACTCAGTGGATGTTGTGTACATAGACTTCAGTAAGGCTTTTGACAAGGTGCCATCTAAAAGACTGCTATTGATGTTGGAGACCCTCGGTATTGCCGGACTTCTTTTAAAATAGATTAGGGATTTCCTAGTGGGTCGTCGACAGAAAGTAAGAATAAATTCCAAGTACTCCATCTGGAAACCAGTACTTAGTGGGGTACCTCAAGGTTCCGTCCTAGGTCCTTTGCTTTTTATAATGTATGTTAATGAACTTCCAAGTATAGTACAGTCTCCAATGTTATTATACGCTGACGGTGTAAAGATCTGGCGAGTAATAACTGGAGATACAGACGTATGTGCTCTTCAGGCAGACTTAAATAATATGATTAACTGGTCTAAAGGGTGGTTGATACCTATCAACGCAGCAAAGTGTGCCTACATGCACTTTGGGGATTCAAAGGTTGATAGGTACAACAACCTTCTTTCTACGACCTCGGAGATTATTAGTGCTGGAGGGAGCAAAAGGATGAGACATATTAACACTCAAATCATAAGTAAAGATACGAAATGCCAGCATAAGGTCACCTCACGTGCTACGACACGACATGGGGAAAAGGTTTAAGGGTTTTAAAGGCTCATCGTATCCTTTACCAGACATGGGATAGCTGCTTGGATACAGTACTCTAAATGTGGTCTTATGTAGGTGGAATGTAAAATTCGAAACAATTCCTCGTCAAAAGATTCGAACGCTCGGCAAAGTGACCATAACGCACGAAAAACTTTAACAGCGGCTGCGTTACAATGCGTAGTTGTTTTTAAGTCATGACTTATTATTACTCCTAAGTCTTTATGCTCTTGAACGCATGTAAGAGGTTTACCATCAATAGTATAATGGTAACCATTACCGTGACCGATGTGCATTAGCACACTCTTCCTAGAATTGATTTCTAAGCCCCAACCTCGAGCCCATCTAACCAAATCGTCTAAGTCAGCCTGAAGATCCAGATGATCGGCCACACTTTTTATTGTTCTTCGGATTTTGACGTCATCCGCAAACAATAATGTCGACAACCTAAGCAACAGCGGTAACTCATTAACGTAGAGAAGGAAGAGTAGAGGGGCTAGGATGGTGCCTTGGGGTACACCACTTTTGACTCTTTCAAAAGAAGACTGGACACTCACAGAAGCATACTAGCAAAGGAATAACATAGGCCATAGGCCTTCTGCTCTTACTACACAAGTCTGGGATCTGAGTCTGAATTTTGTTCACTTGTTGGATCCTCGGCACTTCGATCAAAGTAATGAAAGTGGATGACCTTGAGCAAGGAAATTTAGATGTGGCTAGTGATAGAAGTAAAGTATGTGGACGAATCAGTCCGATCTTAGTGTGCAGTGCGTTCGTATGCTATTGTAGCAGGTTGAACTATCTGCTTCTAGTTTCAATCCAAAAATTGTTTTGATATGAGACTTGTGCTGTTTGTGATTCCCGAGCTCCCAAGTTTGGGGAAATTATGTAGTAGTTAGAAGTATTTAAATCATTATACGAACTACGAATTCCCGAAGTAGTGCAATTTACAGAGAACAGAACTAGATAAACCCAAAGGAAAGTATTACATTTAGTGTTTGATATCAGGCAGTCATCAAGTACAAAAGAATCAGCAGTTCATACAAACACTACAGATTGTTGCCGATTGGTTTCACTAACGAAACTACACGATACACTGTGTGTGCTTGTTGGGTCATCGATTCACCTTTTATTTTGTCCATTTGTTTCCCAACCATCATGCTACTCTGCATACTCCTTTAGTACACAACGTACCTCTTGGCTAGATGCGAACCTCCACAATTCTGTTTTTGATGGGAACTTTATTATTTCATATGTAAAGGCCCGTTATTCACTTTAGAACTGTGTATCAGCCATGAATATAACAATTTTATTGCACAAATCGCCTTAGTATTTCTCGTGCTTGCTGAAAGGCGGCTCGATGTGAAGGATCTAGGTCGCTCATATTCTTTACTTCCACTCGATTCTCAATTGAAAAGTTATACAATTGTAATTTATGAACACTTTTAACATAAATTAAGAACCGATATACGTGTGAGATGTTAGTGTTCTAGCTATAATACAATAATGCTTGTTGACCATTATGAGGAAATGAATTCCACGCCAAAAATCTGTGTGGTTCGGTTGTTTTTTAGTTCTGGCACTTCTCACGCTCTCTACACTTCTAGGTTCTGTCACGTGTTACTTTTCACATTATGCCAGTACCTAACATGCCTTTATACTAGACACAAACGCTTCATTTGCCTAATGCTATTGGACGCCTTTTCTTAGGGGCTTAAGGATCTTCCATACGTTGGATCAACGTATAACCGATATCTCTTTATTGCGACGTGGGTTTATGAAACAGGAAAGAATGCATTCTGAAGAATAATCCTCTTTCATGACTCTTAAGGAGGAAGAAATCCACTTGACTTCAAGAACAAGACTAAGTAAACTCAGTGACTCAGATTGTGAGAGAAAACTATTAGTATACTAATCCATCGGTAATATAAAACTATCAGTCACAGCTTGTGATACCGAACAATTGTGAGTCTATCGGTGGTTGAAAATGTCGGAAGTTGAGTTATTAACTTCATTAAAACGTCTCCCTAAATTAAGTTTTGCTAAGATTGGAAAACGTTTATATATCAATGGTGCTAAACAGCAACTAAACATTTCATCATATTTGGAATAACGATGTTACTTGAATGTTATTGTTATCAGTAGATATTTTATAAGTAAAAGGGATGGTAATCTTGTGACCGAATTTAAATTAGAGTGGGGCTAGTAGCGATTTTCGTTATTTGAAGTTGAAATCTCTATGCGATATATTTTCTCGCTAAAGAGCTGTTTTGCCATTTGTTGTAGTTACCACATATTTCTATGCATATGAAAATCGAAGTGAAATGGAGATATCTATGTTCGACCCTTATTTTGGAATTAATTTTAAGGTCGAAGAACCAGTAGAGTTAGATGATCTAGTTATAAGGTCGTCACAGGAATTAGTCTCAAAAGATGTAAATGTTGTACCTGAAAAATGTATAGAAGGTAGGTAACCATTATTATTTTCATCATTATATTTATGAGATTCGTATTTGCTCATCATCACTCGTTACTAGAAACCAACATGTATGAACTTGCTTGTAGGAACTATACCAATGTTCGGTCCTTAATTAATTTTAATTATTGTCACATGAAACGTTACTTGTATGATCTTCAAACGCAGCCATGTACTTCCATGTCGTTTTGTGCATGTTCACAATGTCATTAATCTATAACTATACGTAACAGCACCGCACTCTGACCCCCCCCCCATTGTCCATAAAGTAATTCATCTAGGTCACTCACGACAAAACACTGATGACCTCGCCTGTATTTTAAAATTTCATTGATTTCGAGATAACTATTAAAATATATACTCACTTCTTGTTAAGTACTCAACAGAAATTGGTCGTCACTAACAGACTAGGAGAACACAATGTTAGTTGTAAGCTACTCAACGATCAGTAATTGTTAATATGTTTTAAGTGATATCGTATAAGGTCCTCAGCTGTTGATACTTCCGTGCTCTAAGCTAATACTCAATACTTTGAACGAGAATAATTTTATCTTCTTCTATCCTGCTCTTTAATCAGAGTGAGAAGTCCAGTTGTTAGTAAAAAGGCTTTGTTGATGAAAACCTAGGAAGAATTAACTTACATTTAAGTTAATACAGTTATAAATCGATTCATTGATTATAATTTATAGAATTTCATCAACTGAATAATTTTTACTGAATAAGGAATCACAATGAAATAGTAAATACAAGGGGAAATGCACTGGAAATCAAACAAGTGCTGTGTTTGAAGAGATTACGAGTTCACCTAATCGGAGAACGAGACGAAGGCTCTGTGACACAATGACAGGAAAACTAGCTATTCCGATGCATCCAAACCCAACCAACTAGAGAGAGAAGTCCGAATTCTGAGGAGGGAAACATTTTAACTTTTGATCCTGTCATATCAACAACTAACAAAATAATGAATAACCGGTACTAGTGAGAACAAATCGAAAGTAAATTAGTAGGACCCACTCTGAATAAACAATTTTAATTAAAAGGAGTTGCAAGTTGACTGAATAAAAATAATCTTAAATCGATTTAGAGATTGATTTTTTCCACATTTCATTTGGGGATTTTACATCCCTAACAACCATAATTGACAATCATATTGTTGACTGCACTAGTTATTATTCTGTATTTCTATAAATTGTCAGTTCTGTTTAGTGGAAGACCATAATAACCCTGCTGATGTTAACTTGGTTACAGCAGGATCGCCACTGACTTCTATTCTGAGCCATATCTGATAACATCTCTAGCCACTGTGTAGCACCACCTCTCAGACCTCAACCAGGGAGTCGTGAAGGACCAACACAAGCCAGCCCCTTTGCAGCTTTCTTTCATACCCCGACACCATGTCATATACTGATCACCTCCGCTTTTTCCAACCAGTCCCAGAGTCGGCCAATAATTCACGACGTGGAATTCTCTGGGACGACATCCGTAGACATCATCAGCATAAACTTCAGATAGAAGTGAAGTGTTCGAATTTCTCCATATGTGTTTCACAGCTTGTTCTGTGCACCTCGATGTTGATTGGTTCTTATTGACCTTAAATTTGTCATTGTTTACTTCTTTGTTTTGGTTGTGTCTCCCGTTGTGCATGACTTTCCTGATTGGTTGGCAAATTGGATTGATAGAGCAGAAGTGCTCTCACCGACGCGTTGTAGATCCGACCTTCTACAGCCAGACTAACATCACGAAGGCGCCAAAGATGGGCCAGATTGGCATAAGCCGCTCTGGCTTTCACTAAACGTGCATTGATTTCATCACTCAGGCCACCACCAGCACTTATGCAGCTACCTAGGTACAGGAACTTTTCGACTACTTCTATCTGCTCACAATCCAGAGTGAGTACAGGATTACAATCTTGCCAGTCTTGTAGAAGTACTTTGCACTTCGAAGGTGCAAAGTACATACCGTGCCTTCGCAGACGACATAGTCCTGTTTGCTGAAGACGCTGATAAAATCCAGAGTCTTTTGGTAGCACTAAGTAACAATGCCAAAATATTTGGAATGCGCTTCTCGCCCTCCAAACGCAAGTTGTTTCTTCAGGACTGGTCTGCGTCAACACCTGAATTATGGATAGGGAGTGAAGTAGTCGAACACGTTGACAACTTTACTTATCTTGGAAGTCTGATCAGCCCTAATGGGTTGGTGTCGGACGAAATCTCAGCACGAATTCGAAATGCTCGTTTGGCTTACGTCACCTATGGCGAAGGCGAGATATCCGTCTGTCAGTTGATGAGGTTGTGAATCTTCATTGACTGAGATGGTTGGGCCACGTGTTATGTATGCCTGAACACCGATTACCACGAAGTGCAATGCTAACCGATGTTGGAGATGGTTGGAAGAAAATTAGGAGCGGCCAAACCAAAACGTGGGATCAGTGCTTGAAGACACTAACCTATAGTCTGAGCCATGTTGGTAGATGCAGACTACTTGTTTGGGGTCCGGGTGACTATCGTAACCAATGGTTGGAGACTGTTGGTGACATGGCTCAGAATCGATCACAATGGAGTCGGTGTATACACTCTCTGTCTTCCCTTAAACTAAGAGATTAAAATCGCTTCATATTATTCTTTCTACGAACTAATGCTTTCTTTCTGTACTATATCCTTATTGCAATCTTTCTTTTATATATTACCACCATTGACTTAACCACTCCTGTGAATTCGATGTTCATCTTGTTGTGCTATTGCGGTATGGCAACCTGGACCGATGCATATATGTGCCTGGTCCTACGTTGTAGCTGACTGACTGACTGTTTTTACTAATCTCTTTTTCGCTATATATGTAAATTTTACATGTAGCGTAATTATGATTGACACTAAACATCAAACATTTGTGCGTATTTGTTTTCATTTTCATGACATGTTTGTTATATAAATCTAGCAACATGTTTATTAACTATTTAGTTACGTAACCACAATCTTTCGTGATTTTCGTAGATGAATGTGATTCTGATAAAGCTCCTGTTGTTGGCGATCTCGTTACAGATAGAGGTGTGGTTTTTATCAGGACAAATCAGAACCCTATCCGACAAAATTCTGCAAAGGGTAGGTGCCTTACGTTATTCTAATATATTGAGATTGCAAATCAAACTCACCCATGAAAAAGCATACATCTTAAATTTTTTCCCCACCTATTCGACGTGGTTTGTTTGTCATTATCTACAAATCTGAAAGTAAGCATATATCTAAAGAAGTGTTTGTTCGATTAGTTGTACTATGTGGCGTGTTTAATGGTACAGTTTTATTGCTACTTCTGTTACGATTTCAAAGAAGTAAGATATTTTCATTTCGTGGATGGAATTTTCATTTTCGACATCCCATCTTACTAATGATTTATTGTGTCCATCTTCTTTGAAGACTCTTGTGAAAAAAGTCCTTAGATTTGGTTTTATTGGTCACCATGTTCGCTTGATGGGAATCTCATGGACCAAGGATCATCAAAGCCTCGTTCAAAACAAAGAAAGAGGGTATTTCAATGAACATCATCCAATGCTATGCGCCTACCAACGACTACAATGAAGACGCTAAAGATCAATTCTACAATAGGCTGCAGTCAATCATCGAGAAGTGCCCAACAAAGGACCTGAACATTCTGATGGGAGATTTCAATGCCAAGGTTGGAACGGACAACACTGGATATGAAGACATCATGGGACGACACGGACTGGGAGAAAGAAACGAAAATGGTGAGTGATTTGCAAACCTATGTACCTTCAATAAGCTGGTCATAGGCGGCACCATATTCCCACATAAACGCATGCACAAAACCACATGGACTTCACCGGATCACTCTACACAAAACCAAATCGACCATATTTGCATCAACAAAACGTTCAGGAGGACTATAGAGGACGTAAAAACCAAGAGAGGAGCTGATATAGCATTAGATCATCACTTGCTGGTCGCCAAGATGAAATTGAAACTCAAGAAGCACTGGACAACGGGGCGGACAATATCACAAAAGTTCAATACGGCCTTTCTTCAGGATACTGAAAAACTCAACAAATTCAAAATAGTCCTCAGCAACAAGTTCCAGGCCTTTCATGATCTACTCAATGGAGAAGGAACTACTGTGGAGAGCAACTGGAAGGGGGTCAAAGAGGCAATCACTTCAACATGTCATGAGGTTCTGGGTCACAAGAAGCACCATCACAAGGAATGGATCACTGTTGATACACTGGATAAGATTCAAGAAAGAAGGAACAAGAAAGCAGCAACCAATACCAGTCGAACAAGAGCAGAAAAGGCCAAGGCATAAACTGAATACTCAGAAGTAAACAAACAAGTGAAAAGGAGTATCAGGACCGACAAACGTAAATATGTAGAAGATTTAGCAACGACGGCGGAAAAGGCTGCAAGAGAAGGAAACATGAGAGAACTGTATGACACGACAAAGAAACTCTCTGGAAATCGCCGCAAACCAGAACGACCAGTGAAAAGCAAGGAAGGCGAGGTAATCACCAACATTGAAGAGCAACAAAACAGGTGGGTAGAACACTTCAAAGAACTCTTGAATCGACCAGCTCCACTGAACCCACCCAACATCGAAGCAGCACCCATGGACCTCCCAATCAATGTTGGCCCACCAACATTTGAAGAAATCAGCATGGCCATCAGACAAATCAAGAGTGGCAAAGCAGCAGGACCTGACAACATCCCAGCAGAGGCACTAAAAGCAGACGTAGCGGCAACTGCAAGGATTCTCCACATTCTCTTCAATAAGATTTGGGATGAGGAACAAGTACCGAAAGACTGGAAAGAAGGATTTCTGATCAAAATACCAAAGAAAGGCGATCTCAGCAACTGTGATAACTACAGGGGCTTCACTCTTCTCTCAATACCGGGAAAAGTCTTCAACAGGGTATTTTTAAACAGGATGAAGGACTGTGTAGACGCCTAACTTCGTGACCAACAGGCAAGATTCCGTAAAGATAGATCGTGTACAGACCAAATCGCAACTCTACGGATGATTGTGGAACAATCAATTGAATGGAATTCGCCACTCTACATCAACTTCATTGACTACGAAAAGGCATTTGATAGCATGGACAGAACAACACTATGGAAACTTCTTCGACACTACGGCGTGCCTCAGAAGATAGTCAATATCATACAGAATTCCTATGATGGATTACACTGCAAAATTGTGCATGGAGGACAGTTGACAAAGTCGTTCGAAGTGAAGACCGGTGTTAGGCAAGGTTGATTACTCTCACCCTTTCTCTTTCTCCTGGTGATCGACTGGATCATGAAGACGTCAACGTCTGAAGGGGAAGCGCGGGATACAATGGACATCTAAGATGCAGTTGGACGATCTAAACTTCGCAGATGATCTGGCCCTTCTATCCCAAACGCAACAACAAATGCAGGAGAAGACGAACAGTGTGGCAGCAGCCTCAGCAGCAGTAGGTCTCAATATACACAAAGGGAAAAGCAAGACTCACCGATACTACACAGAATGCACCAATCCAATCACAATTGACGGAGAAGATTTTGAAGATGTAAAAACCTTTACATATCTGGGCAGCATCATTGATGAACAGGGTGGATCTGATGCAGATGTGAAGGCGCGGATCGGCAAAGCAAGAGCAGCATATTTACAACTGAAGAACATCTGGAGCTCAAAGCAACTGTCAACCAACACCAAGGTCAGGATTTTCAATACAAATGTCAAAATAGTTCTACTGTATGGGGCAGAAACCTGGAGAACTACGAAAGCCATCATCCAGAAAATACAGGTGTTTATTAACAATTGTCTACGCAAAATACTTCAGATCCATTGACCGGACACTATTAGCAACAACGTACTGTGGGAGAGAACAAACCAGATCACAGCGGAGGAAGAAATCAGGAAGAAGCGCTGGAAGTGGATAGGACAAACATTGAGGAAAGCACCGAACTGCGTCACAAGACAAGCCCTCACATGGAATCCTGAAGGCCAAAGGAAAAGAGGAAGACCAAAAAACACATTACGCCGAGAAATGGAGATAGACATGAGAAAAATGAACAAGAATTGGATGGAACTAAAAAAGAAGGCCTAGGACAGAGTGGGTTGGAGAAAGCTGGTCAGCGGCCTATGCTTCATTGGGAGTAACAGGCGTAAGGAAGTAAGTAATATTCGCTGACAAATAGAGCCATTATTGAAGTATCAAAAATTATTTACGTTTCATTTAATACACATTATTCTTGCTTCACTAGTATCAAATCGTCTCCATCGACTCAACATAGATTAGATAACGATGTACTAAACTTGTATAAATGAGAGTAAACATCTTTTTGCGTAAAATATCGTAGTAGATTGATGTTAACCGAAGCACTCTGTGAAAACTTAAGGATCGAATATATTATTTTCACCATTATCTCAATTTGTGAAGAACTATTGACAAGCAGATAGGAATATGTATGTTCCGAATTAATTTGAGACCCTTGATCACTGAGGACTCATAGCTCTATACAGATTGAACATAAGCGATGCATGAAGGTATCACAGTGAACACAGTACTTTCAAACCATTGAGTTGGCGTCCATTTCTCCTTATTTTCAGCTTCAAATGATCTACGGTTACAAGTGTAAATATGATTCAATTTTCATTGCGTATGCGAAGAAATATTATTTATAAATATTTAACAGTCAGATTTAGTTGTTGTTGGTTGCTCGTATCTTCTCATCACTGTGTAGGACTGCAATTGATCAGTCTCTTGTTGGCATATGTGCATCCTGTGCAGGTTGCCTCGATATTGCCTTAAGTCACAAGCTTTATGAGCAATGATCGATGGTAGTTAGCAGGGGAATCCAGGACGCGCATTTTGTATGTCCAACCACCGACTGTCTCGACCTACGATGTTTTGTAGTGTAAGGGTAGGTTGGAATTAAGCTAGGGGCGGCCACGCGAAAAATGGCACAAATCCCTGGTTAGGATCCCCGAGACGATAGCCACCAATCGTTAGAGACCCTAAATGACATGGCTCAAAATCGTCTGCAATGGCGCAGGTGCATCCACTCTTTGTATTCTCCCAACTTCTGATTTGAATTCTTCGTGTCCCTTTTTTTCTTTTTCCAAACTTATTTCACTAGATTATACTCCTTGAATAACATCTTCAAACCCTAATCTTTCCGATTACTGCTTATACTTTTACTACCTCTACTACTACGTGATTTGAATCGACAATTGTATCTCTGTGCTAATGTGGTATGGCAACTCGAACTGATGTACGTACGTACGAAGTTCTACGTAGTCACTAACTGACTGATTTTGTCCTATTTCGGTCTCGTCAGCTGGATGTACCTGCGTCGCAGAGTCATATAGTGATAATTTATTACCATCCACTAGTATATTTACTGATTTTGTTTAAGAACTTTTTTACTTTTTTTTAATAACATAGGTTTTATTAATTCGTATGATTTTTTAATTAGGTGTAAAATTTACCTGTGATCTGTGTAACAAAGAATTTGCTTATAAAGTAGGCTTAGATGAACATAATAAGAATATTCATGAAGGTTAGTCTATTATTGTGCTTCAAATTTTTATGTATGTATTTTGCTGAACTTATAATGATGATTCACATATAACTCTTCTATAGCTTCTCCAGAATCTAACTTTTTAACATGTAGATATGAATCTTCTGGTACGGAAACTGTTTGAGTCGGTTTAGTCATCTGGATAGAATCTCAGCCTACACAGAAATACTATGATAAATACTTAAAAGATTGATAATGATTAAGAATATTCTTTTCAGGTCTTGAAGTTATAGAATTTTGAATAATATTTTGCTGTTTTATGTGAATAAACTGTTGCTGAAAGATACATTTGTTGTGACTTTATGTCCGGCTTTTTATCACGCGATTTATTCACCAATCAAAATACGACTTCTACAATCTTAGCACTGTGCCAAATCAATGACGATGGACCTGTATGAGCAGCCTAGCGTCCTTACTGGTCCTATGTCCGCCTAGCCAGTCCCCTTGAGTCCAGAATTCCAATACCAACTTCCACTATGTGAATCATACATTTCAAACATACTGTGTTTATATATCAAACAAACAGACCGCAACGGTCCATAAAATAGGAAGTAACATTTGTACATTTGTATTTTAATGAAAATGACTAGTGTTGATCGTCAGTGTTTTCTACAAGTAGAATGTGCGTTGTAGCTCTTACTATCCTGTCGGAGTACTTGAATTTCAATTGCTGTGATTGTTTTCGCTCTTCATACCATAATTATAGTTCAAGGTCTTCTATGGGAATGACTGTTCTTTTTTTCTTATCCTTTTCTCTTTTGAAATGGTTATGTATATCTAGGATGATATGTGTACTTCCAACCCTTAGTACATAACCACATTTATTCATTTTTTAATTTGTTTCATAAAAATTTATCAGTATTCATACTTGCTTTTCTTCATTAGGAATAAAGTATCCATGTGACCAATGTAGTAAAACGTTTTCGTCCAAATGTATGTTAAATAACCACGTGAAAGCTATTCATAAAGGTATGTTTCGGTTTTGAAAGAGACGTTCTACTGTGAAACTGGTACGCCTCATACATTCTCATCAGAAAAATTATTTCGTGTATGCTTTTCATTTGAATTGTTTTAACATGTTTCTTCGGTTTCTAATGTTTCAATCAGTTAGTAGTCAGTTTTAATACTCTGCTTGGAATGTATTACTTATATACATGGGTTTCCGTTGTCACGCCACATTTAGCGCTGCACGACAAGACTATCTAAACCAATTCTAATGTAGTGGTAGTAGTGAAAATGATAAATAATAGTTGAAAAGGTTTAGGTGTAGAATAAAAAAGTATTTAAAGACTTCAGGACTTTAGAATCTAAGGTTAAGAAGAAATGTAAAAGCACTTGAGCCACTATGATCGATTCTAATCCATGTCTGCGTACCCACTGGTTTCGGTAATCGTTCATACCACGAGCAAATAGTCTGCACCTACGTACATGGCTTAATCCATTTGGTAATGACCTCATGGGCTGATTCGTTTACGTTTGTCATGCCATATCTTTCAGCCTAATTTTACACCGTGCAACATCGTCCATCGAAGTAGGAGCTTTCGAGCATACATAATACATGTCTCGACCACCTGAGTTAATGTAAACTAATTACCCTGAATATTGATATCGAATTTATATAAGTATATATTTTGTTAATTATTGTTTTCTTTCTCTCATTAGGAATAAAACTTACTTGTAAGCAATGCGATAGAAAGTTTAATTGTAAATCCAATCTAAACTTACATGTAAAGTCTGCTCATGAAGGTAATTTCTATTGGTTGGTTATAATTATATTCTATCATGAAATCGTATTTTACGCGCAGTTTCATCAAATATTGATCATACACATCACATTGAAATCACTCTTCATGTTTCTTGGACTTTTAATTATTTGGCAACTCATATTGATAATATTCCACTGGAAGCTCTGTTTCACGAAAGATAAATTGGTGTTATAATAGGTTAAAAAACACGAATTTCAACTAATAAATCGTAGATCGTAATCCTCTCTCACCTTTCATTTGGTCACATATTGTGAAGCTCGAACTCTTAGGAATCACTTATTTTTTAGTTGGATTATCATTTTAAATAGTTAAACATATTTTACCAAATCTCAGCTTTCTCGGTTCTTATAGGTATATTTTTCCAATGTGATGAATGTGATAAGAAGTTCACTGCGAAATGTCCACTAAATAAACACATACAATCAATTCATCAAGGTATAGTTTTTTTTTACAATCACACAATTACATTTACGTGTATTTTTGTGGATTTTAATATGCCTATACACCCTGTTCACTAATCCCATTTTTATTTCACTCTGTTTTTTCATTGACGTTTTCTTACTATAAGAAAAGTACGAGTAATTAAATTTTCGAAAGGTATGAACTACATGATTATAAGATAATGGGAAATAAGCTTCTTCAATAAGGAGGGATTCTTTTGAAATTTGTTAGAATGTATTGATAAATCAAGGTATTCATATTTTTACTAGTATATTAACATTATTGGTTTGTGGCTAGTTGTATTACTCGATCGTATAAATTGAAGTATGTTGTTTCCTCTGTAAGGATCCTTAAAGTTTGTAATCCAAAGTGTCTAATCGATGATGGATTATAATGGCTTTATGATTCAGTTTACCATGGAAACGAGTGATTGAGTAAAGTCGTATTCCACTGATTGTTCTGTTGCTTTCTAATAATAGATTTAAGTTACTTTTTAATTACAAATGATTGAGATTCCTCTAATGCGACCGGTTTCCATCGAGCAGTTCAGTAATGCGGTAGCTGACACACAACACTTCAATAATAGTCGGTAAAATCGAAGGAACGAAAGGATAAGATTGGAGTCATGAAAGTTATATACATCAATCATGTTTCCAATTTACTTTTCAGATTAAGATTTATTTTTTATTTTGAAGTGAAAAATGATGATCCATAAATGGTGTTGTGACATGTCAGTTTGTTTGTTTATCTAACGTCTCATGGTATTGAATCTCAACTTGAATTCTGCACAATAAACCGATGGTTTGAAATATTGATTTCTAGTTGGGCCACTCCATATCATAGGCGTTGAACGAAATGTGGTTGTTGGAACGTTCTTGGATTACGTAAACATTTACTTCTTCACTGAGTTACACTATTGGTTTGTATAATATGGTTATGTCTTTGAAAATTAATAAAATATGTGTTATATTATGATAAGCTGAGCATCGTACATTTTCCATCTGAACTGATATGTGTTGGTCTGTTGACTAACCCTCTCAGGAAAATTTTGCACCATTATTTACTTTAATATGTCTATACTGCCTATAGTTTTGTTCCTTTAGATAAAAAAGCTTCCATAAGCTAATATCTGAAAGTAATTATTAGTCACCCTCTTTATGTATCTTTTCAGTTGGCTTTCTGATTGACCGAAACCAATTGATTTTAACGTATGTTTACCTCGACTCGCTCGCTTCAATAGCTGTATGCATCCTGGAATTTGTAGTCGGTTGTACACTTTACATGACAAACACACTATCTGTTCATTATCTTATCGTTTGAGCGGAGCAATACAATGTTAAATATTATGATACAGTTTATCAGTCCGACAGAGAACAATTTAAACAAGTCCAACTAGCAGGTTTATATGATAAGGTTTAATCTAATATATCTAAACACATTTGACATCCTACCAATCCCAATCCTTAGTTATTTCATCTTAGATCTATTAGTCACTGATGTTGACTATGCAGTTGGCTTTCTATTGTTTATCTCATTTTTCTTATGTAACGGATGATCTCTTTCACAGAGTCATTATGGTCTGATCTATACATGCAAGCTTATTTTACTATGATTCGTAATTGAAGTGAATTGATCTATTATCCTACCAGACTTCTTATTTATTTATTTCCTTTTAGGAGTGAGGTTTGCTTGTGGACAATGTGACAAGAAATTTACAAAACCGAGTACATTAAATGATCATGTTAAAGTTATCCATGAAGGTATGATTAAAGAAAAAATCAAATATGATTTATTATTTTGACTATTTAAAAAAATATTTTCAGCATGCAGATTTGTGGTGATTATAGTATTTTCACAGTTGAATCCACAAATCGATCTAAGCTAGACCATCATTAAAAACTTCAAAGTACTGAATGGCCGATCCGTCCTATTATGGGACTCCTCAATAGTGCACGTTCATGATGCCACACGCGTGACTCGAACTCAGAGCCTTCGGTTTAGCACTCAAACGCTTAACCTCTAGACCACTGAGAAAACGTAACCAGTGGAGACAGTTATCCACCTCAGACAATGGATGGAGGGTTGAGCAAAATTATGAATTTATTGGAGTCAGACATTAACGCCATTGGATGCTAGCTCAGGGTTCTAGAGGTTAAGCGTTTGCACTGGAGACTGAAGGTCCTGAGTGCGGGAAATTCATTTAAGATTCCACTATCTTATTACATAGAATATGTTAACTGTTTAGTCTTTCAATTTGTCTTTCAATTAATGTACATATGAATGTTTGAATGTTTCACTAAGAATTGTTTTGAGTCTACTTTTGAACGAATGAGAACTGTTTGATTTATGAGGGTAAATACTGACCACGTCTGATTCAGCATCCTTTAGTTTTTCATCAGTGAATTATTCCTTTTATTTTCCAGTTCAATAGATTGTTGTAAAGATTAATTAAATATAATGAAGACAGTTTTGTTCATTATTGTTATATCCCAATAAGAATACTGAATCGTAACTTTTGGGATCCATTTATGGACCAATACTATGCGTATATTTTTATCGTATGATTGTTAAATAACTAAACCATTCATATTCATGTCCCTCTTATTATGAGATTTATTTTGACCTATGAACTACCATTATACAATTTACCATTCTTGAATTATGCCCTGTCTATTAATCACTCACTACCTCCCACATTCACAGCCACATTTGGCTAAATCTTGTACAAATGTTGTTTCCTATGTTATAGTTCGATGTTGTCTGTCTGGTTGGCATTATAAACCGAGTATGTTTGAAATAAATGATTGATATTGCAGAGGCTGAGATTGGTGTTCTGGACCTAGCTGACTGGGCTAGGCAGGAAGCAGGACCGATAAGTACTCTACACTGCTCGCACGGGTTTTAGGCGTCATTGACCCGATCGATAACTCACTGTTCTCTAATTAATGGTATTATCACGTTATACATTAAAAGGGCACATAGGCCACAAGTTATAACAATTATGAGTTGAAATCTTTTGAATAACTTTTGAAAGAAAAAATTAAGGAGACATTAGATAATGGTTTTTTTTCCAATTTGTCTGAGATTTAAATCACTGCTCTTATATTGATGTTATCTGGTCGTTATAAAATTTAGGAGATTGTTTCTTCTATTGACAATTACATATTTTATTTTATAACTGGAAAGCATAATCCATAACTCAATGTCATTATTTCATCTACGATTAAATTAAGTGTCTAAAGTCGATCTATGTATGGCGATGTTGTAGTCAGGTGTTTTTGTTTATCTTTCCATCTTATTTTATTAAATCTTAATGTTGGTTTCCTATTATATGATGAGAGGAATTCAGTAGATGCATTATTCCTATTTTTGTTATCATTATCATTACTGTTAGTATTATTATTATCATCATTACTGTTACTGCTGAAAGTATTACCTTTCTATCTGATTCGTGTTGATCTTTCAGTTTGTCGAACAATCTTCACATTCCTTATTTTAGGATTTAAATTTCGCTGTCAGTTCTGTGAGAAATCATTTTCAACAAAGAAGTATCTTAGAAAACACGTGAAAACTAATCATGAGAGTGAGCGTTATTTCCAGTTCATTTATATTTATTTAGTATTTATCAACTAAACTGAAACGCACATAGTTCTGAATTATATAGACTTTCTACTTTGATTCAATTTCCAATGCATTGTAACGAACATTTATTATCTTCACTGAGGATACGATGCTTCACTAGTCACAATTTCTTACTGGAAGTTTAGTAGAGCAATTACTCGCAAGGAATTTACAAATATGCCCCAAATCAGTGACGTATTTGATGATTGTAGGGATTTATTTAGCTTGATTTTCACAGTTTGTTTAGGAAACCGCCTTGAAATAAACTGTGAGCGATCCAGTTAAAGCTCACCTTTTAACACTATGAATGAGAAAGACGATCGCACTTCAGTACTCTTTTTCTACTTTTTTCGATTGAGGTCATGAACCGCTTGATATTAGACCACCGTTGGAAACCTGGAAGGACTGGACGGCCGTTTTGTCTTATTGTAGGACCCCTCAGCAGTACGCATCCAGGATCCCGCTCGCGGGATCTGAACCTAGGGCCTCAAGTCTCGCGCGCAAACGCTTAACCTACTGGATCACTGAGCTGGCATCCAATGGTGTTAGTGCCTAATATCAACCAATCCACGTAATTGCGCGACCATCTATTGTGCTGAGTTAGATACCTGTCTCTACCCGACACGGATTAGCTGTACCGGTCACGGCTTCTCACTAGAACTCTGAGAATTTTCTCACGAAGCTAGTCACTAGTGAGCACATGTTAATTATCAGTGGATGCGCATTTCTGAGCAGCCCTACAATAGGACGGAACGGCCGTCTAGTGTTTCCAGGTTTCCAACGGTGGTCTAACATCAATCGGTTCATGATCTCATTCAAAATGTTAATAATCTCCACAACCTTCTACTTTTTTCGTGAGATTTCCTGAAATATTTTGAATGTGTAACATTTTCCGTGATTATCATTTAATCTATCTAAATATTCATCTTTTAAGTATTCTGTTTGACTATTGTTGAATTTTTAGACACAATAGTTGTCGTAGTCAGTGTATCCATTTGTTTCGTTGTTTTAGTATTTTGATTTCTGTGGCTTCCATGAATTAATTGCTGATTAGTTTAGCACAATATGAATGAAATGTGAATACATGTAGGATACATGGTAGGAAATTATGTCGAAGCGTTGAATCACTGTGATATATATATATATATATATATATATATATATATATATATATCCGCTTTTGAATTAGTATGTCCTACTTTAGTTACATAGTGCATACTGATTATGTAGGGAAATTCTTTGTTTGGAAATGTGCACTGAAATTAATCTTATTATTGATCGAGATTTATTTAATTGTATATTTAGGTTTGTGATAATCAAGTTTTTTTTTACCATATTCCAAATGTAATGATCAAAAATTACTACTGATATATGAAGCTTTGAATTTTACCAACTTCATTACTACTATTTGAAAATGAGAATGAATGATTTGATCTAGAACAACAATGATATCTTCACAATTAGACTGTCAAGCTGAGAGGACGCAATACTATGAAAAGCATCCATTTGATGAGCTATAAATCATTTGAATCATTTTAAGTTTCTTCTTCTTATTACTATTATCATCATCATCATTTATTGTCTGTTACCTTACTACTCTGAAATCAAATGCTGTTTAATAAACGAATATACTAAACTAACTGATATATTGGAATTGATAACATGCACATAGGATTTATCCCCAAATCTCCAATCAAATAGATATTTTGTTTATTATTTATTTTTTTATTTATATATTTATCATCATTGTACGAATAAAGTCATTGTTTAAAACAATTAGATGCTTTAATAAATTTTGATTATGCGATGTGATCTGTTTGAAAAATATCTGCCGAGTCTTTATCGACGTTCAAATTTTCTGTTATACAAAACATTACCAGCCATAGATACAAGAGCTAATCTGGTGTCCGCTATCTGACTCCATGATGAATAATGTTCATTGAACGCCATAACAATCTAACGTTTCATTCCACACATTATACTAAGGTTAATCCCGTTCGGGCAATAACGTTGCTATAAAACCAAATACGAAGTTGTGTGAGTGTATTTCAGTCAGACAGCAAGACGGGAAGCGCAGCATAGAAAGGTATTGTGCCAACTTCATTTAATTTAAATGTGATGCAAATTTATGAGCATGAAAGAAACATATATGCTTACACTTAAGATTATACACACATGCTCATGGCCGCACGTATGTATGACTAAATAACAGGTTGTAATGATTTATCCGTCGAAAGAAGGGTTAATCGTGTAGGCGTATGACAACGCTAGTTATTATAGTAGCGACGTGAACGGCAGAAAACAGTCAAGGAGTTGTGTTTTTCCACAAATAGTAAGCTGTTCATCCAAAGGTGGGTAGAGAGATTGTGACATCCTCAGTTAAATGGTTAAGAACTAACGGATGACCTTGTTGTATAATTGCAATTTTATAAATAAAGTAGTTATTTAGCTCCTTATTTTGGGTATGGCGAACATGGCAACAACTATCTTATAGTCTTCTGATTAACTAAATAACTAGGGAAATATTGGTCCAATAACATCAGATTACGTTGCAGAGCTATCAGGAAAGGCTTAGATGAAATCTGAACAAGATAAACAGCATGATGATCTATAGTACTTTAGCCATCCAACACCGGAGCATCATAGTTCAGTTACTGACCTTTACCTTTGGATAAACCCTGTCGCCTCATCCTAGGTCTGCGCAATGACTAAAGATAATGGTCTTATTAATGTGGTTTCCATGTATATTGACAGGGTACTTAACGAATTGTCTCACGTAGGGTTTGTGGAGAATCTTTTGATGAAGCGGAATTAAGTTTCAAAAAATGATGGCGAAATGGTTATGTAGGAAAATGATATGAGAGGTGAGATCAATAATATAAATCATAAGATGATGGGTTTGCGTGAAGTCCACGAGTGTTATATGTAAAACGATGCGTCCAGAAAATATAATGTTAAGTGAATAGTCTGAACACATGTTTAAGTTATGAATTTACAGGACAAATCTATTGTAGACTGAATAAATAGGCAGCAGCGGACGAAATTTCGCGAAGGGGTGAATAACAATGGCGTGTTTTGAGAGTGGTAATCAATGGAGTAAGTGCATCTATGCTAGGAAGTAAAGATTGTTTTGAGCAAACTGTCAGACAACCAGTTGGGAACAAGGTAAAATGTGAGTAAAGAGATGCGAAATATAAATACTATCTAAAATAAGTTGTGGGTTGTCTACGTTAACCATCTAGCAAGTGTCAATACGACACTGCGATTAAAATGATGAAAGGCAAGAACGGATGCGCGTTATTGTTCGTCGTGTAGTTAGACACTTCGATAGTTTTAACAGTCCTGAACTCAGGTTAAAATCTGATGTGAATGCCCATGGTAGCCAACTCTGGTCTATAATTGCATGTTCGTTATCGTGGGCCAGCATTGATAAGGGTCAGAAAAATGAAGTATAATACGGACGGTTCAGAAGAAATGGCGATTTGGCAGCTAAAAATGTTGTTTCCCCAGTTTCTAGGGAAGATTCACTCACTTCAATAATGTAGACCCTAACCTAAAAGATAACTGTCTTTTAGTCCATAACTATGTAGTAGTAGTCTTTAAAGAGGTCGGGTTAGAGATTAGACAGCCTCATAAATGGCTGTCAGAAATCAAGCAGACGCATTTTAACAAACTTTAAAACGAAGGTCGGAGCGCTGTATTATCTGAGTCTTGACCCTAAGATCTGACATCTGAAGCTACAGTTGGTTGAACTTAAAACAGGGGTAGATATCGTTATGTCACTATTAAGAATATTGAGATTAGCCTAAACTAAAATTACTGAATTCGGTGGGGATCCACTTGGGTTTTGAATGTTCATGGAAGGACCTAATGTAAACGTTGAGGACTGAGTTAATGATGACACTTAACTCTACATGTAATTGTTACAACATTGTGAAGTTATAGCAAAGATGATATAGAATATTGCGTCCCATTTGAGAATAAGAACGTTACACTAGGGCAATCAGCGCTTTACTCAAGTAGTTTGGTTGACTTGTTGACATTGCAGTAGCATTCCTAATGTAATTATCAAACGGTCCTTCTTTTCATCAGAGTGACGTAGCAGGTTTGCAGAAGCTCATATGGAAAAATCACCAACTATAAGTCAGCTTTGTTACAAATGAAGGGAATTCAGACTTTAAATGTTCTAAAATAAAAGTAGTGGTAATGAGACTTTCACACAGGGTATATTTCAAATGGGCAGAAGCGGTAGACGACATTCTGAAAAAAGGTTAGAGACCATATGTCGTTAATTGTTAGAGTTTGTGGAAAAGATTGCGTCACCTGCTACAAATACATATGGAGAGATCGCGCACGGAATCTACAAGGCCCAGACAATGCCACCGAATGGCCAACCAGCTTCTAGTCAACATATTTCTATTCTCTGACAGCGAATAAATACTAGATGGAAAAGCGACTAAATTACCTATGTGAAAGATTATTGAAAGGAGAACATCATCCTAAGCTGTATATTATTATATTAGTTAATCGTGAGTGTAAGGTGTATTTATCCCGATTGGTGCAAGCTGCCGAGAGAGAAAGGCATGTCGTTCCATATCATCCTGTGTTGAATCATAAAAAGCCAGGAAAAGTTCGTATAGTGTTCAGCTGTGCTGCCTAATCATGTATCTCTGAATGATTGAATACACTTAAGACCAGATTTAATAGAAGTATTCCTCAGACTCAGAAAACTTAAGATTGGGCAATCAGCAGACAGAGAGGAAATGTCCTTTCAAGAACATCTGTCTGACGAGGATGAAGAAGTTCTCGACTTTTTGTGGTTCTCAGAAATAATCTTGACTCAATTCCTGATATTGACTGTCTTGTGCCGTTTATGATTTTAGACGTATGATCATCGGTCACTATGATTTATTCGACAAGAATACGAGCTACTCTTCGACGAAAATTCCACGTGTGCTATTGTCTTGTTTCTGTAGAAATAGTGTCTGAGGTCCGCGAGCTAGCGGATAGTTTAAGTCAACTTGTAAACCTCTGGGTTTTCCGAAAATATAGGTGCGTCAGTAATGAATTCGATGCTCTAAACGATGTCACTGTGGAAGGCGAATCGGATAACTTCGTTTATATTTCAGGTTTGAAATAACGTATACATAGGACTTTAGGATCTAAATTTACAATAACTGAAAGGTAATGACGACTAAGGCTTTGGTGCTGATCAATCGGTACTTCCATCACATTTCCCATAGGTTAGCTGCCATGTGCAAGCATATTTGGAATGGCAAGGGTGAAGAAAACAGATATGAATGTGTTATCGAATGTCTTCAAACAGGTGCTGTGCACTCAGAAGTAGCATTTTTAGTGGCCCATAGATCTGACTCCAATTAGAGCGTACGAATGTTTGTTATCGCCTTTTCTCGTATATCGTCGTCGACTTAAATCGCGTTATCCAATAACGGAATTAAATAAGTCGAATAACGAGAATTGACTTGAGAATACAATTATTTCTTACATGAAGCGAATGAAGCATAGCAAAGCAAAAAATGACACGTATGGGAGATGACTGGGAAGCCAACTCCATTTTAATTAAGCGTTACTCAATATTTATAAGCCGACAAAATAAACTACAGACATGTGATGAATCATGGGACATGAAGTGTACACACATATACGCTCATATAAAAAACAGTGTAGATTGATAAGCGAATAAATAACAAGGTAATAGTATGGCTCGAGTAGAATGAATAGAATGGGATGTCCGAAAGCCAGAATAAGGTATATGGGCTTAACATAGTAACTGACACTGCACATTCAATCCGAACCGTAGTGATCTCGTGGTGGATTTAATGGGTTTAATAGGCAGAAGAAGAAATGGAAAAGCAAATCACAGTGATAGTAGGTCTAATTTCATCCGACAGAATTCTGAATTTCAAGATATACGAGTGAGTGGGACACAAACAAGTTCAATAATGTTGCTGCATCCAGAGGATTACGATAGCATTTAATCCGTCCATTGGGTAGGTATCGCGTCCTAATATGTGAGAAACTGATACTTTCAGTTGGACATATGTTGGTGGGAAATTCTATAGAGTAGGTTTCGTGTCTAAATCGATAGTTTGTTTATCTCTTGAAATTCTTCCTTGTTTCGATAACTTCTGCACCGATATTTTGATATTCGTCAATCTTGTTCAACTGAAACTTCAGTCTTTTAGTCTGAGTAGGATGTGTTTTTATGATTTCTAGATACACAGAGCATATCGTTTTGATTTACCGATGCCGTTTACTCTCCACATTTGTTTGCTAGGTATATTTTGAGTTGACACCTAAAAAAGTAGGGATAAATGGCAAGTGTTTCTCTTGGAAGCCAGTACTTGGTGGATGTTCGAGGGATTGTACTGAATCATGTAATTTTGTTTGTGTATGCAACTGAACTCTGGAATATACATGAAGAAGGACCAAGACAACTTCCATCGAACTACAGACCTGTAAGCCTCACCAGTGTTGTCGTTAAGATATTGGAAAGAATAGTCAAACGGAATATAATAGCATTTATGGAAGCCAATAACTTGCTAAATATAGAACAACATGATTTTAGGAAGGGTCAATCTTGTGCCACGAACCTCCTTATAGCAAGGGAGTTTTGGATAAAAGCGCTAGACAACGGAAACTCAGTGGATGTTGTGTACATAGACTTCAGTAAGGCTTTTGACAAGGTGCCATCTAAAAGACTGCTATTGATGTTGGAGACCCTCGGTATTGCCGGACTTCTTTTAAAATAGATTAGGGATTTCCTAGTGGGTCGTCGACAGAAAGTAAGAATAAATTCCAAGTACTCCATCTGGAAACCAGTACTTAGTGGGGTACCTCAAGGTTCCGTCCTAGGTCCTTTGCTTTTTATAATGTATGTTAATGAACTTCCAAGTATAGTACAGTCTCCAATGTTATTATACGCTGACGGTGTAAAGATTTGGCGAGTAATAACTGGAGATACAGACGTATGTGCTCTTCAGGCAGACTTAAATAATATGATTAACTGGTCTAAAGGGTGGTTGATACCTATCAACGCAGCAAAGTGTGCCTACATGCACTTTGGGGATTCAAAGGTTGATAGGTACAACAACCTTCTTTCTACGACCTCGGAGATTATTAGTGCTGGAGGGAGCAAAAGGATGAGACATATTAACACTCAAATCATAAGTAAAGATACGAAATGCCAGCATAAGGTCACCTCACGTGCTACGACACGACATGGGGAAAAGGTTTAAGGGTTTTAAAGGCTCATCGTATCCTTTACCAGACATGGGATAGCTGCTTGGATACAGTACTCTAAATGTGGTCTTATGTAGGTGGAATGTAAAATTCGAAACAATTCCTCGTCAAAAGATTCGAACGCTCGGCAAAGTGACCATAACGCACGAAAAACTTTAACAGCGGCTGCGTTACAATGCGTAGTTGTTTTTAAGTCATGACTTATTATTACTCCTAAGTCTTTATGCTCTTGAACGCATGTAAGAGGTTTACCATCAATAGTATAATGGTAACCATTACCGTGACCGATGTGCATTAGCACACTCTTCCTAGAATTGATTTCTAAGCCCCAACCTCGAGCCCATCTAACCAAATCGTCTAAGTCAGCCTGAAGATCCAGATGATCGGCCACACTTTTTATTGTTCTTCGGATTTTGACGTCATCCGCAAACAATAATGTCGACAACCTAAGCAACAGCGGTAACTCATTAACGTAGAGAAGGAAGAGTAGAGGGGCTAGGATAGTGCCTTGGGGTACACCACTTTTGACTCTTTCAAAAGAAGACTGGACACTCACAGAAGCATACTAGCAAAGGAATAACATAGGCCATAGGCCTTCTGCTCTTACTACACAAGTCTGGGATCTGAGTCTGAATTTTGTTCACTTGTTGGATCCTCGGCACTTCGATCAAAGTAATGAAAGTGGATGACCTTGAGCAAGGAAATTTAGATGTGGCTAGTGATAGAAGTAAAGTATGTGGACGAATCAGTCCGATCTTAGTGTGCAGTGCGTTCGTATGCTATTGTAGCAGGTTGAACTATCTGCTTCTAGTTTCAATCCAAAAATTGTTTTGATATGAGACTTGTGCTGTTTGTGATTCCCGAGCTCCCAAGTTTGGGGAAATTATGTAGTAGTTAGAAGTATTTAAATCATTATACGAACTACGAATTCCCGAAGTAGTGCAATTTACAGAGAACAGAACTAGATAAACCCAAAGGAAAGTATTACATTTAGTGTTTGATATCAGGCAGTCATCAAGTACAAAAGAATCAGCAGTTCATACAAACACTACAGATTGTTGCCGATTGGTTTCACTAACGAAACTACACGATACACTGTGTGTGCTTGTTGGGTCATCGATTCACCTTTTATTTTGTCCATTTGTTTCCCAACCATCATGCTACTCTGCATACTCCTTTAGTACACAACGTACCTCTTGGCTAGATGCGAACCTCCACAATTCTGTTTTTGATGGGAACTTTATTATTTCATATGTAAAGGCCCGTTATTCACTTTAGAACTGTGTATCAGCCATGAATATAACAATTTTATTGCACAAATCGCCTTAGTATTTCTCGTGCTTGCTGAAAGGCGGCTCGATGTGAAGGATCTAGGTCGCTCATATTCTTTACTTCCACTCGATTCTCAATTGAAAAGTTATACAATTGTAATTTATGAACACTTTTAACATAAATTAAGAACCGATATACGTGTGAGATGTTAGTGTACTAGCTATAATACAATAATGCTTGTTGACCATTATGAGGAAATGAATTCCACGCCAAAAATCTGTGTGGTTCGGTTGTTTTTTAGTTCTGGCACTTCTCACGCTCTCTACACTTCTAGGTTCTGTCACGTGTTACTTTTCACATTATGCCAGTACCTAACATGCCTTTATACTAGACACAAACGCTTCATTTGCCTAATGCTATTGGACGCCTTTTCTTAGGGGCTTAAGGATCTTCCATACGTTGGATCAACGTATAACCGATATCTCTTTATTGCGACGTGGGTTTATGAAACAGGAAAGAATGCATTCTGAAGAATAATCCTCTTTCATGACTCTTAAGGAGGAAGAAATCCACTTGACTTCAAGAACAAGACTAAGTAAACTCAGTGACTCAGATTGTGAGAGAAAACTATTAGTATACTAATCCATCGGTAATATAAAACTATCAGTCACAGCTTGTGATACCGAACAATTGTGAGTCTATCGGTGGTTGAAAATGTCGGAAGTTGAGTTATTAACTTCATTAAAACGTCTCCCTAAATTAAGTTTTGCTAAGATTGGAAAACGTTTATATATCAATGGTGCTAAACAGCAACTAAACATTTCATTATATTTGGAGTAACGATGTTACTTGAATGTTATTGTTATCAGTAGATATTTTATAAGTAAAAGGGATGGTAATCTTGTGACCGAATTTAAATTAGAGTGGGGCTAGTAGCGATTTTCGTTATTTGAAGTTGAAATCTCTATGCGATATATTTTCTCGCTAAAGAGCTGTTTTGCCATTTGTTGTAGTTACCACATATTTCTATGCATATGAAAATCGAAGTGAAATGGAGATATCTATGTTCGACCCTTATTTTGGAATTAATTTTAAGGTCGAAGAACCAGTAGAGTTAGATGATCTAGTTATAAGGTCGTCACAGGAATTAGTCTCAAAAGATGTAAATGTTGTACCTGAAAAATGTATAGAAGGTAGGTAACCATTATTATTTTCATCATTATATTTATGAGATTCGTATTTGCTCATCATCACTCGTTACTAGAAACCAACATGTATGAACTTGCTTGTAGGAACTATACCAATGTTCGGTCCTTAATTAATTTTAATTATTGTCACATGAAACGTTACTTGTATGATCTTCAAACGCAGCCATGTACTTCCATGTCGTTTTGTGCATGTTCACAATGTCATTAATCTATAACTATACGTAACAGCACCGCACTCTGACCCCCCCCCATTGTCCATAAAGTAATTCATCTAGGTCACTCACGACAAAACACTGATGACCTCGCCTGTATTTTAAAATTTCATTGATTTCGAGATAACTATTAAAATATATACTCACTTCTTGTTAAGTACTCAACAGAAATTGGTCGTCACTAACAGACTAGGAGAACACAATGTTAGTTGTAAGCTACTCAACGATCAGTAATTGTTAATATGTTTTAAGTGATATCGTATAAGGTCCTCAGCTGTTGATACTTCCGTGCTCTAAGCTAATACTCAATACTTTGAACGAGAATAATTTTATCTTCTTCTATCCTGCTCTTTAATCAGAGTGAGAAGTCCAGTTGTTAGTAAAAAGGCTTTGTTGATGAAAACCTAGGAAGAATTAACTTACATTTAAGTTAATACAGTTATAAATCGATTCATTGATTATAATTTATAGAATTTCATCAACTGAATAATTTTTACTGAATAAGGAATCACAATGAAATAGTAAATACAAGGGGAAATGCACTGGAAATCAAACAAGTGCTGTGTTTGAAGAGATTACGAGTTCACCTAATCGGAGAACGAGACGAAGGCTCTGTGACACAATGACAGGAAAACTAGCTATTCCGATGCATCCAAACCCAACCAACTAGAGAGAGAAGTCCGAATTCTGAGGAGGGAAACATTTTAACTTTTGATCCTGTCATATCAACAACTAACAAAATAATGAATAACCGGTACTAGTGAGAACAAATCGAAAGTAAATTAGTAGGACCCACTCTGAATAAACAATTTTAATTAAAAGGAGTTGCAAGTTGACTGAATAAAAATAATCTTAAATCGATTTAGAGATTGATTTTTTCCACATTTCATTTGGGGATTTTACATCCCTAACAACCATAATTGACAATCATATTGTTGACTGCACTAGTTATTATTCTGTATTTCTATAAATTGTCAGTTCTGTTTAGTGGAAGACCATAATAACCCTGCTGATGTTAACTTGGTTACAGCAGGATCGCCACTGACTTCTATTCTGAGCCATATCTGATAACATCTCTAGCCACTGTGTAGCACCACCTCTCAGACCCCAACCAGGGAGTCGTGAAGGACCAACACAAGCCAGCCCCTTTGCAGCTTTCTTTCATACCCCGACACCATGTCATATACTGATCACCTCCGCTTTTTCCAACCAGTCCCAGAGTCGGCAAATAATTCACGACGTGGAATTCTCTGGGACGACATTCGTAGATTATGTCCAAGTCTACCGAAGTCGGTGTTTCAAGTTTTATTTTATTTATTTTATTTTATTTCAACACATAGATATTGGTACAAAGAGGCACCAAATGCATATGCGCCACACAAATCTCATTCGATATGTGTGAGGGCTGTGATACTGCCCGGGTGCTCAGACTTAACGTGGTGGTTTCCTTAGGGTGCCACTCCCCGAGCCCTCGACGTGAAGGTCTGATCCACAAGGCAGTGGAGCATCGTCAGGAGATGCAGTCCTATGGAAGCCGGTGACCAACAGGTGGTTCCTACGTCATTTTTTCCCCGCAGGATACTGGAGCCCATGTGTACCATTGGTTTGGGATCCGGTTAAAGCACCGTACATTCGCTTTTCGTCCTCTCATTTTCGTAAACAACACCGGCGCCACTGACGCGTTGTAGATCCGACCTTCTACAGCCAGACTAACATCACGAAGGCGCCGAAGATGGCCCAGATTGGCATAAGCCGCTCTGACCTTCATTATATTTGCATTGGTCTCATCACTCACGCCACCACCAGCATTTATGCAGCTACCGAGATACACGAACTTCTCGACTACTTCTATCTGCTCACCATCCAGAGTGAGTACAGAACTAGAATCCTGCCAGTCTTGTAGAAGTACTTCGCACTTCGAAGGTGCAAAGCACATACCGTACCTACGGACACTGATTGCCAACTGATTAAGTGCGGATTGCATGGCTTGGGCACTATCGCTTAGTAAGACAATATCGTCCGCTTACTCAAGGTCGAGAAGTCTTTCTCCAGGCAGCATATCCACACCGCCATTACTTACATCCATCAGAGCTGTTTCCAGAATGTCATCGATGGCAAAGTTGAAGAGGAATGGTGAGTTGGAAGAGCTCACGGTAATTACCAGATGCAGGTGCTGCTTCCAGCTCATTAGCACGCTCCGACCACCAGGCTTCTCGGTCCTTACGCAAGCTTTGCCCGATTTCATTACGTAACAGTTGTTGTTTGTGGTCAAACTCACGGTCACCCGGAGTAGACCGACGGGCTTCAATGGGTTGTAAGGAGCCCGAAGAAACCCAGTGCTTATAAGCAGGATGTTTCGCGAAGTCGCAAGCGGCTTTACTCGCCATTTCCATGGCGTCACGCAATTGCAACCAATGCTCGTCTATACTTTACGGTGGAGTGGTAGCTAGCCTAGAGGCTAGCTCGGTTCGATACTTATCTGCAACAGATGTTGCAACCAGCTTGCTAATATCAATCCTCTGGTGGCGGTCACTTCGTTGTCCACTGAAAAGTAAGGTAAGATTGGTGCAGACCAAGGCATGATCAGAGTCCAGATAGGTACTCCAAAAGGAGCGGCAGTCTTGTACACAACCACGCCAGCGGTAGCTGATCGCGATGTGATCAATCTGAGTCCAGGCTTGAGATACAGAGGGAGGACGCCAGGTGGCACATCAGCGATGACTGTGCCGAAAGTTAGTGCTAGCCAGAAACAGGTTGTGGTCTGTGCACAGTTGCAGTAGACGGTCACCGTTATCTGACCTGCGACCAACGAGTCCCCATCGGCCACCTAAACGATTCTCTTTTGTGCTTAGACGCCCGACCTGAGCATTCAAGTCTCCGGCTAGTACTACAATATCTGTCGAACGCACTTTCTGGAGAAGAACAGATAACTGGTGGTAGAATTCATCCTTGATTGCATCCGGGCTGCAATCTGTCGGGGCATAGGCAGAGATGACGAAAAGACATCGTTTCTCATGCCGATTTCTTCTCACTTTGATGGAACTTTCTAATCTAACAGTACATAACCGACTGTTAATGGGGATCCGATCGATTAGTGCTGCCTCAGCTCTAGCGCTTAGCGCGACACCAACGCCAGCAAGATAAACGTACCTGAATTCTGAGTTCTGGATGCGTGCAGATTTGGTTTAGGAAGAACTATGTGTAGACTATATGTTTACTAGTCTGAAGCTTCTCTCATAAGTCAAGTACAGATGAAATAAGTTGGATAAGTTGTTTTTCTTTTATTTTAATGAAAATACTGATTATTAATCTTTTTAAAATATTTAGATTCTTCACTTATATCACGAACGATTGACTCTTAATTTGTCCGGTGTCAGTAGATTTACACTGGTTTTAATTTCTAAAACTGTTTTGATGACTTAACTCATGAGTAGATATACAAACCGAATCGCATTTTGTTTTGTTCAGAAAGCTCTCTGAACTTCTTCAGAAAGCTAAACGTTCAGACATAATACTCGTAGCAGGTGACTTTAATGCTCAGATAGGTAGTTTAAACCAAACAGAAAGGCATTTAGGTGGGTATTTTAGTATTATGGCACAATGAACAGATAATGGTGATCGTCTGCTGCAACTGTGCTCAGACAATCGTTTATTTTTAGCAAACACAAATTTTAAGCATAAGGAGAGACATCGTCTAACATGGCGACCCCCTACACCAAACCAACGATGGAATCAAATAGATCATATTGGCATCAGTCATCGTTGGAGAGGGTCGGTAGAAGATCGTCGCTCATTCTGATGTACCTGCTTGGACTCCGATCATGCCCTAATACGGGCACGGATCTGCTTGCGCCTCACTGGACGCAAAAAAGCCACATTGAAAAGAACAATTAGAACTGAATTGAGTGACGAGAAAACCAAAATTAGGTTCCAGGATCAACTGAGGTCACACTTAGGTAGTTCTGAAAACGAGGCTGACCCAGATGCTGCTTGGAAAGACATACAAGCAGCTGTAGAAACAGCAGTGACATCTATTAATGATTTAAACCACAGAGTTACAAAGAACCAATGGATTTCTTCAAGGTCTATCGCACTGATGGATTCTCGCAAACTTGTCCCATCAGGTTCTGAACACGATAAAGAGCGACAACAAATCAGGTCTAGGCTAAGAAAAAGTCTAAGAAACGACCATGAGCAGTGGTGGGCAACGAAAGCAAAAGAGATAGGAAAGGCGGCGGCTATAGGAAACACAAGACAGCTCTACAGACTAATAAAAGAAACTGGAATTAATAAGTCAAGTGTAAGTCGGACTATTTCGGAAAAAGACGACACCCTCATCTGCTCTCAGTCCAGACGTTTAGAATGATGGGCGGGACATTTTAGAGAACAGTTCAGCTGGCCTTCAGCTACTCTACAACTACCCTCCATTCCCAGACAGTGTGAATGGAACAATGAAGTAGGTCCCCCAACTCTAGCAGAGGTTCAAAAGGCTATAGTTAATCTGAAACGAGGAAGGGCAGCTGGCCCAGATGGATTGGCTCCAGAGGTCTTTAAGGATGGTGGTCCAATTTTAGCGATTAGGTTGACTAATATTTTAGCTAAGATCTGGGAATTAGACGTTATCCCATCTGACTGGTCGCAGTCACTTATCGTCCCAATATATAAGAAAGGGTCAAAATCATCCTGTGACAACCACAGAGGGATTAGTTTAACAAACATAGTATCTAAAATACTGGCCTCGATAATTATCAAACGCCTAACTAAGACTCGTGAACTGCAAACACGAGAGAACCAAGCTGGCTTTAGACCTGGTCGTGGCTGCATCGACCACATATTCACCACTCGTCAGGTTCTAGAACACAGGCATACCTATCGGCATCCGACGATGGTGGTCTTTCTTGACTTAAAAGCAGCATTTGACTCGGTAGACCGCGAGACTCTGTGGCAGTGTCTGTCATTGAAAGGCGTACCTCAGAAGTACATAAACCTTGTGAAGGCTCTTTACTCGAACACTACTAGTCGAGTCAGAGCTTATGGCGAACTGTCATCTACTTTTTCAACCTCAAGTGGTGTCCGTCAAGGCTGTCCACTTTCTCCATTTTTGTTTAACTTCATCATAGACCTATTGATGGAGATAACATTCTCATCGACTGAATTCTCGGGTATTGATCTCCTTCCATGAGGTCCACTTATCGACTTAGAATACGCAGACGACATTGTCCTGTTTGCTGAAGACGCTGATAAAATTCAGAGTCTGTTGGTAGCATTGAGCAACAATGCCAGAATCTTTGGAATGCGCTTCTGTCCCTCTAAATGCAGGTTGTTGCTTCAGGACTGGTCTGCGTCAACACCTGAATTATGGATAGGGAGTGAAGTAGTCGAACACGTTGACAACTTTACTTATCTTGGAAGTCTGATCAGCCCTAATGGGTTGGTGTCGGACGAAATCTCAGCACGAATTCGAAATGCTCGTTTGGCTTACGTCACCTATGGCGAAGGCGAGATATCCGTCTGTCAGTTGATGAGGTTGTGAATCTTCATTGACTGAGATGGTTGGGCCACGTGTTATGTATGCCTGAACACCGATTACCACGAAGTGCAATGCTAACCGATGTTGGAGATGGTTGGAAGAAAATTAGGAGCGGCCAAACCAAAACGTGGGATCAGTGCTTGAAGACACTAACCTATAGTCTGAGCCATGTTGGTAGATGCAGACTACTTGTTTGGGGTCCGGGTGACTATCGTAACCAATGGTTGGAGACTGTTGGTGACATGGCTCAGAATCGATCACAATGGAGTCGGTGTATACACTCTCTGTCTTCCCTTAAACTAAGAGATTAAAATCGCTTCATATTATTCTTTCTACGAACTAATGCTTTCTTTCTGTACTATATCCTTATTGCAATCTTTCTTTTATATATTACCACCATTGACTTAACCACTCCTGTGAATTCGATGTTCATCTTGTTGTGCTATTGCGGTATGGCAACCTGGACCGATGCATATATGTGCCTGGTCCTACGTTGTAGCTGACTGACTGACTGTTTTTACTAATCTCTTTTTCGCTATATATGTAAATTTTACATGTAGCGTAATTATGATTGACACTAAACATCAAACATTTGTGCGTATTTGTTTTCATTTTCATGACATGTTTGTTATATAAATCTAGCAACATGTTTATTAACTATTTAGTTACGTAACCACAATCTTTCGTGATTTTCGTAGATGAATGTGATTCTGATAAAGCTCCTGTTGTTGGCGATCTCGTTACAGATAGAGGTGTGGTTTTTATCAGGACAAATCAGAACCCTATCCGACAAAATTCTGCAAAGGGTAGGTGCCTTACGTTATTCTAATATATTGAGATTGCAAATCAAACTCACCCATGAAAAAGCATACATCTTAAATTTTTTCCCCACCTATTCGACGTGGTTTGTTTGTCATTATCTACAAATCTGAAAGTAAGCATATATCTAAAGAAGTGTTTGTTCGATTAGTTGTACTATGTGGCGTGTTTAATGGTACAGTTTTATTGCTACTTCTGTTACGATTTCAAAGAAGTAAGATATTTTCATTTCGTGGATGGAATTTTCATTTTCGACATCCCATCTTACTAATGATTTATTGTGTCCATCTTCTTTGAAGACTCTTGTGAAAAAAGTCCTTAGATTTGGTTTTATTGGTCACCATGTTCGCTTGATGGGAATCTCATGGACCAAGGATCATCAAAGCCTCGTTCAAAACAAAGAAAGAGGGTATTTCAATGAACATCATCCAATGCTATGCGCCTACCAACGACTACAATGAAGACGCTAAAGATCAATTCTACAATAGGCTGCAGTCAATCATCGAGAAGTGCCCAACAAAGGACCTGAACATTCTGATGGGAGATTTCAATGCCAAGGTTGGAACGGACAACACTGGATATGAAGACATCATGGGACGACACGGACTGGGAGAAAGAAACGAAAATGGTGAGTGATTTGCAAACCTATGTACCTTCAATAAGCTGGTCATAGGCGGCACCATATTCCCACATAAACGCATGCACAAAACCACATGGACTTCACCGGATCACTCTACACAAAACCAAATCGACCATATTTGCATCAACAAAACGTTCAGGAGGACTATAGAGGACGTGAAAACCAAGAGAGGAGCTGATATAGCATTAGATCATCACTTGCTGGTCGCCAAGATGAAATTGAAACTCAAGAAGCACTGGACAACGGGGCGGACAATATCACAAAAGTTCAATACGGCCTTTCTTCAGGATACTGAAAAACTCAACAAATTCAAAATAGTCCTCAGCAACAAGTTCCAGGCCTTTCATGATCTACTCAATGGAGAAGGAACTACTGTGGAGAGCAACTGGAAGGGGGTCAAAGAGGCAATCACTTCAACATGTCATGAGGTTCTGGGTCACAAGAAGCACCATCACAAGGAATGGATCACTGTTGATACACTGGATAAGATTCAAGAAAGAAGGAACAAGAAAGCAGCAACCAATACCAGTCGAACAAGAGCAGAAAAGGCCAAGGCATAAACTGAATACTCAGAAGTAAACAAACAAGTGAAAGGGAGTATCAGAACCGACAAACGTAAATATGTAGAAGATTTAGCAACGACGGCGGAAAAGGCTGCAAGAGAAGGAAACATGAGAGAACTGTATGACACAACAAAGAAACTCTCTGGAAATCGCCGCAAACCAGAACGACCAGTGAAAAGCAAGGAAGGCGAGGTAATCACCAACATTGAAGAGCAACAAAACAGGTGGGTAGAACACTTCAAAGAACTCTTGAATCGACCAGCTCCACTGAACCCACCCAACATCGAAGCAGCACCCATGGACCTCCCAATTAATGTTGGCCCACCAACATTTGAAGAAATCAGCATGGCCATCAGACAAATCAAGAGTGGCAAAGCAGCAGGACCTGACAACATCCCAGCAGAGGCACTAAAAGCAGACGTAGCGGCAACTGCAAGGATTCTCCACATTCTCTTCAATAAGATTTGGGATGAGGAACAAGTACCAACAGACTGGAAAGAAGGATTTCTGATCAAAATACCAAAGAAAGGCGATCTCAGCAACTGTGATAACTACAGGGGCTTCACTCTTCTCTCAATACCGGGAAAAGTCTTCAACAGGGTATTTTTAAACAGGATGAAGGACTGCGTAGACGCCTAACTTCGTGATCAACAGGCAAGATTCTGTAAAGATAGATCGTGTACAGACCAAATCGCAACTCTACGGATGATTGTGGAACAATCAATTGAATGGAATTCGCCACTCTACATCAACTTCATTGACTACGAAAAGGCATTTGATAGCATGGACAGAACAACACTATGGAAACTTCTTCGACACTACGGCGTGCCTCAGAAGATAGTCAATATCATACAGAATTCCTATGATGGATTACACTGCAAAATTGTGCATGGAGGACAGTTGACAAAGTCGTTCGAAGTGAAGACCGGTGTTAGGCAAGGTTGATTACTCTCACCCTTTCTCTTTCTCCTGGTGATCGACTGGATCATGAAGACGTCAACGTCTGAAGGGGAAGCGCGGGATACAATGGACATCTAAGATGCAGTTGGACGATCTAAACTTCGCAGATGATCTGGCCCTTCTATCCCAAACGCAACAACAAATGCAGGAGAAGACGAACAGTGTGGCAGCAGCCTCAGCAGCAGTAGGTCTCAATATACACAAAGGGAAAAGCAAGACTCACCGATACTACACAGAATGCACCAATCCAATCACAATTGACGGAGAAGATTTTGAAGATGTAAAAACCTTTACATATCTGGGCAGCATCATTGATGAACAGGGTGGATCTGATGCAGATGTGAAGGCGCGGATCGGCAAAGCAAGAGCAGCATATTTACAACTGAAGAACATCTGGAGCTCAAAGCAACTGTCAACCAACACCAAGGTCAGGATTTTCAATACAAATGTCAAAATAGTTCTACTGTATGGGGCAGAAACCTGGAGAACTACGAAAGCCATCATCCAGAAAATACAGGTGTTTATTAACAATTGTCTACGCAAAATACTTCAGATCCATTGACCGGACACTATTAGCAACAACGTACTGTGGGAGAGAACAAATCAGATCACAGCGGAGGAAGAAATCAGGAAGAAGCGCTGGAAGTGGATAGGACAAACATTGAGGAAAGCACCGAACTGCGTCACAAGACAAGCCCTCACATGGAATCCTGAAGGCCAAAGGAAAAGAGGAAGACCAAAAAACACATTACGCCGAGAAATGGAGATAGACATGAGAAAAATGAACAATAATTGGATGGAACTAGAAAAGAAGGCCTAGGACAGAGTGGGTTGGAGAAAGCTGGTCAGCGGCCTATGCTTCATTGGGAGTAACAGGCGTAAGGAAGTAAGTAATATTCGCTGACAAATAGAGCCATTATTGAAGTATCAAAAATTATTTACGTTTCATTTAATACACATTATTCTTGCTTCACTAGTATCAAATCGTCTCCATCGACTCAACATAGATTAGATAACGATGTACTAAACTTGTATAAATGAGAGTAAACATCTTTTTGCGTAAAATATCGTAGTAGATTGATGTTAACCGAAGCACTCTGTGAAAACTTAAGGATCGAATATATTATTTTCACCATTATCTCAATTTGTGAAGAACTATTGACAAGCAGATAGGAATATGTATGTTCCGAATTAATTTGAGACCCTTGATCACTGAGGACTCATAGCTCTATACAGATTGAACATAAGCGATGCATGAAGGTATCACAGTGAACACAGTACTTTCAAACCATTGAGTTGGCGTCCATTTCTCCTTATTTTCAGCTTCAAATGATCTACGGTTACAAGTGTAAATATGATTCAATTTTTTGGTTGACTCTACGTGTCACTTTTTCACTAGAACTTCAAAAACTCAATCTCTAATAACTGCTCACTTGTAAGTGCGCGGTTGTTACTATTTTCTCGTAATTAAAACTAGTCATTTGCATCTCTGTTCTAATGTTGTATGGCAACTCGAACTGATGTACGTACGTACGAATTTCTACGTTGTTACTGACTTTCAGAAACAAAACTCTTCATGTGTCCTGTATGTCATAGTTGCTATACTTCTAAAACATTTTAAAACATACACAATAAATATGTTCACAAAGGTAAGCAGTCAGTCATGTTTTCGCTTAATTATAAATTTTGTTTGATTTTTTCTACTTTTCTTTCCTCATTTTATTCACTGGGTATAGAGTTGTATATTAAGTATTTTCCCATTTTGATATGACAAATGAAAGGCGCAATCCTACTTTTTATTGTGTTTGCTCAATGTTTAGTATTACAGACTCATGTATTTATGTTATGACCAATAATGAATGTTTACGTTTGGTGTATGTGAGGTAATGATAGTGCTTACCTAATTTTGAATCTTATTCAGTAAACGAAAGTTGTAGGTGTATACACTAGTGCGATAGAGTTCTAACTATGCTCCAAGGTTTGCCAGATTTTCCTGTTACCTTCTGATGTGATTTAGAATTTATATCAGATACTCCATTCCATAAGCTTGAACTACTTCTTGACTGGATTTTCTTTGAGGTTTTATTTATTTGTATACAAGATGATTTAGTTGTAAAATATTGGTTGTTTTGGTGGGTAACGTCAATTATTCTTCTGTGCACGTTCTAATTGTAATACTCACCTTACCCGTTTGTCTCTTGACATTTACTTCATATCAAGCAGAACACTTATAATTGTAACATACTACGGTGTAACCAGTGTTCAGAAAATTCACATTCCTTACAGAACCTGTTCACCGATCTGTGCTAGCTTCAGTTTTCATAACTATCCGTGTTATCTAAGTGTGTGCGTTTCATTGCCGTCTCCAACAAATCGAAAAAAGTTTGATAATTTATTTCGATAGTAATATTGATGGTAGGAGGTTCTGTTCTTTTTACTCTTCTTTTAAGCCGCCCATTCTTACGATTTATTTACTAAGTCATTTTGACGTTCATAGCAATAAAATTGTCGCATGATTTACGCAACAAGGATCTTTCAATAGAAACTACTCGTCATCTCCATATTAAGACTGTTCATGAAGGTGAGTGGTGTTTCATTTCCTCATATGTTTGTTTCATGTATTGAGTCAATTTTGATTGTTCATTGTTGTTTTTGTCTGAAGATTAATGTTTCTGTCTGTCTATATTTATTCTGTTGATTATTTATTGGTGAAGGATATATTATAGGGTTATTTTACTGCTAAGGAAAACACAAAAATACTCAAATTTTATCAACAATGCTGAAATCCCTCCAGAAACGATAACTGCTCGCACGTTTCTTCTAATCCAATTTTTCTCATTACCTTTGCCTTTTTCTTATTGGTTGTCATTGCTTTTAGTTCGGTAAATTTTTGTATTTCATGGAAATCATGAACTGACCAATGTTTGATCACCACTGAAAACCTGGAAGCACTGGACTGCTGTTTCGTCCTGGTATGGGACTCCTCAAGAGCGCACATCCGCGATTCCGCAGGCGGGATATAAACCCAGAACCCTCGGTCTCGCACGCGGACGCCTAACTTCTAAACCACTGAACCGTCGTCCGACGGTGTCACTATTAAGCTTCACTCAATTCACGATGTCTCGCGACCATTTTCGATTGTCTTCGGTGAGTAACTGCCTTTCACCCGACACGGATTTGAATCCACTAGTCACAGCTTCTTAACTAGAACTCGGAGGATTTCCTCTCGAAACTAGGCACTTTTGAGTACATGATACTTCCAAGTTGGGGCGCGCACAAGGCCGGGGATGCTGGGTTTGAATCTTGCGCACGGGATCGTGGATGCGCACTCATGAGGAGTAACATACTAGGATGAAACGATCGTCCAGTGCTTCCAGGTTTTCAATGGTGGTCAGACATTAATCGGTCCATGAGTTCACTTAAATTCAACAATCTCGACAACCCCAAACTGGAAATTGTTATATGCTTGAAGGTCATGTTTTGTCACTATAGGTACAAAGTTATGCCGACTCATTTTGTTCGGCTTGTCCTACCTCGCATATCAAGTTCCACAAAATTCATCTGATTCCTGTGTCAGCCATCGGGTGTTAGTTAATGTTTTGTGTAAATTGCTGTTGTCGATCTCGAAAAGAACCGATCTTAATAAATGGACTCAGTCGTTGTCACTTGATCAGTTAGTACCATAGGCCCGTATTGAACCCCAATAATGAAATACAACACTTTAAATATTGAGTAAATAAAATTTTTGAACAATATTCTTCTGCGTTATTACGTCTGTAACTTTATGAGAATTGTTATGTTTGCTTTTGTAAATATGAACTAATGTCATCCACCATTTCTGTTGAAAATAGTAAATTTAGCTTCTTAATATGTGATATTTAGTTGCAAATGTCATTCAAATAATTTTAATACTTATTTCGTGGTACTGTGGTGGTTTCGGGTTCCTATTTTAATTCCTTTTCGGAGTTTTTAACGTTGAACGCAATTGAAAATACGAAAATCCAAGTCATTAGTCTTCTTTTAGTAAATTTTCACTAGTTCTCGCCTTATCATTGTATGTTCGCTTCATGAATGTGCTCCATCATCTTTGATTTGTTCTCAGTATATTGCTACTCGTAATATTTGCTCCATAAAATGTCAGATAATTAAGAATCATCTCGCTTATTTCATGTTTGTTGAGTTTATTCATCGAGTGAGTGGTGAGTAAACTTGTTTTAATGATTTAATGAGAAACTCAAATTACCGAATCATTTTAATAAATACAACTCCAAAAGGCAGACGGTTATACTGAAACAAGCCACGATGAGTATTGATAGTAAGTAGCTCTCTTGATGCTTCATCTACCTCCACTTGCAATAAGCATCAGCTAGATCCAGTTTTGCGAAAAACTTTCACACATTCAGCATAGTAACACAGATCTGCGGGAACTGGCAAAGGATAATGATGCTATTCCAGAGCTGCATTGAGACCTGTAGAAAAGTCAGCACATATACGTATCGTGCCGTTGGCCTTCTTGATAACAACTATAGGTGCTGCCCAAGCAGAGTAAGAAACGGGCGTAACAACTCCTTGTTGTTGAAGGCGATTCGATTCTTCATCTACTGTTGGTAATGTTTCATAAGACATGGGTCTCTTTGGACGGAAAACAGGCTTAGCCCCAGGTTTCAACCGAAGCGTTGCTTTCATGGCAGAACACCGACCCAATCTAGGTTGGAAAATAGATGAAAACTGCGTCATTAGCTTCTTCGTATATGCTTCAGGGTCATGTGGATGTTATACCAGGTGGCATATTGGTATTTAACTGGACATCAGCTAAGTTTAGCTGGTCGAACCAATCTAAACCAAGTAAATTTAGATCAGCTGGCGTTATATAACATACACCAGTAAACGACCAATCTCGGAAAGTAACTCTACATTCCAATTGTCCTAACAAGCGAAGGTAATTACCATATGCAGTACAAGGCTTTTGTGTTGCAAGTGGAAGTAGATGAAGCATCAAGAGAGCTGCTTACTATCAATACTCATCGTGGGCTGTTTTAGTATAACCGTCTGCCTTTTGGAGTCAAGACTGCCCCATCTATCTTTCAGCAACTAATGGATACCATCCTACCAGGCATCTCGGGCGCCGTGGCTTATTTCGATGATATTTTAATTGTTGCGACGACATTGGAACAGCTACAGGAACGCACGACATTGTTACTGCTACGCATCAGTGTCAACGGGTTCCGGTTACGTCAGGAGAAATGCCAGTTTTTATTGCAGTCAGTGAACTATTTGGGGTTTATTTTTGACGCTGACGGCCGCAGACTAGATCCTGTGAACACTCGAGCTATCAAACTGATGCCCACTCCCACTAATGTTTAGGCACTACGTTCCTTCATGGGACTTGTTACCTATTATTCAGCGTTCGTTCCTTCGATGCATGATATTCGCGCTCCATTGAATCGTCTGCTGACGAAGAACAGCACTTGAAGCTGGACTAATGAGTGGGATGCGGCGTTTTGTAAACACAAGTCTATAATTAGCTCGGAAATGTTTGGTAATGTACTACGATCCATCCATGCCGATCATTGTAGATACAGACGCTTCAGCGTATGGCCTAGGTGCTGTTATTTCACATCAGTTTCCAGACGCGTCAGAAAAAGCTGTTATGCATACATCCCGTACACTAACCCCAGCAGAAAAGAAATACAGCCAGAGAGAAAAAGAGGCTCTTTCACTTGTGTTCGCTGTTCGAAGTCTCCACAAGTTTCTGTACGGTCGGAGGTTTACGCTTCTCACAGGTCACAAGCCTCTGCTCGCAATATTCGGTCGAAATCGGGCATTTCAGCCCATTCTACAAATCGTCTTCAGCGATGGGCCTTGGTACTTTCGGGGTATGGTTTCAAGATCCAATACCGACGCACTCAACAAGTCGGTCAGACACATGCTTTATCACGACTCATTAATCATCATTTGGCGGCTGAGGAAAACATGGTGATCGCATCTCTGTCAGCGGTAGACCACGCGGAATGTTATCTGACAACCACAACATGGGCATTGCCAGTGTCTGCAATAGACACACGAAACGCTTCCAGGAACGACCCGATCATCAAGATGACGATGAGCTATGTCACCAACGGTTGGTCGTCTAAGAAGTTTGATGGTGATATGAAACAACTTTATCAGCGGCGGGATTCACTATGCATTGTAAACGACTGCTTGATTTTTGGAGAAAGTGTGGTTGTGCCAGAGTCCCTTAGCGCAAAAGTGCTGAAACAGTTCCACTTTGGTCACTCGGGGGTTAAACGAATGAAATCCATAGCCAGGAGTTATGCATACTGGCCCCTAATGGATCAACATATCACTGAGTTGGTTGGAAAATGCATTCGGTGTCAGCAAGCGGCAAAAGTGAATGCCAAAGTCCCGCCAGTTTCATGACCACAACCTGATCATCCTTGGTCCAGGATACACGTCGACTTAATGGAACTATGCATTTAGTTGTGGTTGATGCCCTTTCAAAATGGCTAGAAATCAGCCTTGTAATGCCGCCCACAACTAAAACAATACAGCCCCTGACTGAAATTTTCTCCCGAAATGGCATACCAGATGTAATTGTATCTGACAACGGGTCGCAATTTACCTCTAGCTAATAACAAGCTTTCTGTCAACGGCTAGCCATCAAGCACTTACACTTGCCACCATACCACTCGCAGTCGAATGGGCAAGTGGAAAGGCTTGTGGATGCGTTTAAAAGAGCATTGGTTAGGTCGAAGAGGAAGGAAACACCAGCTGACGCGTTGCGAAATTTCTTGTTCGTTTATCGAAGAACACCAAATGAGACGGTACCGGAGCGAAAATCCCCAGCAGAAATCCTGATGGGAAGAAGACTGATAACGATCCACGGCCCGATGCATCCGAGTAATGCATCAACACCAGTACAGAAAAAGTCTGAAAAGCAATCCACATACGAAGTGGGATGTCCTGTGTTTGCCCGTGACTACAGAACAACCCATGGTCCATGGACAGAAGCGCGAGTAGTCAGAAGAATAGGCCGTGTCATGTACGAAGTAGAGGTAGGAGGCGATAGATAGTCACGCCATTGGAATCAGATACTTAAACGGTTAGCTCCAGACCGCCGATGAACATCCTGTTTGATACCTTCAACTTACTGATAGCCCCACCACGAGAAAAAGCCCAATTACAAGCTGATCTCCGCTCCAGAAGTTGGCCTCTCCGACAGCGGTGAACAGGAGTCAAGATGCAAGTTGACCCCAGAAAAGTACGCTTTTGAAAAGGGGAGGTGTGTTGAGGACGTTGGATCCCCAGAATTCACTTGGAAAAGGTCCTAGTTTTATAATTTTATTCTGAAAATTTGAATTTTATGTTTTCGCTCCAAGAGACTCTTAGTTGACCTACAGCTTACATTTCCCACTCGGAAGTCCTTGACTGTCATTGGTTGACGGATTTTTTTAGTACGCTGTTTTGTGGCTTTCCCAAAGGCGTTTCTATCACTTTATAAATAAACTTGATTTGTGTGCTTAGGACCTCATATTTTCTGGGTGCTTGTAGAATACATTCTCTACGTCTCATCAAGACTTCTTGATCTAGTTAGCAGGGTCGGGAACAATGGATTAGTATAGCCTATCGTGTCACTGTATCTTTGACCTTCGTTCCGCTTACCGATTAAGGTGAACTCGTAATAACATTCAAGCATATCAGTGAATTTCGTTCAAACACACAAACAATTGATTATTTATTGTTCACCTAATACAACATTTACTTATGAATACAGATAGATTACAATGTAAAGACATGATTAGAAATTGGTGCGTTGATGAGTTAATGGTATCGGAAAATAATAAATTATTAATTAAATGTATTTCGTTAGATGTGCATTTGGGATTTTCTGTTTTTTAAAGAAGCCAAAATGATTAGAAATTTCAGTCGACATAAAATAACATGTTCAGTTTATAGTAACAAATTAATGTGGAACGGTCGAAGGAAAGTTGACTGTTTTAGGAAAGTACTGTTGATTGTCATTACATTGTAAGGTGATTTTAGCAAAATAAGTGAACGAAGAGTGAGCGTCTGACACTCTTATCTGGTTTATAGTTTCAAAGGGTTCACCTAATGTTGGAAAACACTGATATGAAAAGAATGGTATGTACTATCTTCAGGATCATCAGAGAACGAACGTAAGTATGTTTTCTGATCACTCGCTATTGTGAGATTGTATCTTCTGATGTTGCTTCTCTGTCTTGCCGAACAGACGCTTTATGTCAAGGATGCAAAGAGTGGTGGTCTGAGCAAATCACATGATTCACTTTGCGGATACCGGCAGTATCCTAGCTGATACATGCATGCAGTGATCAATAAACATTTTGAGGTCTTTGAGTCTCGAGTTTTAAATAATATTTTCCTGCTTTTATAGTCTAAATAGTTTGCACTGTTAGTTAATGTTATGTCCCGATAAGAATAATGAATGGTAACTTTTGAGATCCATTTATGGACCATTACTATGCGTATATTTTTATCGTATGATTGTTAAATAACTAAACTATTCATATTCATGTCCCTCTTGTTATGAGCTTTATTTCGACCTATGAAATATCATTATACCATTTACCATTCTTGAATTATGCCCTGTCTATTAATCACTCACTACCTCCCACATTCACAGCCACATTTGGCTAAATCTTGTACAAATGTTGTTTCCTATGTTATAGTACGATGTTATCTGTCTGGTTGGTATATAAACCGAGTATGTTTGAAATAAATGATTGATATTGCAGAGGCTGAGATTGGTGTTCTGGACCTAGCTGACTGGGCTAGGCAGGAAGCAGGACCGATAAGTACTCTACACTGCTCGCACGGGTTTTAGGCGTCATTGATCCGATCGATAAGTCACTGCTTTCTAATTGGCAGTATCATTACGTTATACATTGACAGGGCACACAGGCCACAAGCTATAACAGGTAATTAATTTATTTGAACACATAAATATCGGTGCAAAGGGGCACCGAATACATATGCACCACACAAGTCACTTGATTTATGGGCTGTGATACTGCTCTGGTGCCGAGACTGAAGCAGGTGGTTTTCGTAGGTAACCACTCCCGACGTTACGTTTCTGTATGAGTCAATTGGAGGATGTGGCTCTAATTGTCTTGTTAACGTACTTGACTTTCAATTACCGTGGGATTTTTCACTACCTATACAATCAGTATGATTAAAAGTCTACTACACTAGCGGTTGTTCGTTCGTTCGTATTCTTTCTCTTGTGAAATCGATATATTTAAATAAAATGTACTGTAAACCTTTCTTACATGATCCTACATATTGGTGTTAAATTTATGTTAGTAAATTTACCACCTATAATAATTATCTTTTTATTCTAGGAATGAATTATCCTTGTGGTCAATGTGATAGAAAGTTTGCTTGTAAATCCAACTTGACTCAACATATTCAAGTTTTTCATAATCGTGAGTTGTGTTGATAGTAATGATATTTAACTTTGAAACTGTATGCCGTATATTCTCATCAAATCATTGTTAAATAAGCATTTTTTTTACTGAAATCATTTTTACGTTTATATTCAATTATATTTCCATGTACTTTGCAATGTGTGTTAATCCAGACTAAATATGTTATGTAGGGATACGGGATTTGTGAAGATCGTCCTGTTCGATTGTATTAGGTTTCTATCCGAGACTGATATCAATTGGAAGATCACTGGGAACCGTGAAGCGTAGTAGATCATTGTTTGTTTACATTTTATGTGTTCTTTACTGTACATTCACACAAGTTCATATAAGATCGAATCCAGTACGTCTAGGCTTCATTAGTTTCATGGTTTATGTCGTAAACGTTTAATGGTTATCATTTCAGTTGTTCAGATTCTAGTGACTAATGTCACTGAGTACTCTATTTTAATAATTGATTTAATGTAGCGTATTCATCATGTGCAGTAACAAAAACTGTAATGAATTATCATTCGAAGGAATGCTCACAGTGATGTAATATTTCTTGTTGGATCCACTTTTTGAATGGCTTAAATATTTCCTCGATCGAAGCAGTGGCCCTGTTAATCGAACATAAATTACTTGATTGAATGTATGAGAAGTTGGCGCTTTTCTAGGTGTAGCAGTATCCGATGTTCTCCATTTTTTAAAAATCACTGAAATTCGTTCTCTCAAGTCAATTTCCGACCTTTCCATTATGTTTATATCATTTAGGTTTCTTGCAGCTCCATTGATATCTGATGTAATCTCACAACTGACACTTCAATTACTGTTTTTTTTAATGTGTTAGGTCACTTATCCCCACTGTCTTTTTTATCGCTTTTACTTTTGTCACTCAGCATTGCTTGCAGTCACTGCGTACAATTTTCGTTAGTCTACATTAGAGTCGTCTTCGTTTTTCATCGTTCTCTGAGTCTAAAAAGATATGTTTTCGGGTATTTATCAATTATGTGGATGCCACCGAAATCCACCGGTATTTTTGTCACCTTGTGATTCAAGTTGCTGGTGAAGATCACTGGAATATTTGCTATTGTTTTGATTGATATCATGTCAAGCTTTCTCAAAATGAACCTTTTCTTAATGGTCAACTGAGTGGGCGAGAGTTTGTACGTGTTTAAGAGTGTCCTTGAGAATCCTCTAATTGTGATACTAGTTTTTTGAAGCCTGACTCGATGATACTCGCACAGTTTAAAAATCTGAACAGGCTATTAATAAAAAAAACATTTTAATTGCTGAAAAATTCCCATTATATTAAAAACAATTGTGTTTTTAAAAAACCATTTTTTGATTAATAGAAATATTAAGAAATAATACATTTCCCAATACGCTATTGTCTCTTGAATTTCATTTCATCAGAATTTTTACTGGTCGAATTGTAAAGATTTTACTTAATGTTGTTTTCTAAATTTCGAAACATGTATTGAAAAAGTTAGAACCTTTGAAACTAGATTTCAGACTATTTTGTTTATACTTTTACTGTATAATTAGTGAATAACTGAACTAACATATTTCCACATTCTGTTTATTGTAATCTTCCGTTTGAGTCATTAACTATTACTAAATGTCTTATTATTTCCGATTTGTTACAGACCAGTTATTTAAACCACCCCGCGTTTCGCTGACATTTTTGACCTGTTTGTGTATATCTGTAATTTTCTGTCTTATGGTGCGATGTCTGGTATCTCATGAGTGCTATGGCTAAAATCTGGGATGGATGGTTGAAATAAGATAATAGTAGGAGCTTGGTTGTAGTCTTCTCTTTTTAACTCAAGGCTAGGAATAGAAGACGGCATATTTGTCGGGGAAGCACTCGGGGCGGAAATTATTTTAGCTCACGATTAATTGTATCGATCAGAACTTATCATTGACTAAGACTGAGCGCGCTAGGCTATGGGTGGAATAGCATACTCAGAGTAGAAAAGGATTATGACCGAAGTTCTGATTGGCGAATCCAAAAAGTTATATTAGTTAGTTTCGCAGACATAGCAGTAACCGACATAACATTCATCTTCAGAGTAAGAGAGGTCTCTAGTCCGGCTTGATGGTTCGATGCATCGTGCAATTTCTCGTCTTCCTTTCTTAACTATGGAAAGACGTTATTACATAAGTCATGACGATGGCTACTGGCTATTTTTAGGTTGCATCAACTGGCATCAGTTACTTAATGTTGTTAAGTTGACTCTCAAAATCGATGTGAACACGTGACCACGGCGTCTGTGGTTGTATCCTTGGTTGTGAAGTCAGTTCTGAAGTATGCTTCCCAGCTCGATAAGATCGGCTGCAGTGTCTGGCTTAATTCATGATCTTTTGGTCTATTCTGATCCATTTACTTATCGTTATGCTATCACCTTGATGAACCTTCATTCGATTGGGAAACGTTAGCCGTGAATCAATAACGGACAAACCGTGTTTTTGTTGTTAAAGGTTATGTGATCCACCGTTGTGTGGTTTTGTTTGCTATCTATGGTTTATGTATTTTATAACTTATTGTCATGTCAAGTCTTGTCGCGCTTTTATTATATGCAGTCTTGATTATTGTAGCTCGAAACACGTTTGTTAGGTAGTTTGGAATGTGTACTCTAAAAAAGTGACAAATAGTACGCTTGGAGGAAATCCTATGTATATTGTGATCCATCAAACAGGTAGTGTACCTTTGTAACTGGCTTACTGAATGTTGGGAAATTCGTTTTTTGTAGCCAAAAATAGCTAGTTCGGACTTTGTGACTTCCGAAAATACAAAAATATCGACCGAATACTATTTTATGAACCTTTCTGATCAAAAACATGTTATTTAGTGCTTCGTTTTCTATCTGTTTATAGTTCTTGTTTTCAAGTGTTATTATTCATGTCGTATGTGTGTCTGTACCAGTGTTTTTAAAATTACGATAACACATACAATGCTGATATAAGATTTGGTCACTCTACATGATCACAGATACGAAGTTCGTGCTTCAATTTTGTTATCCTCTATGTATCAACTTGATTAGCTAATCTATCACAAAATAAGTTTTCATAATGCTTGAACTAGGAATCAAAAGTAATGTTATCATGCGGATCAAGATAAGAACTGCAATACATCATAAATGATTTGTTGGTTACTCAATTCAGGTTGCATTAGAGCTATATTAAATTTATATAAGTACATTTATCGATAACAACAATAATAATGATTTTTTTTATTTATTAGGAATAAGATATCCATGTGTTCAATGTGATAAAACGTTTACAAGTAAATCTCATCTAAATAAACATGTGAAATCTATTCATGAAAGTGAGTTATTATGGTGATAATGATCTTTGACTTGCACATATATATATATATATATATATATATATATATATATATATATATATATATATATATATATATATATATACTAACACTAGACCGGGTAATATACTGCTCACTGGTCGGATACACTACATGATTAAATTATTCGTTCAGATGACGTAATACGTAGACTACATGCTATCCGACTGAACGATTAAGAGCCGAATTATAGGCCAGAAAAATTATTCATTCACTTGAATTACAAACTGTCATTGCTTGAAATCCAAGTAGACATCTTAAGTGGATAAGTTTTAGAAGTGGAACATTCTTTTGTTGCGTCTACTTGTTATTTGTCTGCGTTCACAGGCCAGTGATTTGTTACTACTGTCACTTGACAAATTTAACATATTTATAATATCCCACAGAGTATAAAACTGAGTGTTTGACGCTTTGTGACTTGGTGTTGGTTGCTTCGTCACTTAACTGATAACCAAATCAGGTCAGCTGAGGTTTATATAGTACAGTGAAACAAATTGAACATTTAACACTAACAGAGATGTTTCTACTAATTTTACGTCATTCAGGAGAAAATTGATCCTAATTAAGACGTATTTGAACGCATTCTTATGTGAGTGATTGCCCAATTTCACCACTCCTCTCTAACTTTTTCATCGATGATATTCTGAAAATGCCTCTAAAGAGACTAAGTAATGATCTAGATGATCTATTTCCGGTCTTGAGCATGTGGATGACCATCTCCTTACTGTGTAATTATAAAAAACCGAAGTATATCTCTTTTAACCGGTTGGTAATCAGTGTGTTTAGGTGTGACATATACTTTACACCTTCTAAATGCAAAATATTTATGAAGACTAACTGGAGATTGTGCGTGGCCTCACTCTTTGTGGTGAGGCATTGGAAATAGTGAATAGGTTTTTGTATCTGTGTACTTCTGTGAATACTGTTGGTGCCGTGGTAAAAGGAGATAAATTTACTCATAGGGAAAGCCAGAGTGATGAATATCAATATGACCCATCTTTAGCACCGTCGTGTTGATTTGGCTGTAAAAGAATGTTGTTTACATCGTGTTGGTGAAAGCAGTCTTACGCATAGTTATATACTGTGACCTCATCAAATTGAGGTTGGATAACTCTTTAAGGCAGTAAAGCAGCGTTACAACCTCGTCTATCGCGAGCTCGAGTGACTTCATTATGCTCATGCACCATTAATTGTTCTAAGATTCTAGTGCCGATTTGTGCCCCTAGTTTGAAATAATAGTGTTTCTGTTGCCTCAGATAAACTGTTTGTATCTGTCGGCTCGGCTTCACCGTCGGACATTTAGTATCTTCCGTTGATAAAAGCACTACCGACGTATGAAGATCGCTCTGCAGTTGTCGAGGTTGAGTTACTTTATTATTCAAGTTGCTTGGAGGTAGTGGGTGTCAGAATACCAGCTGAACTTTCACTCAAAGTATTCCACCCACTGGTTTAATTTGGATAGAATAAATAATTTATCTATTTGTTTCCGAAATAGTTTCAGTAACAACTTGGTTTTTGATTCTTATTTCCTTGATTAGTTGTAATAACTGTCTTTTGTTGTTTATCGTCGCCAAAATCCAGTGGTTGTTAGTGAATATGTGATTCAAGTTGCTTGCCGATGGCGATGATTGTCATATTTACTAGTGTTTGAAAAAAAACCCGAACTTCTTCAAAACAGACTTTTCTATCACTAACCAAACCGGAAGATATGTTGATATTTAAATAGTTGCCAGTGTCCTCTGGAGTTTACCATTCAGAATATGAGTTTTAGAGCTCTTGATTCGACCATACAACATTTTATGAAACATTTTTATTGCGAATGCATTAGCCAATGCTTCCTTCTCTACTCGCTCATAGTTTTTCTTAACGGTCTTTATTTCTCGATCTGCGCACATTATGCTTTATTTGGGTCTGTTCCCTACGTAATAAGTATAACTTCAAGTCTACTCATAATTTTTCTGTTGTGAAATTGACATGCTTATTTAAACTTGTTGGTGAGTTCATAAGTATTCCTTGGAAAAGTCTATAGGGGTCTATAAAGCTCTTGGAAACACTATCCGAGTAGAAGCTCAGAAATATCTAAAAAGTAAAGTCACGTTTCTGCTTGGATATTTGAATTTACTGCTACTACATACAACATGGTTCCAAAGACTTCCAGAAGCACCCAAGGTTTTGTGTATCTCTATAATTAACATCGTTTTTCAGTACATAAACTAACCTTAGATGGAAGCGTTCTTTTCTCATGTTGCACCTTTTCTCTTGTTGTCGATTTGCCTTGTAGATTTAGTTTAGAGGTATTAGAAGCGGCTAGAAAATCGAAATTAGTGTTCATCTACCAAACTTATCAAAATTACATTTGTATTGTTGTATGCCATTACTAAATAACTTCAGATTGTCATATTGAATTCGCTTTTAAAACATTTACTAGTGTTAAATAATTGTTTTTTCTTCTGATTATTATTAGGAAAAAACTATCCATGTTATCAGTGTGATAAACAATGTAGTTTAAATATGCCTGTAAAAGTTACTCATAAACGTAAGTTTTGGTGGTGGATAATGATTTGCACTACTATGAAAATGATTTACTGTATACATTCTCATTATTTCATATTGAATCACATTATTTTACATGTAAACAAACATTAAATTTCACGACCATTGCGCTGGGATCCAACGTTGTCAATGTCTAACTTCAACCAATCAATGGTATTGCGCGACTATTTTCCATTGTCTTTGGTAGATTATGCAATATCGTAGATTGATTGAAGTTATTCATCAACACCGTTGGATCCCAGCTCAGGGGTCTTAAAGGTTATTCGTTCGTACGAGACCGAAGGTCTTGGGTCTGAGTCGCGCGTGTGGGATCGTGGATGCACACCGTTGGGGAGTCCCGCACTGGGATGAAACGACCGTCCAGTGCTTCCAGGTTTTCAGTGATGGCCTGGAATTGATCGGTTCATGATGTCGATAAAAATTCAACAGTTTCCACAACCCTATACTCATAATTAAATTTCACGTTTACTTTTATAAAAATCCAAATGCTTTATACAATTTTATTTCTTTGTTAACTATGAAGTAGCGATTTTCGTGTGTAAAACACTCAAATTTTGAATCATTTTTCTTGTTCACAATTAATGTACCATGGTAAAAAGTGTTGAGTGATATATGTTATCATAGGATACGGGACTTCTAGCTTTCATAGTGTAAATGATATCATACAATTTTCTTGTCAGGTTTACCCGTGGTATAATTTAAATACCACAAGTATTGACAAATCGTGAAGTATTAGTTGTTTTTGTTAGTGAGCCCTCATTTATCAAACCCCTTTTTGACTAAACACTGAATTAAGGTGTTTTCTGATTTTGGTTAACTGTTTAATTGTTTTATTTAAAATACATTATTATTATTATCATGACCTATGAAGTGATTAATTGTTGATATTTCTACCTTTATTAATTGTGACAACTGGTATCAATAAGGAGGATTTATGAAATTTATACATGTGTATATATGCTGCATTTAATGTGTAGACATTTTTAAGTTGTTCGGTCGATATCAGAGACTGTTGAATAGTGATTACTGTGCTAGTTTCTCAGCAGCTTCAATGTAGAACAATTGTGTGATATATGATGTGTATATGTAGCATATTTTTTTATCTAGTGACAATCTATAATCATTTATGGTTTGTTTTCGTGTTTTATAAATTCTTATTATTTCTTTCACTAGGTTCGAAATTTACTTGTAATGTGTGTAACAAAGAGTTTGCTTTTAAAGGAAATCTAAATAGACATCACAAGAGTATTCATGAAGGTTAGTTTTTATGTAATTTTTTTCGTGTTCACCTTGCGTACATATGTATTAATGTTGGTCCTATTCGAAGGTTTCATTAAATAATAGAGAATCCTGGAAACCATTTTCTTTTTGAAGCAACTACATGATAAAACCATTTCATTTAAGTGAATAATGTGTCAAAGTACACTGTAAAAGATGAATTTTATTAGTGTCTGAATGAAAAGTAGATATGACAATGAATGGTGAGATTGTACATAAATCATCCTTGACAATTGATAAGTCTTCTAAGTGAACTCTTGCATCAGTTTCCTAAGCTTTTCCAATAACTTCGGGTTCGAAAAGGAGAGAAGTGTACAAAAACACTGTACTCCGAGGTTAGTTTATGTACAGAAAATCGAGGATGTTTATAGTATTTCAGACGGCCTTGTGCTTCTGGGAGGTCCTGAAACCTTACTAAACATGGTAACAGGATAGGTAATCATTCAATCAGGAATGCAACACGTGACCTCTCACTTTCTACATGTTTTTCAGTAACTTCAGTTCAACACTGTTTGGGTAAAATGTTTTCCAGTGTTTTTAACGCCCATCTAGACTTTTTTCAATGAATAATTTAGATCGTTCCAACAACAATATAACTTTACGTTTTAGATCTTAGGGTTTCCAATCATATTCTCCTGTTGTTAATGTTCAACATTTTTGTATGGTTAAAAAGATGTACTATAGTGTATGAAAGTGATCAGTGTTGGTTGTTTTCTATTTATCTTTTTGATTCATGAAATAGATATTGAAGCTTTTGTTGTATTGTCAAAGTACTTCATTATGATTGTCTTCATCCGTTATATAATACTCATTGAATTAAGGTCTACTTGAATGGTTCTAGTTTTCCATATAGCCTTTTATTCAGATAATATTTTTCTTAAAAACAATTTAATCCACTCATATATAACCTAAAATAATACTGGTTATTGAATTTATACAAATACGTTGAATATTGTTAGTAGTTATCACACTGTTTACTTCTTCATCATCAGGAATGAGATATACATGTAATCATTGTGATCGAAAGTTTAAAACAAACTCTGATTTAAATGAACATGTAAAAGTTATTCATGAAGGTGAGTTATGATGTTCTCACTTTACACTTAAAACGTTTTCACATTTTCTTTCTACTTAAACGTATGACAACTTTCATCGATTTCATTAATTAATAAGTAATGAAATGGTGTTCTATAGTATAAAATAAAAGATTTCCAAACATTTTTTGGTGAGACTATAATTTATGGACAACCTTTGAACGACACTAAAGTGACCTTGAGAGTGTCTATCTACTTACTAGGGCTAAATGAGGGTTATAAAGCAGTTTAAAGAATAAGGATTATAATTTACAGTTGATGGTTAAGGTTAGGACTTAGATTTAGGGTTTGCATCACGAACTGATATCAGCTACAATGTCAAGACACTATTTAGCCAAATAGGTGAATGAATTTCGCGCCAAAATCTCAGACGTGTTATCGTAGATCTAATTGATTCGTTCATAAATTATAGTCTCGCCCATTTTTTTATCATTCACATTTTCATGTATTATATTTATCGTGTCAAATAAATTGCGTTATATTAAGATAAGGGAATTTTAGATTTCGTGATGAGGACATTATTTGTTAAATACTGAATGTAAGAACCATTGGTTGATATTTCCAATTTCAGTACAATTGTAATATTGCACGATAATCATTCATAAACTGTTTCAATTTTGATATGATACAAAATTTCTGGTTATTATTTCTTACTGAAAAGTTAAGAAATTACCTCATACAATAACTTAGTGAATTCAAGTTATTGTGATATGACACCCTAAAAGTTTACATTTTTTTCAGGTTTTTATTGATTGATGATTATGCGACCTTATTTTCAGATTGTAGAATTTGGATCAGAAATTGTGGAATACAAGTTATTTCATTGTAATTCTTACTGATTTGTTATAGTGCTGAACTGTCAATCTCTCTGAGTGTCTTCATTTTTCATACATTAAGTTACATACAAGGTTTTTTATTTATCAATATATTTATTTAAATCATATATGTGTAGTTTGTAAACCAATATTATATATGTTATGATGGGAAGTGTCCGAAATCTGATACAGATACACGATATCCTACTCTCTAACCCCCCCCCCCCCACCTGACTACTTAAGCGAGAACACAAGAGTGGCCCAGAAAGTATATTAAGCTACCGAACAATATACATGAATACTCATTTATATATATGCGCCTCTACCCTTTAAAAAATCAATCGTTTTCTTAGCCGCTATATGCACTTGTCCTTCAGGTCACTTCTGATCGTCATCGTGTAATCTTCACGTTTGGTCACTTTAAATATTGATATTAAGTTTGTTTAAGTAAATTCACTAATGTTAACGATTATCTTTTCATTAGGAATAGTATATCGATGCGATCAATGTAATAGAAGGTTTTCATCTAAATGCAACTTAAAGGAACACCTGAAAAGGGTCCATCCAGGTGAGTTTTGATGATGATAATCATATTTCATCATGCAATTATATGCTGGATTACACTTTCATCATATTATAAGTTAACTTATACTTTTCATTTAAATCACTTTTATATATGAAATAATTAATTTATTGCCTTTATTCAGTGTTGCTCCATTGAATCGTTTAGCTTGAAGAATTATGAGACTATCATTTATTGCATAAAACATTCTGAATTCATCTATTGGATCACATATTCAACTCAGTGATCGACACTATTAATTCAAGCACATTATATAAATTTTAAAGTCCCATAAATTATTACATTTCTGTTTGGATTATCTTCTTGAATGATTAATTGTTTGTTTTGTGAAGTGTTATCAAGGAGTATTACTCATATGACGTGCACGAATAGCAACATCGATTGGTGATTGTTGTGATTAGCGTTAAATGAAAATGTAACAAAATTTGATTTAGTAGTAATAAACACATTTAACATTCTACTAACTCCAATTCTTAGATATTTCATCTTAGATCCATAGTCACTAATGTTGACTGTCCTCATAAATGTTCTAGTGAATAAGCAAAGATGGATAGTGGCTAGCAGTGGGAGCCTAGGACGCGCGTTTCGTCCTAGATTCTACTTTTAGCCACTAACCATCTTTGCTTAAAAAGCTTGTAACTTAAGGCAATATCAAGGCAATCTGCATAGAATGCACATGACAACAAGAGACTGATCAATTACAGTCCTAAATTACAATAGGAAGATACAAGTAAAAAACAACACCAAGTGAATGTTCCAGTGAATGTTTATCACATTTTTCAGATGATATATGTCACAGAATCATTATAGGCTTATTTTACTATGACTGGGAATAGAAATAAATTGATTTATTATTCCACTAAACTTAATAGTTATTATTTTTCCTTTTGCAATAAAATATACTTTTAGGGGTGAGCTTTGGTTGTGAACAATGCAGTAGAAAATATTTAAAAAGAAGTAAATTGAATAAGCATGTTATAATGGTTTATAAAGGTTATGATTGAGTAAAATATCAAATATTATTTATTATTTTGTTTTTGTAAGAGATTTATGTAATATAGATAAGAGGTGGTTAGCAACGGAATCTAGGATGAGATCATGAACTGATTGATGTTAGATCACCATTGAAAACCTGGAAGCACTGGACGGCCGTTTCATCCTGTTGTGAGACTCCTCAGCAGTGCGCATCCACGATCCCGCTCTTCTAGTTTTAATGTCTTCCATTGACCTGAATTTTTTTTTACTGATGCAAATATGATCTATTTGGTTCTGCGTGGTGTGGTTAAGTGAGATCCATGCAGCTTTGCGTATGTGTTTGTGTGGGAATATAGTGCCGCCTATAGCCATTTTGTTGATTGCACATAGATTAGCGAGTCTCTGACCATTCTCGTTCCTGGTGTTGTCCATTTCGACTTTGGCGTTTAGGTCTCCCATCAAGATTTTCAGGTCGCTATGATTGATTGCAGCCTCTCGTAAAACTGATCTTTATCTTTGTCGTTGCTATCACTGGTGAGTGCATAATACTGGGTAAAATTCGTTATGATTCCCTACTACTATGTATGGAGGGATTTTTTTCGATGATCTTGAAACCATGAGATTCACATCCTATAAATGCATTTCGTGCTTCTTTGGACAATAGCAGAGCAACTCCCTAAGTGTGTGGAGCATTTTCCTCTTCTTGACCAGAGTACAACAGCAGTTCTCCCGAATCTGTCTTTTTTTTGTCCTGCTTGAGTCCAATGGGTTTCGCTGATTCTGAGGATCTCCAAGTTGTATCTCCTCATTTTCATAGCTATTTGACTGGTCATCCCGGCCTCTTACATTGTCCGGATATCCCATGTACCCACGTTAATTGTTGTTGTGGTTGGTAGGAGGGGCATAGGCCTCATGAAGCATTATAATTCTTTATTCAACTCGGAGGACAGAGTTTAAATGGTTTAAATAGCTTATTCTGTTTAGCGTTCTTTTAACAAGGTTGTTTTGTATGGGATCGGTTTGCAGACCCCACGCCCAACCCTCCTCCTTTGTGTGGGCCTGGGCACGCAGTAGTTCTAGAAGAGCTACAAGCGGAGTTGATATGTTGTATGTGTTCCATATTTTTGTTAATCTTAAATATTTTCTGTGGTGATTTACTTTAAAAGCCAATTCTTTTTAGGAGAAGAATTTTCATGTGTTTAGTATGACTTTATAATCTATTGAAGGATGTCGACTGAAAGAATCTTATATGCGAAGGTAATTGAAATTAACTTTGATGTGTAAATGGTCATTGTTAAATGTGATGTGTGAAAATAGTATATCGGTATGACCGATATTACAGTATTTTAGCTGGTTGATACACTGTTAATTATTTCTTGTTAAACTAATCCGTTTCAAATTTTAAATGCAAAACAATTCTCTGTAGCATCAATCTTGTCATTTTTCATGATAGTGCTATCTAAAGTATTTTGAAAATGAACGCTAAAAAGCAAAAGTTTGACTGAAACACTAATTAAATGAATATTTATAGGATTTATGAAACGTTTTCGAATGTCTTGATGATAAACTTCGAAAACATCCCTTTATTATTTTTAACTTCAAGTGTTAGTCTCGTTAGACTAATTGTTAAGTTGCTTTATTTATAAGGATTATATTTTCGATGTGGTGAATTGTTATTTTATACAACAGTGAACTGAAGAATTACGCCAAAATCTCATCTCAATTAAAAAGATTTAAAGAGACCAAATTTCTAACTAGCTGACTGACTGTTATAACTTGTCAATTGAATGCTACTTGTTATATCCGGTTGTCGCTGATTGTTGTGTCGGAAACACTTATCACTTATACTCGGAACGAGGGACCTCCGCAATTCCCACGACGTGAAAGTAAGAACATAAAGACTGGTATACGTAAAGCTTTATTAATCCTCGAAACACGATGACTACGACGACGACTACCCTAGTCGAAATTACACTCATTTATATATTGATTGTACACACACTTTGACTAATAATTAGGATGAAATCATATATATGAAAAGTACTTAGAGTTATAACAAATCACAGACTAAGCATAGTTCATATCAATTGAATATACAGAATAAAATATCATACGAGAAGACAAAACAACTACTACACTGAATGATCACCACATTGAAGCAGAACAGAAGTAATCTTGAACAAAACTCATAATGAGTAAATCAATCGAATCTTGACTTTTCTTCTCATCATATCACTGACCATATTAAGAAATTCTATTTATCTATTGATGGCTTACTGTTATTGAGTTATATATCACATAATAGATGGCTAAAAGACGAATGTTACAATTGAATCAATGTTTTCTCATTTCTGTTCTTTCTAGTAAATGTAACTGTAACCTTTTAAACCTAAAGGTTTTTACTTGTCATTACTCACTGTTTCACTCTTATTAATTATTGATTTTGAACAATTTGGAGGTGAAATCTATTTATAGTTGTGTTGTTTTTACTGTATAACCTATATTTCACGTTATCTCAACGGTTCATAATATCCCTTAATTTTATAATGTGTCATGCATATTGTGATATTTAATTGTCAACAGCTAACTGATGTTCCCTTTTTTTTTTAAAACTTCAGTTATCTTCATTATTTAGTGACTGATGTTTGAAGTCTTCGTTATCTAACCGTCAGGTGTAATGTTGTTGCTGAAAGAGAAATACTCCTTTTCTATACAACGATCATAATAGAATGAAAAATTTAGTTTCTCATTTACTTCAATAATTTATTTTTCTTCATTGTATGTATATCAAATGTATCTTTTGTATAATATTTATTATTTCTATTTTTATTTTATATAATCTTGATTGTACAGATAAAGTTATTATTTTTACTGAGTTTATGGTTACTACTTTCTTTTGTTTACATGTGCGCCTGGGTAACGTATACAATATTCTTTCTTATTTCATAAATCCATACAAATCATATCGTTTCAAAGTGTAAACTAAATAAGCTGTATTGATTTTCAACTAACTATTTTATCAGGTACGACTTTTTGATCTGACGTTGTTAATCGCATTCCATCGTAAAACATTATTAATCCAGGAAGTAAATGAAATTCATAGAGATGAAGAGAAATGGTAGTCAGATTCAGCTGTGATTGTAATAGATTTATTGATCACATTATGTATATATAATGTAATTGAAATAGAACTCAAATATTTGAAATTGTGCCAAAAACCAAACCTCTAATTAGTTATGCTGAATATAGTTACTTGAATATCAATCATTTCCACAAATAATTTCTCAGTAGGTGTGTAAACATTTTTGGCATGAACATTGTCTATAGAAATAAATCTATTCTTTTTCAAAGTAATAAAGAGACTGTCTTTTAGATCAATCGGTATAATCCAGTACCTACTTACAACATTTTTAGTTTATGTAAAGCGAAATCATTTTATTCTAAATCCGCTTTGTATAGAAATCACTAAGCAAATAAATTTTTGAGACTGGACTGATTCGCTAAAGTTTGTTCATGAAACGAAGTCAGTTCTGTCGTTTGTACGCTTTATCGACGATTACATCCTTTCGGATACTTGAAAATTCCCTCATCAGTGGTACTTGTACAATTTGATAATTGTATTTTACATAGTTAACTACATAGTTTCAATATATTACATATCTTTGAGTTCGTTCTATTCTGTTTTCAGTTCAGGTTCGGACTTGATTATCAGAATACGAGCTGGTTAGCTCTGTTAATTACATTAACTACTATGAACACTTCGTAAGGTCATAGTGGTATCAAGAAGGAAGCTATTATTATACCTTAAGATATAAATTCAAATGCTAATGTCTGGGTATTATGTAGAGTTACACCTGTTGCTCCTCGTGGAGAAGCATAGGCCGCCCACCAGCATTCTTCATCGAACTCTGTCCTGGGTAATCCTTTTCATATCTGCTCCCAATAATCGTCTCAGTGTGTTCCTTGGACTTCCACGTTCCGTTCCCCTTCAGGATTCCCACTTAGTGCTTGCTTCGTGATTCAGTTTGATGATTTGTAATTGTTGTACAGTGATGGAATGGTCAGTGCTTTGTATGTAGTTGATCGTGAAATAGAATTCTTTCTCAATTACTATCTAATATCTGTGTTGTAGGAAATAGCATGTAGCTTATCGAATTTCGACTGAAATTCTTGTGACACTGATATATTTGCAGTAATTTGGTTTGTTGAATAGAGGACTATTGGATTTAAGATGGAGGACAGTTCACGCGCATTGTCATAATATACTGTGTTGTGAGAATTGAGACAGCATTGTGCAAAATCTATTCAATATTATGTTATGTTCATCCGTTAAATAGAAGACAAATGAACACAGATGTTTCATGCAATATGAACAGTGATTGATCGATCGTTTATACTTACAACACATGAAATTAAATTGACGATCTGTGAGAAACTATTACTATTATTACCTCCAAGCAAACGAGTACACAAGAAAGATTCATCACTGAATAACATCTAATATGTTGTATAAGCACATTGAGAATTACCAACGATTGTGTGAACGTCACTCACGTATCTGATCTACATTCAATTGAGATATCAGTTGAGAATTCAAGCTCATCTGTTCAGTTAAAATCTGTCATGATATGCGTACTACGGGTATTGAAGTGTTAATAATTGATAAAATGGTTAGTTTTACTCATACTGGTTTAGTGACAGAGAAGCAGTGATATTTGGCATTGTATATGTGAGGGAATTAGAGAATGGTGTGAAGGCGTGTTGACACTGTCTGGAATTAGATAAGTTTCCAATTGAACGATGATTGACATTGTCTGATAATAACAAGAATAGGGTTATTGATTCAGGTGAATCACCAGTAAGTAAACTGAACTATGTATGAGAGCCAGAAATTCAGTTAATTCAATGTTTATGAGAGTTGAGTTGAATATTGGTAATATTGAAACATTGTTATATTTGTGTCCTATGTGAGGTGAAGTGACGTCTTCTTCTCCTTCTTCACATTATTGATAAAATTACGAAGAATATGTTATGATTTGGCATCAGTTAGCATCACACGATATTGAGTTCTTATGACTGTTCATCATACAGTTTTGTGAAAACGCAGAATGCTTTGTACAAATGTGACCGTATCAAACATTTTTGACGAGATGAAATTGGCATATATTTTATCTTCATTTGACTTCAGTTTTCTGAGGTATGCATGAACTTTTGAGTCAGTGTGTGAGTCATTATCTTTTATCTTAAATAGACCTTTATTTCTACCACAGCACTCATAGAGCCTTACCACGAATTTCAAACTGTTAAAATTGGTGACTTAATTTAATTTTTCCAATTATGTGAGCGACATCACATCAGAGCAATCTGGATTCGAGACTATTTCAGGAACAATTGGCATATCAATTGATTCATCATAGTATTGAATATGGATTCTACATTGCATATATGATTTGTGAGAGCACTCGACCTGTGCTACAATAACATCTGAAATGTGATCAGAATTCGACTCATTTAAAACATATTTTTCACATTGAGTGAGGTTGAATGTATTGTCCTGTTGTCGAAACATTTCTAGGGAATTAACTTAAGTGCGAACGTCGTTTAATCTGAATAAGTCATAGAATCTAATGAACAGGGAAGTCTCATTTCCACTTAAATGCAGTGACAGAATGATATCCATATTTTTTGTTGACATCAGTCATATATGTGAGGAATATCAGCCCGAGTGATATGACAAAGTGAATAAATAAATAGAATTTCTAGATAAGGCGTAACAAAACAAATGTCAGTTACTGTATGTGCTTAGACGATCGCTAGACGTTGTAACAAGAATGATCACTTGCTGGTCTGAATTAATCTCAAGAGAAGATAAGCATCTGTTAAATAATTGAACATTCACAAACGCGAACCTTTGGTAACGTAACGTTGCGATAGAGAAATAATTTTTATCTGAGTAAAGTATTTTAACTAAGCGTGAGTGTTTAATGATGATGGCTCTAACAGAGTTCAATGTGAATAGGTGAATTCATAGTTTATTAAATGTGTGAAATGCAAAGTTACTTTGGCGTAAGATATTATCACCAGTCTCAACTTAGCAGGTTCGGCCTATTGACTTGTTTGGAGATCTGTACTTAAGGCATGTATTTTGTTGATCCAGAAAGATTCAGACATCTGTCAAGTCTCCATGAATAACTATTTAGAAA